TCCGTTTCCGCTATTTCCGATGAGAAGCACAAAAACGTGATATTTTTCTCTTTTCTTTAATCGCGAGAAGAAACAATTAAAATCCAATTACTTCGAAGTTTCGAACAAAAGGAAAATTGAAGACAAATTGTTAAAATTGCAAAAAAAAAAAAAAAAAAAAAAATGAAGACGCAAAGAAAGTGAATTAGCGTGTGGATAACTATTAATTGCTAATGACTTAGTAATTGCTGAATCAGCAGGAAAATAATCGCGCGAGCGCATATTGGAAGAGATGTATCTGCGCGCGCGTATTAATTACCTTACAGTGAAAATCTTGCCGATAGTTCCGAGACAAGAGTGTATACAAATAGGTAAATATATAGGAGTAAGATGCTGTACATAAAGGATCCTCTTCTCGCACACCTGCAATAACCACTGCGATAAATATAAAGCTGACTACTATTCACTCCTTTGCAGGGCCCACGCCTTTTCTTTCATCTTTCGCCGGTGCGTGCGTGCGACCACTTTATAATATCGATAACACTGATAAAATAGTAATAAACCTTTTTTTACATAAATCCGATTTGTCAAATCGTCGCTTAGCGTCAAACGTGTAAATCAAATATTAGGTTTTCCCTGATTTCGAGACAAAATTTTGAATTCGGATTCACTCTAAAAATTATTGGATACTAAAAAAATCTTCTAAATTACATTTATTTAAATTATTATTTATGAAACATGATGATATCCATCACTCCGAGTCTTCGACTCGAAGTGATCACTATCTTCATGTTTCGTAATAATTAAAATTTCGAAATAAGTAAAAAAAAAATTTTTTATTTACAAAAATTTTAATAAACTTCTTCGCAAGAATTCATTTATTTTTACAAGTAATAAAATTTTTCACATGAATTCAATTATTTTAAAAAATGTAATAAAATTCGTGGTAAGAATTCAATTATTAACATAAATATATAGTAAAATTTTTCACAAGAATTCAATTATTTCAAAAAATGTAATAAAATTCGTCGTAAGAATTCAATTATTTACATAAATAGTAAAATTTTTCACATGAATTCAATTATTTCAAGAAAGGTAATAAAATTCATCGTAAGAATTAAATTATTTACATAAAATAATAAAATTTTCCACATTTTGTATTTAAAAATTTTTTTTTATGTAAAAATTGTATTTTTTAAAATACAATTTGAAAAAAATTCCTCGAAAAATGTAATTATTTGCAAAAATTTTAATAAACTTTTTTGCAAGAAAAATAATTTAAATATCCATTAAATTTAAAAAAAAATTAAATTATTTATAAAAATTTTAATAAAATCCTTCGCAAGAATTCAATTATTTCTACAAGTAATAAAATTCTTCACATGAATTCAATTATTTAAACAATTTATTAAAATTCGTTGAAAGAATTTAATTATTTTAATAAATAAAAATTTTCACAGGATTTCAATTTAATATTTAATATACAATTTTTAAAAAATGTCATGAAATTCGTTGCAAGAATTCAATTATTTTCAAAAATAATAAAATTCTTCGAAAGAAATAAATTATCAATTTATTGTAAATAATTTTTAAAAAAGTTTTTTGAGAATTTTTAAATCTATTTGTTTACAAATCAAATTTACGAAATTAAGATTATTCGGAACTTGTTAAATTAAATTTAAATAATATTTTAGAAAATAAAAACATCAAATAATTTCAAAAGAATTGGAATGTAACTTTAAAAAAAAAATTAATTCTAAGAAAGTTGATTATTTAATTATTAACTAAAACTTTAATTGAAATTAATTTTTAAATAAATTTTTATTAGAAAATTCTACAAAACTTAAATTATTTAAATACAAAAATAAATAACTTATTGAATAATTGAATGTTTCTCAAAATTGTATATTCTCAAAACGAATTTTACCAACAAATTTTTAAATAATTGAAATCTTTTGACGACTTTTAATAAAATCTGGCAGAATAATTACATTTTTCGAAAAATTAAATTAAAATTCTATTGAAAATAATTGAAATTTATTCTTCGATGAATTTTTGTTTTTATTAAAATAATTGAATTATTGCGAAGAAATTTATAAAAAATTTGTAAATAATTGAATTCTTTTGGAAAACTTTATTGAAATATAGTAATAGATATTGAAAATCATTAAATTGAGGAAAATGTTTTTGAAAATAATTGAAATTTTACCAAGAATTTTATTAAAATTTTTAAACATAAATTGCGAATTTCTGCGGAGAATTAAGGTAAATTCATAAAAATAATTAAAATTTTGACAAGAAAAAAAAAGTTGACTAATTTCAGAAGAATTTGAATTATCAAAATTTTTAAAAAGTCAAAGTTCTTTAAAATTTCTAATAAAACTCATTAAAAAATGAAATTTTCTAAAATTTCAATTTTTAAAACCTTTTGAAGTTCATTTATTTATGAAAATTGTAAACGCAACTCATAGAATTCAATTATTTTTTAAATTTTTAAGTAAAATTATTTATTAAATACTTTATGAGTAACATTTTTATAATTATTTTATGTTCTTCATGATTGAAGTTATTTCAAATAAATTATTGTTAGAAATAGATGAAACTGAGGGTTTATTTGTATTAAAATTCGTACCAAGTTGAAGTCCACAACGTTTTGATCAACGAAAAAAAATTGTTCTCTTAGTAAATTAATTCAAAATGACGCAGCAATATTGATATACAAAAATATTTAGAAATAAAAGATTGATATTTATATTTTGATAATAATTATTTTACAATTCAATATTAAATTAAAAATAATACTTGAATGCATTAAATAAATTTATTTCGTTGATAAACGTTGTGGACTTCAACTTCGTAAATTCGTGGCAATTTCATAATTATGAGGCAAACAAAAAAGATACAAAAATTCGTAATTTTCTTATAAATTTTAATTTTTATTTTAATTTTTTACTCTAGTCACATTCTTCTTTAAATTTTAATTTTTTACCACTAGTTAGAAATTTAGAAAAAATAATTTCAATTTCGAAAAGAGTAGCAGTTGTGAGACAAATAAATTGTCAAGCTGTGATTAAAAAGCAAGTACCTTAATTCCCGTCAATCGTATCGACTTTTTCACTCTATATATAAAACTCTGGAGAGCGTCGTAATTCGATTTTTACCACTTGGTACTTTGAAAAATATATAGAAGTGGTTGTGGGGTCCATGGGAGAAAATTTCGTTAAACTGCAGGGAACATCGGGGGTCTGTCAATCGTTTCAAATATCTTTTATATGCAAATAGTTTTCACACCCCTCTTGAGGACATTTATTGATTTCCAAGGGAGAGAAAAACTACACACACGAGACACCTTTGGTCATTCCCTTTTTTTCCGCACCGAAATGGTAAAATTAAAAGTCCAATTTTAAAGTTGTAGTCCACTTTCAAAGCGACTAAAATATCCAAAAGGAAATGAAAGTCAAGAGTAGCTTGTTAGAATTTTTCCCTCTTGGAATATAAGAGGAAAGAGGAAAAAGAAGACATAAGCGACGACGAAGCGTCCCAACGATAAATCTGAATCGAGATCGAGCGCAGAATGGTTTCGATTTATTTGGTGAAATTCTTCGGAGAGCTGATTTGCGAGGTCCAGAACGACATGGTCGTCGGAGAGAATTTATGGCCGATGAATTATGCGCTTTGTTCATTTGAATGAGGGGTGAGATAAAGAAGATGAGAGAAGAAGACGACGATGAAGGAGAGAGGGGTGGGTATATAATATGGAAAAGGTTGACGGAAAAAATAATAATAAACCAAAAAAAATTCGCAAACAATTTTTGCGAATCCTCATCCTCAACGAAAATAAAACTGTTGCAAAGATACAATCTTTCCTTCTCTCTCACTCTGAATCGTTCAAGATCATTCAAACAGGTTGAAGAGGATTCACTTCATATCTTATAGATAAATTACCGCAACAATTTTTTTTTCCTCTCCATTCAAACTTTACCAATTAACTGGATTTTAACAGTCCTTTAAAATACTGAAATTTATTTTTATCATTTCAACTCGCCAAATATATATATAAGCTAAAGATTGAATAAAATTCGGTTTCAGAAACAAATTTCTGCGATTATAAAACGTAAGACTAATGAGTATAGTGAAAAAAGTTTAAAAAAAGGAAATAAAACATTAACAAAAAAAATAAAGACTTTCAAAATATTTTATTCACTTCAGTAAATAAAAAATAATACTTTATTGTTAGTAACAAAAAGTCCAAGTAAATAAATACCTAACCTAAAAAATTCAATTATTATCGTTAAATAATTTCCAAAGTCCCCGAGAGAGAAATATTTAATTAAACCCAAAATTTACGCAAATCAAAAAGCACTACCGATATTATTAAAATTTAATTTCACAAAAATTAATCAGCGTAATGACTTTTGGGTGGTTCAGACGTATCATTGGTATTTAATTCTATCAAGCAATAAATCATTTTTTGTCATTTTTTTCTCAAGACCCGATTGCCCATTAAAGATTCCCGCAATTTAAAACCAGTTCCGCACTATCGCGAAACACGTGGCGGTTTTTGCACTGAAGAAAACTTTTTTATTGAGAGTGCTGCGAAACCCAAGAGATTTGAAATTCGTCCACATGTTTATAAAAAGTAATACATTTTTAGCAAATTTATACTTCTAGGGATCTTCTTCGTTATACATCCGTTTATTTAGTTCCCAAAAAAATTACCATCAGATGTTTTTCCCCCCTTTTTTTTGCTTTTATTATTCCATTTCAACTGTTGCACTGATTTTATCTTTTTCATTAAAAAAAAAAACTTTGACAGCAAATAACCGTTACTCACTTTTTTTAGGTTATGTTCAATTTTCTTTCCTTTAATATTGTTCACAAGTTGACTTTTTGCTGAAACTTCGGAATTTCGGTAAAACTAACCTCAAAATTTCGATGCACAATAATCGATAAATCGGCGAAAGTAACAACTAAGAAAGAAGTAGAAAAATCATAAAATGGGTGAATAGATAAAAACTCACATGAAATAGGCTCCTTGGGAATATCACTGGCAGGAAATCCATGTGTCTCAAAATAAGGTTTGACAGCATCGCATTTGAGACCAGCAAGAACTGTTGATGGGATGCCAAGCATCAAAATCACCGAAACAAATGACAGGACACTCATGATTGTCAATCACTCGCGAACTTACACTCACAAATTCATAAAGAAAACAAACGCGAAAAATTTGATTGGGGGGTGGGGAGAGAAAGAGTATCGACACACTTTTTTTTTTAATCGAACATTAGTGAGTACACACACAGGGGATGAGAGGATAACAAATTGTTTTTACTTGTAAAATTCAACGTGAAACTTATTCACGAAGAAACGGCACGAAGAAAAACACAACCTACCTCCAACACTGCTCGGAACGCACTGTATTTTAAGCGAGAAATTTGTGTGTTGCCGCGGCGGCTGTGCGCATGCGCAGACGAAGCACGAAGGGTGCGCTTACATTTGTGTCTGTGTGTGTGTATATTACAATGATCCACCCATACTAACCCATCCCTTTTACCAATGTGCTCCAGAGATTTGCGTGCAAAGTTTAACCGGTTTAATATGTAATTTTGCCGTGTAAATTCAACAGGAAGCCACTTTTATGCGTAAGTAGTAAATTATAATGAAAAAAATACACTTTTTTGGGAACTAACCTAACTTACGCGAATTTTGGCGCAATGTTGCTGATTGTTTAGAATAATTTGTTAAATAGAAAGTTGAAACATTACCTATTGTTTAATTACACAAAATAACACTTCTTAATTACTTTTTCAACAATTGTGACAAAGAAACTGTTTCGATTTACTGCCGATTCGATTAATTGGGGAGGGCGATTTCGAGAGTGTCAACTTTTAAAGATGGCGGCGTTAATTAACCACTTGACATTACAGGTGGCACCCTGTTGATAAACTTTTGTTTCATTAATTGTTGCAGTGTTCAGCTTCTCATTATGTGCAATAATCCAATCCAGACAATCGTTGACATTCAGGGTTTTAGGATTTGTACCGAAAATATTACGGCGTATAAAGGTGCGTGCAACCACAATTGTAAGTATATTAATTTGTTGTCAATTTAACCTCTAATTCGTTGAAGTTTACTAGTTTTTGAATTCTAATAATTGTAAGTTGTTTATTGAAAATGAAATATTTATTGCAATTAAATAAAGATTGTTAAACTCGGAAACAAACTGCGTAGTTGAAATTTAGTTGAAAAGTATAAATGTTTTTGTAATTTGCCTATAATGATGAAGAAAATTGCTTTCGACAATCGGTTTTGTTGTTGTATTTTGATTATTAGAAACGAATGGAAAAATAATTCTCTTGGCATATTTATGAATGAGTAATATAAATAATAATCTATGCATATTACATTGTTGTAAACTATATTATATATTGAATCGTTTAATATGTCACTATAAAAATTATTTACTGCATGTCTCTAAAGTTTCGAGCGTTCAAAGGAACGAATTTTATTTATTGTTCAAATTAAAATTGGCCTTCTATTAAAATTTTATTATCCTAATATTGAATTACGTACTCAAATAATTCATAAACTTCTAAAATCAGGGTTGCGCCACATAGGTCAGGGAATTCAGAGAAAAGTCAGGGATTTTTATTAAAGTACTGGAAAAAATTGAATTTTTGAGAAGTTACAAGTGATTGCAGAAATTCAATTATTTTCAAAAGTAATAAAATTCTTCACAAAAATTCAATAATGTTCAAAAATTTTTTTAAATTCTATTCAAAATTTCAAGGATCTTTATAAATAACAAAATTGTTCTCCAAAATTCAATTATTTTCAAAAAATGTTTCTCAATTCAATGATTTTCAATATCTACTATTTTAATAAAATTTTCCATAGATTTCAATTATTTAAAACATTTTTTTTTAAATTTATACGAAAACATTTAATTATTTTCCTGAATTATTAAAATTTCACAGGAATTCAATTACTTACCAATTTTTTTTTATAAATTTCTTCGCAATAATTCAATTATTGTCAAAAATAATAAAAAATTTTACATAGAGATTCAATTATTTTCATGAATAATAAACCTCATCATATAGAACTTCAATTATTTTTAATACATAATTTTACATCAATTCCTCAAAGAAATGTATAATTATTCTCGAAAATTTTATTAAAATTCGTCAAAAAAATGCAATTATTTAAAAATTTGTTGATAAAATTCTTTATGAGAATTCAATTTTTAGAAACATTCATTTAGTCAATAAATTATTTATTAAAAGCATTATAGCGTGAATTTTTAGAAATTTTAATTGAATTTTGAAAAGGTTTCAAATTAAAATCTTTGAAAAGTTGAATTTTTCATGCTTTTAACTGACAATTCTATGTAGAATTAATTTTTGTGAAAAAGTTTAATTGAATAATTGTATAATTGAAGAATTTCCGAATAATTTAAATTTCGCAAAATTGAATTGTAAACATGGATTTGAAAATTCTCAAGGAACTTTTACAAAAATTATTAAAAATATAATTGAATTCTTTCGAAGAATTTTGATAAAATTTTTGAAAATAATTACATTTTTCAAAGAATTTACATAAAATTATATTTACAATAATTGAAATCCAATGAGGAATTTTATTATTTAGGAGAATAATTGAATTCTTGCAACGAATTTTTATTCAATTTTTTTTAAATAATTGAAATTCTGTGAAGAATGTTATTATTTATGGAAATAATTGAATTCTTGCAACGAATTTTCTAAAATTTTTCTTAAATAATTGAAATCCTGTAAAGAATTTTATTATTTATGAAAATAATTGAATTCTTGCAACGAGTTTTTATTCGTTTTTTTTTAAATAATTAAAATCCTGTGAAGAATTTTATTATTTATGAAAATAATTGAATTCTTTTGGAAAAATTTTTTAAAGTTAAAATTAACTTTTATTAAAGTTTATTTTAAAGATATTTAAATTTCAGCTAAGAATTTCATTATTTGTGAAATGTAATTGAATTCTTGCATAAAATGTTTGAAATTAATTACATTTTTCGAGGAATTCATTTAAAATAATTGAAATCCTTTGGAAAATTTTATTATTTATGAAAATAATTGAATTCTTATACAAATAATTTTATTACATTTTTATTAAATGAATTATGTACCTAATAGAAAATTTTTTTGAGTATCTAATCAGGAAAAAAGTCAAAATGTTGTCTCGAAATCAGGGAAAAACAAAATTAAATGTTTGTAGCAACCCTGAAAATGTTTAAATCACGTTTTTAATTTTTAATAAAGTCAGTAATTTTTTATTTCTTTCGAAAAAAGTACAATATTCGTTTATTTGAACGATAAAACTTTTTTGGAACTTTTTATTGAAATAAGAAATAGATAAATATATTATATTCAAAGTATATTTATTCGAGTTTATTGAAATAAAACAGATAAATCACTTGAAATGACAGTTTTAATTCTAAAATGAATATTTTTTTCAGATCAGAAATTTCGATATAATTACAACTTTACCGAAACTATACATATATACCCTTGGAATGGAATCTAAATCATAGGATATCAGATGTCTAAAATTTATTATTAAAAACTCAAAGCTCCGGTTTGGAAGAGATAAAGTATACCTACCTCAAGAAAAAGGTATTTATTAATTCATCTGAATTTTTTACTTTAAGATTTAAAATTATTGAATTATTATTTCAAACGCTTCTTAAAAAATTCATTTGGATTTTTTAGATTTTTAATTATTATTTTATTATAAAAATATATGATTTAGGAGAATGTGGGATGATTGTAAAAGAAGTTCTGAATATTGTAAATGGATTAGGAAATTTATCTAATGTTTTACAACAATAATTTCTTTTATCGATAAATTCATAATCCCTGCAATAAATCAGAACAGAATAGACATTGAAAAATCCATTATTTTCCCACAATAGGCGCATTTTCCTATAACCACAAAAAAAATTATCTGTCACAACATCAGAAAATTTGAAATACCGTATAATATAAAAAAATATAAAATACGCGTTAGTTTTTATTCATATTACAATCAGCCCCTATATTTAATAGTAGCTCTCCTATAGATCTAAGACTTGAAATAGTTTTTTTTGATAAAGAATAATTTTTATATAAATTTCGTAAGCGTGGGATCATAAAAATGCTTTATGGATTTATAAGTTGATAAAACGAAAAGATATATGCGGAAAATAGAAACTATTATCGTAATTATTTTGTAGTTTACTTAAATATTTTCGCATGACTCGTGTTAGGACCCTTTCAGATAAAAAGTTTTTTTTATTTCATCAGAAGACGGTCATAAAAGTGCTTTATGAGCCTGTAATCATATTAATACCGGAAAGATACATTTACAAAATAGAAAATATCTAATTATTTATTAGATTATTTTTATTATTTTAATTTGATGTCTCATATATACATATTTTCGCAAGATTCTCATTATTTTGAAAGTTTAATAAATAATCTCTCGAAAAAAGGTTAAAGTTCTCTTATGCAATGTCTAATTAAAAAGTTTGACTTGCTGGGCGTGATTTAATGTTTTTGTTATCATTTGATTACAACTTTGAGAATTTAAAAATTAATTAATAATACAATTTAAGTACACAACTTTTTAAATAACTTTATTTCAATTACCATCAGTTGACTTTTTGATTAATTTTTAACTAAGGAATTTTAATTAAAATTATATTTTTAACTAGCAAATGTTACGCGCACTAACTCACGAAACACGGTGTTCCATTTAATATTATTATTATTGTGTTAATTATAACATTTTTTATTTTTAAATACCAACTTCAATTTCTGAATAATTTCAAAATCAAAATTTAAAAAATTTACTTATTATTAGATACATAATTTATTATTATTCATTATTGTTTATTATTTTCAGAAGTTTAAATAAAATTCTTCGCAAATATGCAATTATTTTTATAAATAATACAATTTTTTGAAGGAATTTAATTATTTCCAATATAATTTTAACAAAAATTCAGGAAAAAATCAAATTATATTTTTAAAAATTGTTAATAAAATTTTTCGAAACTAACTGAATTATTTTTCAAAAGTTTAATTATTTATTCTTCGAAACAATTCAATTACTTTCGAAAATTTTAATAAAACTTTTCGAAAGAATTTAATTATTCTCGAAAGTTTTTATAAAATGTTTTATAAATTAACAATTTAATCATTTTCATAAATAATATTCCAATAAATTAAATTATTTTTCAGAAAATTTAATAAAATTCAAGACGATTAAATTTCTAATTAGAATTAATAACGAACACGATTATTTTAAAAACTTGAAAGAAATTCTTCATGAAATTCAATTATTATTTGCAAAAATTCAAATTATTAAAAAAATACTTCGTTATTTTCGAAAAACTTGAAGAAATTCTTTAAAGGAATTCAATTATTTATGAAAACTCTAATAAAATTGATCAAACGAATTTAATTTTCTATAAATACTTTTAATATAGAATTTAATAATAAAATTATTAACAAAATCAATTATATTATTAAAGAATTAATGGAATTTTTCTAAATATTTAATTAGTGTCAAAAACTTTAATAGTATATTTTTTGAAAGAATTCAATTATTTAAAAAAAATTGTATTAAAATTCTGAAAAGAATTTAATTAATTTCTAAAAAATTTAATAAAATTCAATTATTAAATTTTTAAAAAACAGACACGATTATTTTAAAAACTCGAAAGAAATTGTTCATAAAATTCAATTCCTTTCAAAATTTTCAATCAAAATTATTAAAAAAAACTCCATTATTTTAAAAAAGTTCAAAGACATTATTCAAAACAATTTTTATTATTTTTGAAACTTGCAATAATCTTTTTAGCAAGAATTCAATTGTTTTCATAAATAATAAAATTCTTTGCGAGAATTTAATTATTTTTAATAGAATTTTAATAAAATTAGGTACTTGAATTAATTCAATTATTTTCCAAATGTTTAATAATTTTCTTCGAATGAATTCAATTATTTTCAATTCGTAATATTCTTCACAAGAATTGAGTTATTTTCATAAATAATAAATTTCTCCTCATGAATTCAGTTATTTTCAAAATTTGCAATAAAAGTCAGGGAATAATTTAAACAAATTATTAAAAAACTTAGGAAAGAAAAAAAAATTTTAACTGTGAACAGATTACCAGAGTACAAGGATTATTATTATTAATAGTTACAGATTTTTTTAAAACTTAAAAATTCAAAATTAATAATGAGAAAATGTTATTAGCCAATTATTTTGACAATAACATTATTTGTTAACAATTTTTTATTTTTAAAATTTTTCAATAAATGTACAAATTTGTTTCATAGGAAAAATATGAAGAAACAACGTTTTTCCTTCTAAATTATTGATTATAAATGTTGTGAACTTCACCAAAGTAGCAGAAAACTTTTTTTTTATTTTTTGTGCATTTATTATATAACAAATTTATAAATATACATTTTTTTAAATAATTATACAATTTTTGTGGACGGAATTGATACAATACTGTTTGATTAATACATGATTCGTATTTTTCTCAATTATAAATTAAAATAATATAAATAGTAATTTTGTTGATCACTAGTGCATAGTGTTGTAACGAAATCGAAAAAATTTAATTAAGATTCATAAATTAAAGCTGAAAAAATTTTTTATCACTCTAATTCCTAACATAGGAAAATAGATAAGAACATTTCCAATGAAAATAATTTTTAAAACATTTCTCAAAATTTGCTCTTTGTGTTTTTAAAACTTAACGTGTTTTTGTTTCAAGTGAATAAATCATGGTGCAGCAAAAATACACTTCTTAGCGTGTGAATTTCTTTTTTAAAAAAAGAAATAATCAATAAAATGAAATTATTGTTTTAAAAATGAAAAATACTTTCATTGAATTAAATATGTTACAATTAATCGATTTCTCTAAAGTTTTGAACGTTGAAATGAACGACGATATTTTTATTTCTTCTCTTAATTCTTATTTTATTTCGAATTATCATTTTGCATATTGGAAAATTTTATTCTGAAGTAAATAAAGAGCAGAATTTACATTTTAGTAAATTTACCTTTAGAATCGACGATTCAGAAGAAAAAAATATTTTTTAAGCAAATTATTAGATAGAATAGCTTGAAAAATTTGTAAAAAAAATTTCTAATCAACTATTTTAGATAGAGAAATTTAAAGGAGAGGAATTTTATTATTGTCTGTGGAAAAAATATTTTTTTTCTGAATCGTTGATTATAAATGTTATAAATTGCACCGACCTGAATTTACTTTCTTTTTCAATTTAATATAGTAATTGTTAAAAATATTTAAATAATAAATTTTAATAAATGTTTAAATATTGAATTTAAATAAATATTTAAATATTAAATTTAAATAAATATTTAAATATTAAATTAAAATAAATATTTAAATTTAATCATTCATCTGAACGTTCAAAATTTTTACGAAATACTAATTGTAAAAAAAATTACATGTAAGTGACAGTGCTGTGACATAAAGGACAAGCTCTGATATTAACAACATCTCGTTCAGAAGCTGCATGATGCTTGCAAACTGTGCAAATCCAAGCAGTATTTGGATCCATAATTGGTTTACCAGAAACAACACAGGCCGAAAATCTTGTCATGCAATTAGGACATGCAACACACCAATCAGGAATTAAACTCTCACAACTAACACATTCCGATTTTGTATTTCGTGTATCTTTTGGATTATGTTTCATGAAGATGTTCAAAGCCAATTCTTCATATTCTTCTCGTTGCGTGTTAGAAATTTGCTCCAATGCCTCAAGTTTAATAAAAGCCTTCGAACACGTTGCAAAAGCCTGATTGAGACAACTTGACAAGGCCAATAAACAATAAATATCCTCCGTCTCCAAAAAGTCCTCATATTCACGAAGTCTCAAAGCAGTTTTCATCGCCGAATCATAATTACCCTCGTAAAGTTGTTTATGAGCGAGAAGCAAAAAATGATAAGCCTCAACCCCTCTCCAGGCTGTTTCAATAACTCGAGTATCTTCATTACTTTCCGAAAGTCCCATAATAATGTTACTTCTCGTTCCCTTTGCTATTGGTGTACTATTGATGTGATCTTCGATGAGTAAAGCTGCCAAAACGTAAGTTTTTTTCACTCTTAATGGATTCGTTCGTCCCTTCGCCTGTTCCTCTGCTAATGTCATGAGAAGTTTTGCAGCTTCCAGGTGATAATTAGCCTTTTTATAAAGTTCAATTGCTTGCAATTTTTTTCCATTTGTTAATAAATGATTGGCGTATTTATTCAGTAGTTCACCAATCTGAGCCATTTTGTAAGTCTTGGCTAGATCGACAGCCTGGTCCCAGTGATTTAAACGCACGCAAGTGTCTACTGCTTGCTTCACATCTCCGTATTTAATGTAAGCAGCCACTGCCTGTGAGCACATTCCCACGGAGGCTAACATTTTCGCCACTCCCTTCAAAATAGGACTCTTGTCTGGCAATTGATCAACAGCCGTTGCCAACTCGTGATAATCTTCCAATTTGTAATAACACTCGACCAGCTTCTCAAGATTTCGTCCCTTCTCATAATATTCCCTTGCGCCCTGCCAATTCTGCCTTTCGGCAAAAAAATCCCCAATTTTATTGAAAGCATGCTCCATTTGCTTGTCCGAGCCACCGATACCCATTTTCATTAGTTGAACAACTCGAAAATAATCACCAAGTTTCTGTCGTAAATTAATCGCCAAATCTCTTCGGTCCAAATCGAGATATAATTTTTCCGCCTCGTCATAATTGCCAAGAAATGCTGCGATCTCCGCCTTCTTTAATTGATCATTATGAATATTTCTCAGTCGTTTTATGAATTGAATTCCCAAGTAATCCGTGCATCGAACCATTGCATTCTCCGCTGTTTCCAAATCCAAATCTTTCAGCGCCGATTCGCCCAATAAACGCCAAAGTCTAGGATGTGAATTATCTTGAATAAAATTATTCGCCTCCTTCAAACCAACTTTCGCCAATAACTCTCGAGTGTCTCTCAGAGATTTCACCTCTAAATCAATAACCAATTCTGATTTCGTCTCCTCTGGTTTCTGTATCAATTCGTCTAGAAGAACACAACGAATCTCCAAGTCTTGAAATGTGCAAATATAACCCGAACATGAGATCGGCTCCTCTGGATCCAAACCCCGAATGACGTACATTCGCGTCTTTTCCATAATTGCAATCAGAGATGGATTATCCTGGGCCCAACACATTGCCCAAACGTCCTTTCTCTCAAACTTACTGAAGTCCTCCTCCTTTTCATCGGTGTTGAAACTCTTCTGTGTCTCCAAGTCCAACATTGTCAGAACACCCGAATAGTCCATAATCGAAGCTCTTGTTGAATTACAATTTATCGCTATTCTACTGGGTTTATTTGTAGTGTTGTACCTGTTAATCAAAGTCACTTGCGGAAGAGAGTAGCGTTGTATCATTCCGGATTCTCTGCCTAAAAGTAAAAGTTTATCAGTAGCACAAATACAGCAGATTGGATCCATTGTGGCTTTCGTATTAAGCGGAGTCTCGAACGTTCTATCTTTGTCCAAATCCTGAATAACTTCGGTAACACCGGTTGGTGTATCGTCCACGTGGTATATTTTATCCCTCTTCATTCTCGATGCATTCAAAACAGAAGTGCGCGGAGTTCGAAAATTCCAGATCAAAAAATTATTCTTAGAAGCAGCGATAACTGCGTTGTTGGTCATTGTCACGTGCAAAGGTTCCAAATCGGTGAATTTCGTATCTATTGGCGTGGAAATTGTGTTGCAGACCATCAACACAAATTGCTCGGTCCCTTGCACTGGATCGTTCTTAACAGCCAGGAGGCAGTGTTCTCCCTGCGAAGTTATCGATATCAAAGACTTCACGTACTTTGTACAACAACTATTGTTGCTTGTATTCCAGAAAGTTATACAAATCCCGTCCTTACTGATCCTCTCGTTAGTGAACACGACCGTATTACTAAAGTAAGTCCATTTGTAATTCGGTCGTATGTTCGCGAAATAAATATGCGAATCGACCGATAAGGAGACACGTAAGGATCCACCCTCCCAGGAACAGCATGTGACTTCCCTGCCGGGAATTTTCAAAGTCCTGACATGTTGACCATGCGGGGTGTAAAATTGAATCGCGTTTGATTCTTTGCCATCGCCGAGATTAAAACCTTGTATTATTCCAGTGACGGCGAGCAGAGAGCCGTTCCCGTTCCAAGCGCACCAAACTGCTGCCATTCCGGTATTGATGACAATTGGATTTTCATCTGCTGTGTCTCGGGTTAGCTGAACTTTTCCACTTTGATAGCAGATTGCGAGTGTTGGATAGTCGAGGGAAGTGTAGCCATTCTTGCCGTCGTACCAGTGCATTGCGACGATAGTCTGCGGTTGGCCTGAATTTAAGGGAACGATGTTTAATTTCGTTAGAAATGTACCTTGATTATCGTAGAGATGCACTTCGCCGGTCTTCAAACCGAATAAAAGAAGTCTTCCATCAGGCGACCATTGCACTCCGGAAAGTACTGTGTTCTTTAGATCCTTGCCCCAGATTCGATTTCCGTCGACTGAGCCGACAATCACGGCACCGTCCTCATAGACAATGCAGATCTTTTGACCATCTTGGCTCCAAGCCATTCCCCTTACGACCGATTTGTTTCGGTTGTTTATCATCTCCTCGTACCAGGAGCCTTTGTACAGCATCCAGACGATTATGACGCCGTTCTGATCGCTGGAGGTCAATTTTTTGTACTCCTCGTTCCAAGTGACAACTTGCACGTGACCATTGTGACCCTCGAGTGTTTGATTCATACTGAGATTGTTGCTGGAAGCGACACCGCGAGTTTTACCACTGCTTGGTCCGGAAGTGCTTCCTTCAACTCGGAGAACTTTTAAGAGACCATCTTCTCCTCCGACGGCTATGAAACCCTGTTTTTGATTCCATGAAATGCAGTTCAGTCGATAATTGTTGGGTATGGCTATTTTTTTACTCAAATAGACAAACATGTTTTTTGGATTTTTTTTGGAATTGCCTTCAAATATTTTTTTTAGAAATTTTTTTCAAATTTGTCCCAAGTTGTCCTCAAGAATAAGATTTTTTGTGAAATTGCACATCATTTTTGTCATTTGAGTCCTCTGTCATTGGGATGTGAATTATCTGAAAAAAAAAAGAAAATATTTTAATTTCCATAAATTTTCTGGTTAGAAAATTTACTTAACTTTTGTTTTTAAATAAATTTTTATACTGTTAAAAAAATTCTAACACTAACTGTAAAAAAATTATTTAATTTGAATAATAATCAGTTATTTGACTTATCGAAAAAATATTCACAGTCAAAAGTATTGATTAAACCGATTAATTTTCAGTCAATTAATTAAAGTGTAGAACTAATAATTTCTAGATGTGAAACAATTACAATTTAATTTGTTCTAGTAATAATTTTTTTAATCAAATATTTATTTGCTGATGCATAAATATTTTATTATTTGACCTGAATTAATTTATAGAAAAAGTAAAAAATATTCTAAACGTTCAAATGAAGGAAATTTATTTATTTCATCTTCAAATTGAAATTTTATTATAATAATATCGCTTCACTTATTAAAAAATCTATATTAATAATCGTTGCATTCCCGTAATCTGTTCTCAGTTTGAAATTAGTTGCTGTTTGCTATTTTGTTTCCTAACTTTTAAAATAATTTTTCTTTTTAAATGTTTTAAATTTAAAAATTAATGTATTGAAAATCATTGAATTCTCGCAAAAAATTTTGTCAAAAACTTTGAGAATAATTAAATTCCTTCGAAGAATTTTATTGTTTACAAAAATAATTGAATTGTTACGAAGAATTTTATATCAGAATTGTTGAAAATAATTGAATTTAAATAATATTTTAAAAAATAATTGTATTCTTTCGAGAAATTTTATTAAAATTGTATTGCAAATAATTGAATTTCTGAAACATTTTATTATTTATGAAAATAATTGAATTTATATTAAAATTCTTTAAAATATTCGAATTTAATTATTTTTAAAAATAATTGTATTTTTTCGAGAAATTTTATTAAACTTGTATTGAAAATATAATTGAACGAAGTATTCTTTCCATCTGAATTTTTCGAAATTATTCACTAAAATAAAAATAAAAAAAATAAATTTGAAATTTAAATAAGTCAAAAATTTGAAATTTAAAGTTAAAATCAAAAAAATATTGAACGAATAATTTTTTTCACAGAAATGTTTTTTCAAAATTATTAACAGAAATAAAAATAGAAAACGTAAAGTTAACATTTTGAAACTATAAATTATTTTTAATACGTGACGGAATATAATTTTTAATAATTATTTAAATTTTAAAACAGAAGTAAATAAATTTCGATTTTTTGAACATTCAAAACAGTTCAAAACAATTCAATATAGTTTTAATGATTTGAATTTCGATCTATTTTTAATTTGTTTCAGTAGGAATAATATTTCATAATCAATTTTCTAAAATTATTTTGATAATAACTTATTTTATTAGAATTATTATATTATTATTTTTATTATTTATTTATATTTTATTATAATTAAATAATTATTACTCTTTTCAAATAAAATATTATTTACATATAATTATTTTGATAAAATAGTAAATATAGTGTTGTGCAAGTATTTATACATAGAAAAAGTAAAAATTCCATGAAAAGTAATCATAATAATCACAGATTTAAAATTATTCTGATAATAATTTTAATAATTACTTTAGTCAATATTTCAAAACCAATTTTCTAGAATTATTTTGATAAAGCAGTAAACAGTGCAAGGGTGCAAGTATTCATATACACAAGAAACGTAAAAATCATAAAAATAAATACACATTTCAAAAGTGAGGTTATGTAAAAAAAAATTAGAAAATTAACACGGAAAATTACCCCCTCAATTTAGAGAACTATGCAATAAATTATAAGATACAAAAATAAATTATCGATCCATGTATAAAAAGACAATTAACCTGATAGCATTATTGGTTTTAATCGGAACACTAAACAAAGATTAAAAATAGATTATAACTGTAGAAATTCTAGTAAAATAGTGTAAAGTACAATGAAATCAGTGTCAAAATTTATCATAATTGAAAAAACAATTGAAAACTTACAAATAAATTAGTAAATTATTAACTTGAATTAATTTTGTTTACATGCCTTTGACAGTTGTTGTCTTGTTGTGTTTTATTGACGTGACGGTGTGAAGTTAGCTGCGTAATAAATGCTAACAATCGATTATCGAACGCTTGTCGATTGTTTTCGAAACGAAACGGTTTCTCCAGTTGTTTTTTGTCTTTTAACACCGGTTCATTATCAGTACTTTATTGACAAAATTGATTTGTGTTTATTCACGTTTGTTTTAAATAATTAGTGTTTGATTTCGTTTGAAGTGCATTTTTTCCATATATACGCAGTAAATCATTGTGTATTTGGGAGTAATTGAGTAAATTATGACAAATTAGTTGTGAATTCCATGGCAATCAAAAGGATCAAAAGGTATTTGATATTTGACAAATTTTCATTGTTGTTTTTTACTTTAATTTGTAATCTTGCATTCTATTTTAATATATATTATTATTTTATTATCAATATTCCTTTCGTAACAGTATATACTTAGGTAGTATTTATCGAAAAAGATTATTTTTCTTTTTCGATTCGAAAATTGATTTTTTAGGTTACGGTAAATTATAACTTGACAATTTTTTAAGTCAACGACAATAGTTTAACCTAAAAATAATTTAATTCGTTTAATTTCTAAATTAAGACGATTCAAGCAAAACTTATTTTGTTTAGGCTTTATTCATTATTTTTACATTTTTCCATACATTGTATAATATTTTTATACACATTGTCTATAACAATTTTTAACAAAAGGTTTTTTTCATTTCCTCGGTAAAGTAATTATAATTCTATAGGCATATTTGTGAAATATGTATTATAGGCATGCTAGAGGCACAATTTTGTTTCCTTTTTCTTTACAATGCTGACCAATATTTATAAACTTTGAGAAAAAAAAATTCTTGCAAATGTGCATTTGAAAACAGAATTTCATAATCACTCGTTAATTGTTTACAAAAATAGTTGTATATAACAGCATAGTGTGCGAAATTGTAAATGGAGAATCACAAATTGTCGGTAAAAAAAAGCTATATAATACAAAATAATTGTTTCATCATTAAAAAACTTTTAACCTCTAAATATCTTTGAACAGAAAATTGATTTTTGGAGGGCAATCAAGTTTCTTATCTCGCAGGTACAAATGAAGGGTAAATTAATATTAGGCAATTATATAATCAAATTGAATTCTTGATCCTGAAATAGAATCTGTCTTTGAATAAAATGAGGTCAGCTATTCTTTTTATTTTGTCAATAAAATTCTTTAGTGCTTCGTTTCTATTTCTTCTAAATATGCCTTTTCAATTATGCAAAATAAACAGCACCATGCAATTCGATTTTTTTTTCTAATTATATTTTATTCTAAATCTAAAATAAATTTCTATCGACTTTTTTTAAGATTTATTTCAGGTCGCTAAGTTCGTTTTTCTTTATTTCACAAGAATTAATATAATTTCCCTGTAAGTACAACGCGATTCTAACAAAATAATTATTTGTATATTTTTGTTTGTTTGTATATTTAGCAAAGCGTGCCATTAATAATTTTTCTTTGTTTTAAAATTCTAATCTACTATCATTTGTTCAAAATTTTACAGTGAAATCTAGCCATTGTGCTATTTAAAGTTTTTAAATTTAGACAATTGTTTTTTGTTTCTGTTGAAATTGAAACTGATTTTAATTTTAGAGGTCATGAGGCCAAATTTTCAATGAAAGATTTTTTTTTTCTTCAATGCACTGAAATTGAGCAAATATTACACTGCTATCTGGAATTATTTCTTCTGGAATATCACTACTTCATCGATTAACACACGATTTTTATTTTTCTCGTGAAACTATTTTTTTCTCGTAAACATAAAATTGTTCTATGATGTTTACGAACGGAGATACTTTTTTGGTTTTTTTTTATGCACTTGCGTTATTAAGAGAAAAGCTTGCTGAAGAAGCTTTTTGGTTGGTCCTTTCTAATTGAATTCATAAAGATTTTATCAATATCTCGGAATACTTGCTCGCTACTTTTTGTTGCATTTACGTAATTATGAATTCCTTGTAGAGCATAGTAGTCGACTAGAGGTTGAGTTTGTGTATGATAGTTAGCCAATCGTTTCTTCAAAGTTTCTGCATTGTCATCTGACCTCTTTATTAGAGGTTCGCCTGTCACCTATAATTAAAGAAAGGTTAATTTTCTTTCTTTTGGAAATACACAAAAAAATGTGTTGAAAAATTTGGAGATTTTTAGAAAAATTACAAATAATTGCAGAAATTCAATTATTTTTAAAAGTAATCAAATTCTTCGTAGAAATTTAATTATGTTCAGAAACTAAAAAAAAAATTCGTCAAAATTTCCATTATCTTTATAGAAATAATTAAATTCTTCTACGAAATTCAATTATTTTTTAAAAATTTTAGTAAAATTCTTGTCAAAATTTCAATTTCAAAAAATTTTCTCAATTCAATGATTTTCAATATTTACTATTTTAATAAAATTTTCGAAAAGAATTCAATTATTTATTATTTATTTCAATTATTTTATTTTAATTATTTATTTATTATTTTCAATTATTCAATTATTTTTCATTTATTTAATTATTTATTTCAATTATTTAAAAACAGTTTTAATAAAATTCTACGCAAGCATTTAATTATTTTCATAAAATAATAAAAATTTTACAGGAATTCAATTATTTAAAATTTTTTTTATAAAGTTCTTCCCAAAAATTCAATTTTTTTAAAAAATAACAACATTTTTAGCAGGAATTCAATTGTTTTTTAAAATTTTCATAAAATTCTTAACAGAAATTCAATTATTTTCAAAAATTTTAATAAACATCTTTGAATTGTCGTAGAATTTTCTAATAAAAATTGATTTAAAAATGAATTTCAGTTAAAATTTGAGCTAATAATTGAATTTTTTAAAAAGTTTGCAAATTAAAATTTTAGGAAAATTTAGATTTTTCATACTTTTAACCAACAATTCTGTAGAATTAATTTTTTTTTGAAAAAGTTGAATTGAATCTTTTTGAAATTATTTGAATTTTTTATTTTCTACAATATATTTAATTGAAGAATTTCCGAATAATCGAATTCAAAATTCTTCTTCGAAATTCAATTATTTTCAAAAATTTTAATAAAATTCTTAGCAAAATTTCAATTATTATCAAAAATTTCCCTCAATTCAATGCTTTTCAATATTTATTATTTTAATAAAATTTTCTAAAAGAATACAATTATTTAAAAATTTGTTTAATAAAATTCTACGCAAACATTTAATTATTTTCATAAAATAATAAAAATTTCACAGGAATTGAATTATTTAAAATTTTTTTTATAAATTTCTTCGCAATAATTCAATTATTAGGTATCATAAATAATAAAATTTTTACAGGGATTCAATTATTTTCGTACATAATAAAATTCTTTTTAGAAACTCAATTCGTTTCATAAATAATAAAATTCATCGCAGAATTTCAATTATTTTGTAAAACAATTTTAATCGAATTTCTCGGAAAATGTAATTATTCTTAAAAATTGTATTAAAAATCGTAGAAAGAATTCAATTATTTAAAAATTTGTTGATAAAATTCTTTTTGGGAATTGAATTTTAAGAAACATTGAATTATTCAATAAATATTATTTATTTTGTATTTAAATAATTGAATTGGATTTTTTTAATAAAAATTGATTTAAAAATGAATTTCAGTTAAAATTTTAGATAATATTTGAATACTTAAAAGCAATATAACGTGAATTTTTAGAAATATAATTAAATTTTGAAATTAATTTTTTTTGAAAAAGTTTAATTGAAGAATTTACGAATAATTGAAATTCGTGAAATTGAATATTTTAAACACATTCGATTTGAAAATTATGAGAGAACTTTTCCGAAAATGAATTGATTTAAAGTAGAATTTTAGTTAAAAATTCTTGAAAATATTAATTGAATTGAAATGATGAAAATAATTTTGAAGATATTATAGTAACAATATTCTTACAATATAAAATAATGATTTTATCAATTAGCCATCTTTAATTATTATAAAAAAATTTAATTTATAGTTTTAAGTAAAATGTTCTCTTATTCAACTCGGACTGGTTATATTTTTATAATTTTTTTAAATGGTCCGCAGTTTTTTTATTTTTGGTCCGTAAAGTCCGTATTTTTAAATTCTTCTTCTGGTTCGAGCCCTGATCTCTTACATAAAATAAATAAAATAAAAAATAAGAAAAATGTGTAACAAATATCAAACTTGTTATTTGAAAGACTATCAATTTTGAATAAAGGTCAACAGATAACTTCATCAATGAATAAATAAGTTGGCTTATAAATAGATTAAAAATTGCTCGCCAATTCCAGTTTCTTAGCGAAATTCTAATGTTTGTGTATAAAAATTTTATTGAATAGAGAAACTAATGATTTTGAATTGTTTCTTCAGCAATTCGATTAATTTGCTTATTATTCGTTTCTTTATTTTATTTTTTAAATTATTTTATTATTTTTTAATTGTTTTATTATTTTTTAATTATTTTATTATTTTTTAAATTATTTTATTATTTTTTTTTAAATTATTTTTTTTATTTTTGTTATAATTTATTATTGTGAAAAATCTTACGTCGTCTTTCATGTGGACTCGAGGTGGAGCAAATTCTTCATGATAGGATCGTCCACTTGTTGGATGCACCAATCTGCCAGTAATTCTTTTCACTAGGAGATTATCATCGATTCCAAATTCAATGACAGCGTCTAGTTTTGTTTTCCTTTTAGTGAGCATTTCATCCAACTAAACGAAAAAAAATTTTGATTAGATTTTATTTTCTTGAAATTAAATTCAGAAGAGTTGTTTTTTTTATTTTAAATACCTTTTCTGCCTGAGGTACAGTTCTTGGAAAACCATCTAAGAGGAAGCCTCGTTTGCATTCAGGTGTATCCAATGTCTTATCAATCATATCAACCACAAGGTCATCACTCACTAATTTTCCATCTTCCATAATGGTCTTGACTTTTTTTCCAATTGCGGATCCCGATTTAATTTCCGCCCTCAACATATCTCCTGTTGATAAATGGCAAACGCAATACCTGTCCTTCAGAATTGGAGCCTGCAATTCATTTTGTAATATTCAAGGTTCGATCAAATTGATGATAACAAGGAGAAAAATTTGTGAATTAATTTCTGTTTTTCTCAATTATTCAAAGCAATTGTTAGCCACTTTGCTAAAAATAATATCATTTTGATTCTGTTTGTAAACTTTAATTGTTATTACATAATTGGCTAATAAAAAGTGTGATTAAATCAGAGTGTCATAAGGTATTTTTTCCTCGTGAAAGAATTTAAAGAATTATTTTCGAAAAAAAAGTATCTTGCTTTTTTCTATCGAAGTAATTAGTGGCACACATTTGACTTATTTTTCTCAGTGAAAAAAAATATAGAGTTGACTAGAAATTAGCTTGATCTTATAAATATGGGTTCAAAGTACATTTAAACATTAAGTGATAAATTACCTGAGTGCCTTTACCACTGCCGGGTGGACCAAGTAAAACAGCATTTATTCCCCGTGGAGGTGTTTCTAGTTTTTCCTTTGGAACTTCTTGTACACTGGGAGCCATTTTCGTTGATAATTGTTTAGTTTTAGTTTAGTGGATGGGGGAAAAAATTAATATTAATTTTATTTATTGTAAAATTATAAGAGGACAATTTATTGACTACTATACTGCACACAGCCTCACTGGAGAATACACAGTAGACGCTGCTATAATGAACACAAATGAACAATAATGAATGGACGCCAGTCGTGGCATAAAATGATCCGTGTTTCTGCTCCCTCTAGTGTATATTCACAGAATTATCTTGACCTTATTCGAAAATTTAAATCCAATAATTTAGGAATATATTTTACATACTTTTGAGAGTTTAACGCGAAAATTTTTAGATACGGTGAGAAATTTTTTTATTTTTATTATTAATTTTTTTATGAAAAATAATTATTTTTTCTAGAAACAAAAAAATGTTGAAAATATTTTTTTTATCATTTTATTATTTATTAATATTTATTTCATTTACAAACTTAAGATTTTTCACGTAAAAATTCTTAAATTTTGCAAGAAATTCTTTTATTTTTACTATTTTTATTTTTTATAAAAATAAATATTTTTTTAGAAAAAAAATATTGGAGAATTTTGCTAAAAGTATTGAAAAAATTAATTAATTTATTAATTAATTTAATAATTTAATAGTCAATTAATTTAATTGTATAGTGCAAAATTTCTGGTTTTTGGTAACAAGAAAACAAATTTTGAAAAATTTAAAAATGATTTTTTGAACATTTTTCCACTTGGTTTTTTATTTCTGAAAAGAAAGAAATTTATTTTCAATATAATTAAATTGTGGAATAACTTTCGTGCTTATTAATTAAATTTCAGTTTTATTTTAATTTAATTTTTAAACATTGTCTAAGAATTGAATGTTTAAAAAATTGTATTTAAAATTCTGAATAATTATCTTTCTTAAACATTTCTGCTCTCTTTGTGAAAGATAATTGATTTTTTATAAATAAATATTATTATTTTTTTAAATAATTATAATTCTCTGAAATTTGATTTATAATTGGATTTTATAGGAATTTTATTTAAATTTATAAAGAATTATGTTTCTAAAACATTTATGTCCTTTTTGTCAAAAATAATTGAATTTTTATAAGCAAATATTGCATTTTTTAAAAATAATTCAAATTCCATGGAATTTTATTTAAAATAATAGAATTTTATTATAAATTCTAAAGAATTATGTTTTTAAAACTTTCAGTTCTCTTTGTGTAAAATAATTGAATTTTTATAAACAAATAATTGAATTTTTTTTAAATAATTGAAATTTTCTGAAATTTGATTTAAAATAATTGAATTTTATAGGAAGTTTATTGAAAATTCTAAAGAATTATGTTTGTAAAATATTTCCTTTATTTTTGTGATAGATAATTGAATTTTTATAAACAAGTAATTAATTTTTTTTAAATAATTGAAATTTCATGAAATTTTTTTTGCAAAAATTAAATTTTATTTAAAGTTCAGAGGAATGATGTTTTCAAAACATAACTGTTCTTTTTGTGTAAAATAATTAAATTTTTATAAACAAGTAATTGAATTTTTTTTAAATAATTGAAATTTTCTGAAATTTGATTTATAATAATTGAATTTTATTGAAAATTCTAAAAAATTATGTTTCAAAAACATTTCTGTTCTTTTTGTCAAAAATAATTGAATTTTTATAAGCAAATATTGCATTTTTTTAAAATAATTCAAATTCCATGGAATTTTATTTAAAATAATAGAATTTTATTATAAATTCTAAAGAATTATGTTTTTAAAACTTTCAGTTCTCTTTGTGTAAAATAATTGAATTTTTATAAACAAGTAATTGAATTATTTTTTGAATAATTAAAATTTTCTGAAATTTGATTTATAATTAAATTTTATAGGAATTTTATTGAAAATTCTGAAGAATTATGTTTCTAAAATATTTTCGTTATTTTTGTGATAGATAATTGAATTTTTATAAATAAGTAATTTTTTTTAATAATTGAAATTTCATGAAATTTTATTTAAAATAATTGAATTAAATTTTAAATTCTGAAGAATTTCGTTACAAAAACTTTTTTTTTGTGAAAAATAATTGAATTTTTGTAAATAAGTTTTTTTTTTTAATAGTTGAAATTTCATGAAATTTTATTTAAAATAATTGAATTTTATTTTTAATTCTGAAGAATTATGTTTTTAAAATTTTCATTTCTTTTTGTGTAAAATAATTGAATTTTTATAAACAAGTCATTGAATTTTTAAAAAATAAATTTTAGAGTTAAAATTTTGTTTAATAAAATAGAGAAATCCTTCAATCATCGTAATTTAGTCAACTTATTAGAGTCAATAAACAAATTTAATAAAGTTAATTAAATTAATAACGAATTTAATGGTATTTCTGCAATCGTTTATTTACAACTGTGGTAATTCGCTCATTATAACAATGTTTCTCACAAGAAAATGGAATTTCTTTATTATAGAAATTTGCTAAACTTTTCATCCAATGCATTTTGTACACATATCCAATAAGCTCTTTTTTTTGTCTCCCTTCATATTACAATTCAATTTATTATTTATTTATTTATTCTTATTACAATCCAATTTTTGAAAAAATCACATTTGAAAAAATGTTTTCTTTTTTCAAGAAGTCTGTATATATGTGTGACTTAATTAATTCTATATTGTCCGATGAATTTGAAGTTTGATCGTTTTTAGATTATAGAATATACAAGCGTTTATATTATACAAAATGCAGCAGACAGGATTATAGATTATTTATTTACAGACAAATAACAAACAGATAAATTTAGCCCTGTATATAAATCATATAAGTCTATCAAAAATCAATTTGTTTTTGTACTAGGGTATATTTTCTAAGTGCTTGGACACACCTTACGCAAATATTATATTTATATATCATTTAACCATTTTTTTTTCATTCAACTGCTTATTTAATCTTAACAAATTATTGACTTTCGCAGTTTTTTTTGGAAATTGTTTGAGAGATAACGTGTGGTACAATATTTATCCTTTTTTTTATGCCTGCGCAAAATCGAGAATTCGTTAAGATTTTCTTTTTTCACTAATAATACATTTCACAAGTCTTAATCATCTTTCATTAATCATTTCAACCTCATAAAATGTGCAATGTTTAAAAACTAACAGTCACATTGTTCAGGGTATACTATTTATTTTTTTATCAGCAAAAAGCTTCTAATAGCGACATTTAAAGCTAACGTTTTCTTCGACCTTTCTTCTTCATTTCAATAAATTATTATTCGATACTGACCTCTTAATATATTATTCTACGTTGGAAAATTATTCTCATCCCTTTATTTTTCAAATTTGCCTTTTAATCGTATTTCTTATTCGCAATTAGTGAATTATATCCATATAATTCCACAGGATGTCTGATTATCCCATGGAAATCATTCGATAGAATTATCTGTCCTATGAAATTTGTTGTTTCGAATTATTAACACAAAAAATTTATTTATTTCAGAAAATGTGACTTTTTTCGACTTATTTTCAAAAATTGCAACTTTTTCGATTTTTCTTTTAAATATTGCAATAAAATATCACATTTTCAATATAAAATGCAACTTATTTCGATTCTTATAAAAAAAATAACTATAGACAAATTTTGGAAAAATTATTTTTTAATAATTTTTCTAATTGAATTTTTAAAACATACAATTAAAAAAATTTTGAACAATTTAAATTTTGTAAAATTTAATTGAAAATAATTGTTTTTTTCAAGTATTTTATTACAATTCTCAAAAATCAACCTTTGAAGAATTTTAATTACAAATTTTGAAAATAATTGCATTGTCAAAAATTTTAATTAACAATCTTCAAGACTGAATTTAAAAATGAAAATAATTGAAAATTAACTTCTAAAAATTGTATTAAAATATTTTTGAAAAAAGCAATTCTTTGAATTTTTTCTTTCTAATTTTTTAAATTTTATTATTTTCAATATTTTCAATTACGTATTTCCGAAAATTCAAATACATGTACAATAACATTAACATTTTTTAGAATTATTTTTAACATTTTGAAAAAAATAATCATGTTGAAAATTTTTCAAGAAATTAATTTTTTTTTAAATTAAATAAAAATTCTTTTAAGAAATTCAATTATTTTCGAATAATTACATTACTGTATTTTTAAAAAACTAATTTTTTTAAGATTGTTTTCTCATAATTTTTTAAAATTTAATTATCTTCGAACAAAGTAAATTAAAATTTTTAAAAGTATTCGAAATACCAAGCAAAAGATTGATAATTTTGGTAGATGATTTTAATTAGATTTTAAGTAATTGAAATTTCCTGAAATTTTATTTCAAATAATTGAATTTTATTTAAAGTTCTGAAGAATTATGTTTCTAAAACATTTTTTTTTGTGAAAGACAATTGGATTTTTATGAACAAGTACATAATTGAATTTTTTTTAAATAATTGAAATTTCCTGAAATTTTATTTAAAATAATTGAATTGTATAGGAATTTTATTTAAAGTTTTGAATAATTATGTTTTTAAATCGTTTGTTATTTTTTTTGAAAAATAATTAAAGTTTTATGAACAAGTAATTGAAATTTTATTTAAAATAATTGAATTTTATTTAAATTTCTAAAGAATTATGTTTCTAAAACATTTTTATTGTGAGAGACAATTGAATTTTTATTAACACGTAATTGAATTTTTTTTAAATAATCGAAATTTCCTGAAATTTTATTTGAAATAATTGAATTTTATTGAAATTTGTATAATTTGAAAGAAGTTTGACACAAAAACTATAATTTTTTATTTAAATTATGGAGATGCGAAATAACAAACGGAAAATTTTCCGTTTATAATAATTCTGCTAAATTATGGAGACACGAAATAAAAAACGGAAAATCTTCTGTTTATGATAATTCTGCTAAGTGATTTTAATGGAATAATCAGGCATTCCAACTCCACTTTGAGTAGAAAAAAATATGAAAATGAATATTGTATCATTTTGTCATTCAAACATTTTTTCACTGAATTAAAGAACTTTTCGAATTTTTAATCCGATGAAAAAATGAATCATTGTAATATTTTTTCAATTTCAAATCTAATAATCACCAATAATGGAATTTTTGTAAAATTTCAAAAAAATCCTAGATGTGATTGTTCGACTAGGTTTTTATGTTTACAAATGTTAATTATTGCACTTCCTATTTTAGAATATATATATATAATACAATATTATTTCCTTTTTCGCCAAAGGAACCTGTAATCTTTTTATTTTAATTTTTTTCTTGAAATTTTCTAAGCGTACACAATGATTAAGCTTATGAGAAATTCTAATGTCGTTGTTAAGTTTTATATTTTCAATTCTAAATCTTGGAATTACAGCTTCAATAATTCTACTCAGAACTATTATGCACTAATAGAGATGATGGAAACAATTCGTAAGGTGCGTTTCTTTCTCTTTCAATTTTGCCAAAAATTTCCTTTTTTAGATTTAAGATAAAATATAGATTTTTTCTTAAATATTGAGCAATTTTTTTTTTTTTTTTTGCTTATCGAATTGTATTCCAAAACTGTAATCTGCGTTTCTTCTAAACTTTATAAATTATTCTTTCTTTTTTCTCGAGAAATAGTGACAGGTGCACTATAAATTTTCAAACTGATTCACAATTTGCAAATAGAAGCGATTTCGGCGTATGTATTAATATTATTTTTATTATTTATGTAAAAATAGATTCTAAATTTTTTTTTCATTTTTTTATTCGAGGAACGATCAAGGAACCGTTATTTTATTAAGATTGTAAATTCTGGGAGTAAATATTTTTTTTATACAAATTATGAATCATCATTTTCGAGATAAAGTGTGACTCCGTATTGGATTAACAATTTTTTTTTTAATTTTTTAAAAATCTATTTAGCAGAAAACACCTTCTATTTGCCTACTTTTTTTTGAGGGAAGATGAATGACGGTTTCGGTACAATGTTATAGCAAATTCTTATATTGAAAAGATGATTATATGAATATTATTTTTTTTTTTCAAAATGGACAATATTATTGTCTATATGAATGTGTATTCCTTCTATAGTCTATCGTCAATTTTTAATAAAAATGAAAATTTTCGCAACGAAAAAATAATATTGTTTTAATTAAAATGATTATTAATTAAATTTTCCATGAAATTTATAAAACAAGAAATATATTTTCAAAAAAACAAGAATACTTTTCCTAAATTCACAATTTGTCTATTTAATATTTAATTAATTATACTAATAATAAAAAAAATATGCGATATTAATTATAGAATATTATAAATAAAAACGACGTATGAAATTCATTATAAAAATAGATTCTAAATACTACAAATTTTTTTTTTTTATAAAATCATGAAATTCACAACTTGTGTTATAATAAAATTAAACTCTCGAGATATACAATAATTTCGAAGCTGACGTACATAAATAATAAATCACAAAATTAATATAATGTTTACGTATATATAAATTAATAGATAGTTATAAACAGAAAATTTTATTATCGAAAGCTCGAATAGATGAGGCCTTTTTGTATATAAGAGGACGGTGTAAAAATGGGTGATAATTTAAGTATTAGACGTTTTAAAAAAATTTTATCACTTGACAGTTACATTAATCAACATTTTTTTCAGGCAAGTAGTTCAATAAAGTAAAATCACTTTTTTATTATTCTATAATAATTCACTGACCATTAGAAGTAGAATTATTAGAAAAATGTTCCTAAAGTTCCGAATGTTCAAATGAATAATGAAATTTACTTATTTCTCTACCAAATTCAAAGTTTACTATGTATATAATAATTTTATGTCAGTTGTATTGAAAGAAGATTCATAAGATTCTAATTTCTAAATGTTTAATTTGTATTCTATTTTTAATTTCAGTGGATAATTTCTCAAAAGTTTATATTAAAAAAATACTTCTTTTGAACATTCAGAATTTTTGGAATATTTAGAAAATTATTTTTGAAATTGTAAAGAAAAAATTTAAGAAAAAATGTCGAAAACATTTTGGAAAGACATTAGATTAAAAAACAGTTCTTAAAATTGAAAAAACGTAAGTTTCTAGTTATTTAAGGGAAGAAATATTTTTAACTATATTAAGAAAATACTTAAAATCATAAAATTATTTTTATGTTAATTTTTTTTCTAAAGATTTCAAAATATTTTGACTCTTTTTGAATTTTTATTTTTCCTATAAAGTAAAAATTGATAAATTTTGAAGTCCAGGCGTAATTTTGTAGAAAACATATTTTTCTAACTAATTTTAAATTATGATTTTTTATATAAAAAATAAAAAAATTCTGGTCAAAATAAATAAATTTTCAAATAAAAAAGTGAATAAAAAATTGTATTTTTTTAGCTTAGAAACAATTTTTTTGAAATGCTTCAAAAATATAGTTAAAATTTTTCTACAAAATTACGCATGGATTTTAAAATTGATGAATTTTTACTTTTTGGGAAAAATAAAAATTCAAAAGGTGTGAAAATATTTTCTAACCATAAGGAAATAAAAATATTTGAAATATTTTCTTTGTATAGTTAATAAAATCGGTTTACCCTCCCCCCTTAAATTCTTGAAAATCTAAATTTCCAAATAATAATTTAATAACTTTTTAAAAAATTTTTCTAAAGAAATAAATTTTTTTACTAAAGAATTTTATAATTATTGAAAAAATATCAGTTGATAATTACATAATTTCTTTGAACCTAAAAACAAATATTTTTTGCAATTCTATCTTTCTACTGTCATTACGATCAAGTATAAAATGGAATATTATTTATTACTTGAATTCAACAAAATTTGCAAAAGTAATCAAACTCGCAATTATCCTTCTTAAATATTTTTCTCACCATATTAAATATATCACATACCTTTGCATTTTTTGCTTAATTCAAGTTGGTCCTAAGTACAATATTTTTTTTTTTGATACTCCATATTCTCTACAATATTGCACATCTCAGTTTTAAACAATAGTGTTCAGTTATATGAGATTTCTTATATTTAACAAATTCTAGTATCTTATGGTCTTTCGAGACCTATGGATACCGGCACTGTTTTTTGCGATAACTAGTAGATTTGGTACTCAGAAAAATTGTTGTTTTCCCCCTTAACAATTGTAATAAAACCAGCCGTGCACTGGGCGCTTCTTATAGTTTTAAGTTTAACTATTATTATATACAAATAAGTGCCAAATATTTGGTATTATATTTATAATTCAGGTAAAAGTGTTCTTTTTTTACTTGAAACACAAAATTACCCGAATTGGGCCTGCTTGTTTCACTTTGTGACTAAAATGCGAGCATTTTATGCTTTGAAAAATTCCCTTGGTAATTTACGGTTATTGTTAACAATTATCGAAATCGTTTTTTTTTACATTGAATAAACGATTCTGTAAATCCGATAAAGTCGGTTGGGCCATCAAAACTGATCTTTAATTTTCCAATATAAATATCTAGAAAAAAATCGACATTTGCAAATTTCCATTGTACATCAATATGGCAGTTGTATGACATCTTTTCTTTCTAATTTGAAAATTCAACCCTGATTTCTTTTCATGCCGATTGGTTTATTTTTCAAACCTTTTGAATTTTTTGTATATTTTCCTATTTCATTTGTAAACGCCGTTGGAAATTTTAATCAGGTTTTTTTAAAATTGTCCTTTATATCTGTACGAGAACACACTGCATCTTTATAAAAATTTACTTCTGTTCATTCTTTTTATACTAACTTTCGTCCCTAAAGTTCTCAACGTTCAAATGAACGAAATTTATTTATTTCCACATTAGTTTCGTTTTCTGGATCGAAACAAATTAATTTGAATTTTTGTTCTAATTCAACGCGATATTATGTTTTACTTCGGATGAAGAAACAAAATTTTAATTTAATTTTTTTCCAGTACTTTTACTAAAAATCCCTGACTTTTCCCTGATTTCCCTGACCTATGACAACCCTGAATTCGGAATCAAAACGCATCAATAATTTCTGAAAAATATTCCCTTCATTTAAACGTTCAGAACTTCTGGCTCACATTTTTCAAACGATCATCTTTTCAGAAGAAACTTTATCACATTTCTGATGTTACTGAAATTCGTATCAAATTGTACATTCATCCAGTATTGTTTCTGTTATATTTCATTTTAATGAAATTAATGAAATATGAATTTTTGAAATTTACAAATTTTTGTCTGAATTTAATCGTAGTTAATGCGTTTATCCAACACACCAGGATAAACCTAGTGTGTCAGTCGCCTGTTTCATATGGGATCTTGACTATTTACAGATTGCGAACTACGAGACGTTTTCCGGCTGATTGGCTCCAAATATGCCGCGGGTGCCCAACCTTCGATTCCGGATCCGATTAATTTAACGAACCACCAGCCTGCACAGCCAACCTTTAACAATTCCAAGTGATCACCTTCGCGCATCGTTACTTCCGATTGACCAACTGCACAGTAATCAGCCAGAGCCACGTATCTTCCGCCCTGAAAAATTACGTAAGTTTTTACTTTTTATTTTTAATATTCTTCTTTCTTTTTTTCACCTTTTTTGCGCACTATACTTTATTAGACTTATGGTCAGGTGTGTCTAAGTTTAGCTTACGACCTTATGAGTCGTGACACGTGAGACAAAAAGCAGAAAACGAAACATTAAAAAGTGAAAAAGAAATTAAAAACAGAAAAAAAGAAATAAATAAAAGAACAAAAAGAAAAAATATGATATGAATAAATTTTGAAAAATGACTAAGTAACTGATTTGTTACTTCGTAGAATCTTATTAAATTCATTAAATAAAATGATCAAATTTAGAGGCAGAAATTAATAAACGAAATGCTGTAAAAAAAATTCTACCCACGTAGAATTTATACATTGATCTAATTTTCAAAGTAAGAACTTACTGCTTACTTTTCCGTCGATTATCTTGTTACTTTTCCCAAAAGAAAGAATTGTGTGTATGAAAAAAATTTGATTTTCAAAATTAGGAGCGAAAAAATGATACTCACAGGTGCGGGTCCGGGATTTTCACTGAATGTATCTTCGTCGTCGGTATTACTATTTTCCGAACTCCAACCCACGTCCTCTTCGGTCGACTGGGAAACATCCGAAATGTGAGAAATAACACTGTTCCCATCCACAGATAATGTTCGTAGAGAACCGGAAAGATTGCTTTGAGCATCCCACGAAATTGTTTGTCGAAGTGGTCTAAAAAATTAAAGTCAAACATAGAATCATTTTCGAACGTTCAAAAGAACGTTCGAGATATTACACAAATATCTTTTCCCTGATTCCCCTGACCTGTGGCAACCCTGATGAATTAAGAAAGAAAAGAATGAAAAATTTAGTTATTTTAGACATACTTGTGGTTCGTTTTCCCAAGAGCTGAACACTGCTTCCCCTTGAGTTCCGCTAATTGGGACATTAAAACTCCCTTAATTTGTCGTACCCAAGATTGTTTTGCGTCAACACTCGGTGCTTGAATAGTGTGAACCTCAGCACGTCCTTGTAACCAAATTTCAAATCTTCTTGCGTCCCCCTTCACCGATTCTGTCAAGCCAATCTGGGACATCTAAACCAAAAATATAAATAAAATCTCTTGAAGTTATACCTTTCGGTAAAATGGAAAATTAACTAGAAACAATGTAGATTGGGAAAATTGATAATTTTCTCCTGCTAATTAAAAAAGATGAACTATATGAACCTTTAAATATCTTTTAAAGTGATAGGTCGCTTTGTCGTGTGCCTGAGGTTTGCTGTGTTTACAAAATATAATTGCTTTTTCGTATAAAAAGATGTGCCGTTGCGATGGTTTTAATCTGAGTAATCGTTCTCTTTTACTACTAGACCAAACACTAAACGAGCCCTGTAATAATAATTCCCCTTGCACACTTAAATCTCCCTGTAAAAGAAAAAAAAATTAATATTATTTGAATTTATCACTAACGTATTTTTAACAAGGGGGAAATAAAATTCTACAAACCCCGAATCCAGTGATTGCAGTTTGATGCATACTGTCATTAACGCACTTCAATACAATGAGCATACAATCCAAAGCCTCTTGCAATTCAGTGCAACATGATTGTTCATCGCTATATTTTAAGAGATCCTTTAACAAAAGTTGATACTTTGTTATTCGTTGCACTGGCTTTAGTAGATAAGCAGCCAATGGAAGTTTATGACCTAATTTCTGTTGACATGTCACGAGAAATTGTGGTTCATTTTGTATTTGTTCACGTAACCTCTCTGATCGTGGAATATTTTGACAATAGTAACTATAGAGCCGGAAGAAAACCTCTCGCTGTAAACAGTATTTATTATCAGTAATCCTGATAATAAATCAGAATTACTGATTTTTTTAAAACAATTAAAAATAATGAATGTTTTTTTTAAATCATTACCCTTTGTACAAAGCATAATGCCACAAGTTCCGTATTTGAAATGCAATTCTCTAAATCCCGTAGAAATGTTTCGCCGTGAAAAATGCAAATTTCTTCTAAATTTCCAAAGAGGACGTCGACCTTGCCTATTAATGCGGCTGGCACTAAATGTGTCATTGCTTCGTTCGTCAATTCCATTTTGTAGCCTTTAATAATAGAGCCAAGTTCGGCTACGTAAATTCTTTCGGTTTCTAAAAGTTCTGCCAGAACGTGTCCTCGTTTTTGTTTCAAGACTTCGATATCACGGGGTTCACTTTCTGGTGATGATGATTCGCCCTCGATTGGACACATTTCCATCTGGAAAATTTATTTAATATTAAATTATATTTAATTATATTTCTTCAAAACTATTTTTGCATTGTTTTGTACTCACTTTTGGCATTGTGTTTGCTTTTTTGAGAATTCTACCAGGTTTGATGATTTGTGGTGCTGGTTGCAGGGGTTTTGCTGGTTCTGGTGTCACTGTTTGCACTGGTCTCGCTGGTTTCATTAGCTGCTGTTTCAATGCCATTATCCTCTTGTCGCACATCATTGACACATCTTCTATTCGTTGCAAAACCTGGAAAATAGATTTTGATTGTATTTTCATTTTCATTTTTTAATTCAGTTGAAATTGAAAAAGAAGAAAGAGAGAAATTCTTGGGACAAATAATTTTTTTAGTAGATTACTACTGTTTTTACGATTGACTTCTATTTGGATACTTTTATTAAATTTGTGACACTGAAACCTACTTTATTCTTTTTTTTTTGTTTGAAAATTTGCACAAATTTAAATCTGCTAATATTTGAAATAAAAGAATTATTCTCAAAAATTCTAATAAAATTTTCAGGGCTCGAACCAGTGAAAATATTAACAAATACGGACTTTACGGACCAAAAATGAAAAATTACGGACCTTTTGCAGACCAATTTCTGATAAAAATTTAACCAGTCCGAGTTTTACTCAAAATTTTACTTAAAACTATAAATTAAATTTTTTCATAACTATAAAACATGAAGAAATCGGTTTCATGAAGAGATCGGTTTCTTCATGTTTTATAATAATTAAAAATAGCAATTTGATAAAATTATTATTTTATATTATAAGAATATTGTACTTTTTCAAAATTATTTTCTTCATTTCAATTCATTTGTAATTTTTAAAGATTTTTAACTAAAATTCTTTTTTAAAGCAATTAATTTTCGATAAAGTTCTCTGATAATTTTCAAATCCATTTGTTTACAATATTCAATTTTACGAATTTCAATTATTCATAAATTTTTCAATTAAATATACCTTAGAAAATAAAAACTTCAAGTAATATAAAAAAAATTCAATTAAACTTTTTCAAAAAAATTAATTTCAAAATTAATTTTTTTTTTTAAATCCACGCTATATTAACTCACACTTTTAATATTCAATTAGTATCTAAAATTTTAACAGAAATTTATTTTTAAATCAATTTTTATTCCAGAATTCTACTGGAATTCAATTATTTTAATACAAAAATAAATAATTTATTGAACAATTGAATGTTTCTTAAAATTCATTTTCCATAAGGAATTTTATCAACAAATTTTAAAATAATTGAATTCTTTCGACGAATTTTAATAAAACATTTTCAAGAATAATTATATTTTTTGTGGATTTCGGTTAAAATTGTACTAAAAATAATTGAAATTATGCAACGAGTTTTATTATTTATAAAAATAATTAAATTATTGCGAAGAAATTTATAAAAAAAATTTTAAATAATTGAATTACTGTGGAATTTTTATTATTTCATGAAAATAATTAAATGTTTGCGTAGAATTTTATTAAAATTTTTTTTAAATAATTGAATTGTTTTCGAAAATTTTTTTAAAAATAGTTAATATTGGAAATCATTGAATTGAGGATATTTTTTGAAATTGAAATTTTGGCACGAATTTTATTAAAATTTTTAAAAATAATTGAATTTCGGAAAAGAATTTAATTATTTCTAAAGATAATTGAAATTTTGACGAGAATTTTTTTTTAATTTTTGAACATAATTAAGTTTCTGCGAAGAATTTTATTAATTGATTTTCTGCAATTATTTTAAAAACTTAAGAGAAATTTTTTGAAAACATTTAATTAATTTAATTAGTTTCAAAATTTAAATAAAAACTAAATTTTCAGTTCAAATTTTAAGAAAATTAGTTTATTTTTAATAGATTTCAAGAATTTAGTCAAACAAATTTAATTATTTTCAAAAAATCTGATAAAACTCTTCTAAAAAATTCAATTTTTTAACAATATATTAGTCAACTCTAATAATAAAATTATTATTTATAAATTTTTACCAAAATCTATTATTTAAAAAAAATTTAAAGAAATTCTTCAAAATCAATCAAATATTTTCAAATGTTTTAAATAAATGTTTGTGAATTTAATTTTTTTTATATGTTGATAAAATCCTTATCTAATTTTAAAAAATAATCAATTATTCTATTAATTATTTATTTTTGTATTTAAATAAGTACCTAAATTCTTGTGGAACTTTCTAATAAAAATTGATTTGAAATTGAAAATGCATTTCAGTTACAATTTTAGATTAAAATTGAATCTTAAAAATGCGTCATAATATGAATTTTTAGAAATAGATAATTTTCAAAAAGCTTTTAAATTAAAATTATTTAAAATCTTAATTTCTAGGGGGAGAATAAATAAGTATTTATATTTTTGAACAAAAATTTTTCCAGTAAAAATAATTTAATTTAGAAATTATTAAAAAATTAATTTTTTGAAAAATTTTTTTTTAATTTTTTTAAATATAAGGAAATTTTCTAAAAAAATTAAAAATGTTTATTTAAATTTCGAATTAATTGGAAATTTTTTCAAATTTAATTGAAATAAATTTTTATGTTTGAAAAAAATTTATTTTGTTACTGTCAAAAATTATTTTTAAAAACAATCGAATTTTTGTAGAATTCTAACTTAAAATTTGGTAAATAATTGAATTTGGTAAAAATTTGGAATTGAAGTTATTATCAGAATAAGAAAAAGAGGGAATATTTTTTATCGAAATCAGGAAAATGTCAGAGAAATACAGAATCAATTTTTTTTTTTTTTAATCGACTAGAACGAGTTTTTTAGTCGTCAAATTTAATTTTTCAATAGCTCCTTTTTTTACCACTTTTTCAGTCTCAAAGCTACGTTTTTAAAATTAATTATTGAGTGCGAAGCCTGAGACTAGGATTTATTCATTCCGATGAATTACCTGAGTGACAAGAGCTTTAGTTTCTGGCATAATAGAATCCTGAAAAATGCATCGCGGATGGTGAAATTCTTCCGCTGCTTCTATTAATTGTTGAAGTTCCTGAAGAGCTTGATCCGCTGGTGTCAAACTATTTTGGGCTGCTAGCAATTCTATTCCTTTCGTACACCAAGTATTCGCCTAAAAATTCATAAGTTGAATAGGTTTTTAAAAAATTGTTTTTCAAAAATTCTTAAACGTTTCAAATGAACGAAATATTTTTGAAGTTTTTTTTTGTGGGTTAGTGGAAACTCTGGTAATTTGTTTAAATTTTCATCGTACCTTATCGATCCTTTCCATAAGCTCTCGACATTTTGTCAAAGTAACGAGTCGCCTTTCTAATCTTTGACTCAAAATAGTGCACACCCTTTGAAGTTCCGCGCATTTTGGTTCGACAACTTCTGCAGGACACTGATGTCTTCCTGAAAGTAATTGCTGACCAGCGGTGATGACTTCTTCTGCTCGATCTATGTCTCCCTATAAATGCACAATTGTGCATTTCAAAAAAAAATGTTTCTCATTAGATATTGATTTTTGTTGAACAATTTAGAAAAAAGCCACTAAAAAGTAGAAATATTTACTTTACTTCAATCAATGCACAACTTTTTATTTTTTTTTTTGCTTCTTTACTTTGATTATAGTATTATACCAAATTATTGAATTAATCTTATACAGTGAAAGTAGAATTTTGTAAAAATAATCTATTTCTTCGTGCACAGTTTAGAGCGAAAATAAAAATGACGACCATTCACATAAATATCATGCCGAGATTAAATACGAATTAAATCCCTATTTGAAATAATTTACAAATAATTTACAGTTTGATTTATATTCTATTTTTTATTCCTTATTTTTCTCTTTGACGAAACGTGACATTTTGGAAGTTCTTTTAATTTTAGTTCAATTTCAATAAAGATCAGTAAAAATTTTGCACAATGACTGGAAAAACAGTAAATGATTGGAGGAATTATTTAATTGCTTGGACCGAATGATTTCATGATATTCAAATGATAGAAGAGTAAATTTCGAACAGTGATATGCGAATAGAGATTTAAATCGATAGAAAACGAAAAAATCTAATTTTAGAATCATGAGGCAACACAGTTTTTGAGATATTTGATAAATTGATTATTTAAACAATGGTGTTCAGCGATTCATGGTTTTCTATTGTTTTCGAAAATACTTATAACTCAACTGTTAAATATAACTGTAAAAAAGAATATTAAGAACTTTTGTCGAATTTTGAGAGAATTTTGAAAAATGTTTATTCAAAAAAAGGTATTTTATTTTAAATTTGTTTTAGAGGATCATTGAATTATTAGTTACTGTTAGCAATCAATTTTTAAATTTAGAATTAATTTCAGTGAATTAGAAGAAGTTTTAAGAAATTAGTGTTTCAATAAATGTCTAATGGAAAATAAGTAATAATAGAGTAATAAATAATATATTCTAACTAAATAGATAACTAATAATTAAATATAGTGATCTTGCTTGATAATTAAAATAAAATTTGCAACTAAATCTAACTTGCAGACTAATCGAATTGATATTGCATCTGGGTCAATATGATTTCTTGTACCTTACCGCTGAACACCATAACTATAATTAAATATATTAATTTCCTTGAGTGGATTGCTTACCAAGACCCAAATCCACATGGTATGCAACAAATAGGACTATCGACAAAATGAGGAAAGCGGTGCAAAGTAACGTCTGTGCTTTTTGTGCATTGTGTGCTTATAATTCAATTTCTCAAACCAAACAGTTATTTTTAACTGATTTGAAACATTTCTAATTTAAATTCAGGGAAAATTTAAATCGTTAAACTATTTAGAAACATTTTAACTGTTTAAAAATATATTTGAACTACTAGAAAATATTTCAACTATTTGAAAATATTGAAACTAAATTTTAATTTAAAGAATTTCTTATTTATACATTTTTAGTTTTCTTTCAAATTTTTAGAGTTGTGCAGGAACCATCACAGAAGTCTAATTTAATTTATGTTTTGCTATTTTAATTCGAGACAAAATTAGAAATGTGACAAAAGTCTACTCCAGATTAATTTCTGTTCCTGGATCAAAACAGAAATTAATTTCAATTTTTCTTCTGATTGAAAACAAAATGCACTTTTGTTTCAGAAACGAAACGAAGCTGACTTTTTATTCTGATCTTGATATCTAAGCAGAATTCACTTTTGATTTAAATATCATAATCAAAATTGACTTTTGATTAGTATTCCGGAAACCTATAATCCAAAACAAAATGTTTTTGAATTTGGTTCTGATTTCGTGACGGTCCCTGAAATTTTCAAGAAAATAACGATAAATTTGGTTTGAGGAAGATAATTTGCAATCCATTATGTGCATATTTACAGATAGACTAGTGCTTTTGCTGCTTATTCCTTGCATTTTCCTTGAAAGCTGAGCATTTAAGAATGCTCTTCTCGAATGATTAATAATTTATGAAATTTTTAATTTTTCTTTTCAAACTCGACTATACACGATGGTCTTTTAGGAATAATTTGCTTTTATATTATTATGATGTGAAGTGTTTGAAATTGTGTAATGATCATTTCTTTTAGTAATAATGTCGTTCATCTTACCCTGCATATTCTTTGAAAAGTAGAAGTATCCCGCAGCAGTTGATCAACTCTTGCCTGAGTTTCCCCGACCTCCGTCATATCTTCAATGGTTTTTAAATGCTGATCCAAATTTGCCTGCAGTTCCCTGAAATCCTGCTCGAATTGCCGAAGAGCCAAGCAATGCCTTAATCGCGAACTGTGATGAGACCAAAATAAGTCGAAAGTCCTCTCGGTTTCCTCCAACTGGACCAATAGCCTATTTAACCAGTAACAAATTTATTAAAAATTACAAACTATAAATTTTTAGTATTCAATTATAAAATTTGATTATATCCAATTATAAAATGTTTATGGTTATACACGGAAAAAATTAATTTAGCAGATTTTACAAAACTGTTACCAGGATTGACACGCAATTTCAATTTTGTATGAATTAATTAAGTAATAAAAATTTCATAGGAATTCTATTATTTACAAATTCTTTATAAACTTCTTCGCAATAATTCAATTATTTCCATAAATAATCAAATTTTTTAAAGAGATTCAATTATTTTCATAAATAGTAAAAAACTTTATAGATTTTCAATTATTTTCATAAATAATAAAACTCAACTAATTTCAATTATTTTCAAAACAATTTTATTAAAATTTCTCGAAATATGTAATTATTCTTAAAATTTTTTATTAAAATTCATCTTTATATAAATTTATATAAATAATAAAATTCTTCGCAGAAATTTAATTATTTTCTAAACTTTTCATAATTTTCGCAAAAATTCAATAATTTTCAAAAATATCAAATTTTTTTATCAGGAATTCAATTATTTTCAAAAATTAACATAAAATTTTTCGCAAAAATTGTTTTATTTTCAAAACTTTCAATAAAGTTCTTGACAAGAATTCAATTACTTTTATAAATAACAAAATTCTTCGTCAGAATTTAATTATTTTCATAAAGAACAAAATTCTTCTAAGAAAATCAATTAGTTTTAAAAATCGTAATACAATTCTTGTCAAGAATTCATTTATCATTATAAATATCAAAATTCTTCGAAAAAATTCAATTATTTTCTAAAGTTTCAAATAAATTTCTTGGAAAGAATTCAATTATCTTTTCATAAATAACAGAATTCTTCCCAAAAATTCAATTCTTTTAATAAATAACAACATTTTTAGCAGGAATTCAATTCTTTTTTTAAATTTGCATAAAATTCATGGCAAAAATTCTATTATTTTCAAAACTTTTTATAAAGTTCTTAACAAGAATTAAATTATTTTTATAAATAACAAAATTCTTCGTAAGAATTCAATTATTTTCATAAAGAACAAAATTCGTAGTAGAAATTAAATGATTTAAAATTTTTTTTTACAAAATTCTTCGAAGAAATTCAATTATTTGGAAAGAATTCAATTATCTTTTCATAAATAACAGAATTCTTAACAAAAATTCAATTCTTTTAAAAAATAACAACATTTTTAGCAAGAAATCAATTATTTTTTAATATTTTCATAAAATTCTTCACAGAAATTCAATTATTTTTATAAATAACAAAATTCTTCGTAAGAATTCAATTATTTTCAAAAATTAAAGAACAAAATTCTTAGTAGGAATTAAATTATTTAAAAAATTTTTTTACAAAATTCTTCGAAAAAATTCAATTATTTTCTAAAGTTTCAAATAAATTTCTTGGAAAGAATTCAATTATCATTTCATAAATAACAGAATTCTTCCCAAAAATTCAATTTCTTTAAAAATAGCAAACATTTTTAGCAGGAATTCTATTATTTTTTAAAATTTTCATAAAATTCTTCACAGAAATTCAATTATTTTCATAAAGAACAAAATTCTTAGTTGGAATTAAATGATTTCGAATTTTTTTTATAAAATTCTTCGAAGAAATTCAATTATTTGGAAAGAATTCAATTATTTTTTCATAAATAACAGAATTCTTTAAAAGAATTCAATTCTTTTAAAAAATAACAACATTTTAGCAGGAATTCAATTATTTTTTTAAATTTTCATAAAATTCTTTACAGAAATTCAATTCTTTTCAAAAATTTTATTAAACTTCTTTGAATTCTCGTAGAATTTTCTAATAAAAATTTATTTAATAAAAATGAATTTCAGTTAAAATTTGAGATAATAATTGAATAATATTAAAAGCATTATAGCGTGAATTCTTATCAATAAATTGAATTTTGAAAAGTGTGCAAATTAAAATTTCAGGAAATTTAGAATTTTTCATACTTTTGACCAACAATTCTGTAGAATTAATTTTTTTTGAAAAAGTTTAATTGAATTTTTTATTTTCTACAACAATATATTTAATTGAAGAATTTCCGAATAATCGAAATTTTACGTAAAATTGTATTGTAAAGAAATGGATTTGTAAATTCTCAAAAAGAACTTTTTCAAATATTTTTTAAATTTGGAGAAGAATTTTGGTTAAAAATTTAAAATTTTAAATTTTAAATTTAATTAAAATTAAAATTTTTATAATAATAGAAAATAATGATTTTATTGGTGGGTCATTTTTAATTATTATAAAACATGAAGATATCGATTGCTCCGAGTCAAAGACTCGGAGTGATCGATTTCTTCATGTTTTATAACAAATTTTTTATAAGTTGTTTAATTTCAAAAAGGTTTGAATTTAAAATTTTTTAAAATCTTAATTCTTATGGAAAAATTATAATGACTAATTTAATAATTAATTTTGTAAAACATAAATGGAAAAATCATAATGACTAATTATTTAATTAGTTATTAATAATTATATTAATAATTATAAATAATTAAATTTATAATTATATTAATAATTATAAATAATTAAATTAATAATTATTAATGTTACTCCGTAACAGTTTTGTAAAAACTGCTAAATTTATTTTTCCCGCGTAACAAAAAACGGAATGGAAGTTTTGTATTATTTTCGTATTTTTACTTTTGTTTTGTTTTTGTATTTTTTTTTGTATTTTTGTTTTTTTGTTTTAATATTTTCGTACCTCTCAATCGCAGCTACGTTTCCTAATCGATCAACAGTCCCTTTTCCAGTTAGTTGACGAATACTGTCCAGTAAAGCTTCACCATGTCGAGCGGCCGCTACAATTTCTTCCTTTAATTCATTATATTCTATTTGCTGTTGATTTAATAGAGTCGTGGTTGCAATTGTATTGTTGGGAAATTCAACTTCCGCCAAACGCCGAGTGAAAGAATCAAGTGCAAGTGAGACATCTTGGGTCATTGAGGAAAATTTCTCTAAATTCTAAAAAAGAAAAGAAAAGAAAATAGTAAAAGTAAAATAGAACATAGTCGTATATTTTATCATCACTGAAATACTTACAATTCGATTTTGAATCCATGTGTGATGACAATAGGGCAGGTCGCCTCCAAGTTCCTCAGTTAATTGATCCTTATCAACAAAGTCGTAAAGTTCAACAATATTCGCGAGAACAATAACTCGAAATTTAAAATCCTCTCGGAATAATTTATTCGACACTTCTGAAATTGCTTTCTGGAGGAAACCCGCCGGTCGCAAAACATAAGCGACATGCACTAATCCAGGAAAGAAAGCCTAAAAAATTTTAATCATTATTATCAGTCAGTATAATGAACGTAAAAGTTTATAACGAGTGTCAATAAAATAAAACAGTATCAGTAGAGAAGAAGCAATAAAAACCAGTTGTCGACTTACGGAAATTTTCAAAAGGACCGTTTTTACGGAATTCCATTTGTCATTTCTACGATCAATTATTAGATGAAATCCTAAGTCCGCCTCTTGTAGACTAAAAATGAATAGATGCGAAAATAAGTTCTCGTGAAAATATGTGAAATTAGATATTAAAATAGTTTTATGGTCGATGGAATTTTGCTTACGTTGGTACTGATGTGAGATACAGCATGAGACGTTGATAGTCCAAGTCTGTGAGATTGTGAAAATTGCCATGATCGGGAAACGTGACTAATGGACATCCCTCCCTCGTTTTGCCACCTGAAAAATCATTAGCATAATTGTTATTTATAATTAACATGTAAAAGTTAATAATAAACATTAATTGTTAATAATAATCATTACAGTCACTAGGCAAACGTTATTTACAGTTTCTAAATAATTATATTTTAATTATTTATTTTATTATTAATTTATATAAAGTTTTTCATTTTTATTGCAATCACAGGTTTGCAACGCAACCTGGAAACCTGGAAAAGTCAGGGAATTTTATTTTATTTTAATAACGGGACATGCCCTTTCGTACAAAAGTACTCATAAATCTGATATAACAATGAATTTTTAACTTAAATCTAGGTTGAAACTTTTTAATTTTGATCGAAATCCTGGAAAATTGTTGTTTTCTAAAGTTATTGTATTAAAATTTCATTTCACTTAAATATTTCAAAATTACTTCAATTTTAAAAGAATTGCGTTTACAATTTTTATAAGTAGATGAACTTCAAAAGATTTTGATTTGAAATTTTGTAAAATTTGAATTTTAAATGAATTTAATTAGAAATATTAAAAAACTTAGCTTTAAAAAAAAATTTTAAACTAAAATTCTTCTGAAATTAGTTAAATTTGTTAATATTTATTTAATTGATTATTAAAAATAATGGATTTATAGAAGGATTTTAGTTAAAAACACTAAAAACAAATTGAATTTTGAAGCAATTACATAAATAATTGCAGAAATTCAATTATTTTCAAAAGTAGTGAAATTCTTCTCAGAAATTCAATTATTTTCAAAAATTTTAATAAAATTCTATGCAAATATTTTATTATTTTCATAAATAATAAAAATTTCACAGGAATTCAATTATTTACAAACTATTTTTATAAATTATTATTCAATTACTTTCATAAATAATAACATTTTTTACAGGGATTCAATTATTTTCATATAAATGATAAAACTCAATGCTAAATTTGAATTAGTTTTAAATAAATTTTTAATAACAATTCACGAATGAAGACAATTATTTTCTAAAATTTTAATAAATCCTTCGAAAAAAATAAAATAATTTTTTCAAATGGTCAAATTTTTCGCAAAAGTTCAATTATTTTCAAAAAAATTTCAAAAAAGAATTCAATTATTTTTAAAACAGTTTTAATAACATTTCATGAAAGAATACAATTTTAAAAAAATTTTTTAATAATATTTTTCAAAAAAATTCAATTATTTTCTAAAATTTTAAAAATCCATTGAAACAATTCAATTATATTTATAAATAGTAAAATCCTTTGCAACAATTCAGTCATATTCAAAACAATTTCAAAAAAGAATTTAATTTTTTTCCTAATTCGTTATAAAAAATTTCAAAAGAATTCAATTATTTTCTAAAATTTTAATAAATTTTTTGAAAAAATTCAATTATTTTTGTAAATAGAAAAATTCTTTGCAAAATTTAATTATTTTCAAAAAGATTTCACGAAAGAATTCAACTTTTTTTCTTAATTTGTTATAAAAATTTTCAAAAGAATTCAAATATTTTCAAAAATTTTAATCAAATTCTTTGCAAAATTTTAATTGCTTTCAAAAACTTTCCTCAATTCAATGTTTTTTAATATCTACTATACTTTAATAAAAATTCCTAAATTATTTTCATAGATAATAACATTTTTTACAGAGATTCAATTATTTTCATAAATAATAAAAGTCAATGCTAAATTTGAATTATTTTTAATACAATTTTAACGAAATTCCTCGAAAAATGAAATTATTCTTAAAAATTTTATTAAAATTTGTCAAGAGAATTCAGTTATTCAAAAATTTGTTGAGAAAATTCTTTATGAACATTCAATTTTAAGAAACATTAAATTGTTTAATAAAATATTAATTTCTGTATGTAAATAATTGAATTATCGTAGAATTTTTTAATAAATATTGATTTAAAAATGAATTCCAAATTAAAATCTTTGAAAATTTGAACTTTTCATACTTTTAATTAAGAATTCTGTACCTATAATTAATTTTTCTCAAAAAGTTTAATGGAATTTAAAAGTTTAATTTTTTTAATTGTTTCAAGTTTTTAATTTCTAATATATTTAATTGAATAACGTCAGAATAATCGAAATTTCGTAAAATTAAATTGTAAACAAAAGAATTTTAAAAATTCACAAAGAACTTGATCAAAAATTATTTTTAAAAAATTGACTTAAAGAAGAAGTTTAGTCGAAAATTCTAGAAATGAATAATTTTAATGATAAAAATAATTTTTGAAGAAGTTACAGTAACAAAGTATCAAGTTTTAATTATTATATGTTATTGAAATAAAAAATTTTGAATATCTTAATTTCTATAAAAAAGATAATGATTAAATATTTATTTAAAAATGAAGTTATTGAAGTTTTCGAATAATTTTCGTTTTAAAAACCTGGAAAAATTAAAAAAATACAAATAAGTTTAAGATCTTTATTATATAATAAAAAAAATTTTTTTTGAAAAAAAAAACGAAAATTATTTTTAAAAAAACATTTATTTGAACGTTGAAAAACTTGTGGATATTTCAAATTTACAATTTAAATTCTAAAATACTTTTGTAAAAATTAAAATTCCTTTTCTAAAGTACATATATTATTATCTTTTTCCACTAAATGTAAACACTGTCGTTCAAATATTATTTTTTTTTCGCGAATACTAGAACTGATTATTATATAAAATAGTGAAAACTAAAATAGGATGCGATAATTATTGCATAAATAACTTTGAAATATGTTATTGAGATAAGATTTGAAGGTCGTAGAACCAGTTGTAAATGTTCCTTTCGTTAGTAACTTTTTTTTATTATTATTAATTATATGAAATTTATAGCACTTTTAGTTTTTGTTAATTGGAAATAGAATTTTTTGATCTGGCTGCGAATATTATAAATTCATCAACATTTAAACAATTTTTTATGATGCACCTATATACACACATACGAATATCGTTTTTCATTTCGTGTGAATTGTAATGCGTTATTTAAATTAGTCTTTTTATATCAGGAATATTAACTTACCAGTAATGATAGCATATTGCGGTTGGAGGATATCTGCAACGTCTCTAACAGCTAGATCCCCATTTTCTATCTCACCGGTCATGCTCTCAACATCTTCTGCAAAAAAAAAATGCGGAGAATTTTTAAACAATTTCTTTCTAGTTTGTTCACGAAACAAATAAATTTGAAAAATAAATAAAAAATTGGAAATTAATGATTTGAATTTTACTCTTTCGCTTTTGAATTTTGTATTTTCACAATAATAATTGTATTTTAGAAAAATAATTCGGATTTTCAAGTTTCAAAATTAGGATCATAGTTTTTCAAAGGATATCAAATTGAGACAAAAAACGAATCAAAACGTCTCAATTTGATATCCTTAGAAAAAATGTGATTATAAAAGTAATTCTACTCTAATCCACTGAAAAAAATCTATTTAATTAAAATAACCAATTACTTGTCTATTTATTTATTTATTTATTATGAAAAATATATTTACTTGAAAAAATAAATAACATAAATAATTATAAATAACTTTTACACAAATCAAATAAATTGTATTTGAACCAATAATTTTAATATTTGAAACAAATACACTTTAATTGGATTGAATAAAAATTATTTGATAATCGTCTATTTAAATCAAAGACAATTTTTTTCAAAGGCATTAAAATCAATTTAGTATTATTATTATTCTATTCTTATTATTTCGTAAATATTAAAAATGAACCTGGAATTTATTCCCTTATTTATTCAAATCAATTTTGTCAATCATTTTACTTGAATTCAATTTTGATTGTTTAATGCAAAAATTTAAAAAAAAATACAATGCAATAAAAAAATGCGATAACAAAAATTGTAAACAGTATGCAAGAAAATTTATTTAATACTATTGGTGAAATTCACACGGTTTATGATCAAAAAATTATAGTGAAGAAATTCTTGAAATTAATTTTTTAAAAATATTATTAAATGATTTTTGAGTCTTACAATTATATAGTTACAATTGAAAAATTTCCTAACAATTGAAATTTAGTACAAGCTTTTTTAAAATAATTGAAATTAGGAAAAAACGCATGAAGAGAATTGAATTTTTGAAAAATATAAAAAAAGTAATCAAATTTTTCAAGAATTTTAATTATAAATATAAACGATTTTTTTGAAATTTTAATAAGTTTCAAAAAGTAAATTTAAAAAAATTTTAAATTTCCTTGTTCGAAAATAATTGAATCTCAAAAAATTATGATAAAACAATTCTAAGAAATAGTTTTTTTTTAAATATTGTAATGTAATTTTTCAAAAATTATTCAATTTCTTAAAAGAATTTTTGTATAATTTCAGAAAAACTAATTTTTTGATGAATTTTAATTAAAAATTTTGTACATGATTGCTTTCACCAAAATCTTAAAAATAATTCTCAAAAAATTTACATTTTTTTATTTTTTGTATGTATTTGAATTTTTGGAAATATATCATTGAAAGTATTGAAAATAATAGAATTTTTAAAATTTAGAATAAAAACATTTTAAGAATTGCTTTTTTCGAAAATATTTTAATATAATTTTTAGAAGCTAATTTTTATTAATTTTCATTTTTAAATTTATACTTGAAGATTTTCCATTAAAACTTTTGAGAATTCAATTATTTTCAAAATTTGTAATTGTAAAATTTGTTAAAAGTTGATTTTTCAAAATTGTAATAAAATACTTGAAAAGTTTTTCAAGTATTTTATTACAATATTTTTAAAAATCAACTTTTAACAAATTTTAAATGCAAATTAATTTTTTTAATCCTTCACTGAAAAAAAATGTATTCGATTCAAATAACCAATTCTTGTTTATTATCAAATAAATATTTACTTGAGTCAAATAATTTTTATTTAAATCAAATAAAAATGAAAATTATTTGATTCAAGTAAATATTTATTTGATAACAGGCAAGGTAGGCAAGTAATCGGTTATTTAAATCAAATAATCTTTTCCTTGGAAAGTTTTCCATAAAAATTTTCTTCTGAATTATTTAAAAAAAAAATGGTAAGAAAAAACATTTTATTATTTTCCGTATGATTTTTCATTATTATCCGTTATTAAAATATAATTTTTCAATATTAATCGTTGATTATAAACGGTGTGAACTTCACTGACGTTAATATTCATAAATTCAAACCTTTTTAGAGTAAAAAATATATTTTTCTCAATAAATAAATATAAATATTGTACAAACAACATAAATATTAATTTATTATTTATTGTCACTTATTGAATTTTTATTTTGAATTTTTCTCAAAACACAATATTTCGCTTATAAAAATTTGTTCTCACGTGTCTTTTATTCATCACACACGCACAGATTTTTAATTATTATTTGAAAAATTCGCAATAAAAATTGATTTTACTGGGTTAATGTGAAAGAAGAACACTCACAGGGGAAAATAAATTGTAACTATGCAAATTATAGGTTTGATTTGAGCGCTATTTTCACTTCACAGTTATATACCTGTATGTAACCACTAGACGGGGTTTTGAACACTTGTAATAGACTGCAGTGCTTGATCTGAGTGATCTGAGTGCTTGCACTCAGGTGACCTTGCTGATTCTAATATATCCATCCGAAACAGTTCTCTGTTTTACCCACGATATCGCTGATATAACTGTAAAGTGAGAGGCTCTCAATCTTATTTATTTCCGCATATAAAATACCACAAAATTGCATATTTCAAATTTGTCATGATTTTCACATTATTCCATAATCGAGAAACGAACGTTTTTTTTCAAAGTTTTTCCAACACATTTTTTTGCGACCTTTTTGTAGAGACAATAATTTAGTAGAAGGAATTTATTTTTTTGAAATAAATTCAATTTTCTTTCTTTTCTTTTATGAAAAATTCAGTAAAAGGTTTATTAATCGGCGTGTAATTTATACTCGCGATTATATTGACCTTTTGAAATTGTTTATTAATTTTTTGAAAAGCAGTTTTTGCACTAAAAAAATTTATTTGAATCACTTAACCGATTACTTGACTATTAACAATTAAATATTTACTTGCATCAAATAATTTTTATTTGAGTCAATTTAAATGGTTCAGTTCATATTTACTTCAAATACTGGAATTATTGGTTCACATACAATTTAATTGACTCAAATATGGAAATTAGTGGATTCAAGTAAATATTTAATATCAATTAAATATTTAATTGAATTTAGTCGAGTAATCGGTTTTTTGAATCAAATATATTTTTTTGTGTACGAATTTTAGGGATTTTTGAAAAGAATGAGGCACTATTAATGTATTTTTTTTGTTTTCTACAAATTATCGCATGGAGAAGACGAATAAAGTAACTTTTATTAATTAAAATTAATGAATTGTAAATTTAAATATCAATCTTCAATATTTTTACGGGAATTTAATTTTTTTCAAATAATTTTAATTAAAACCTTTCAAAAGAAAATTTTTTTTTATAATTTCTAAATTCAATTATTCAAAACTGGAATAATTTTTGGTATATATAAATATTTAAATACTTATTCTTATTTATTTTTCCGCACTGGAATTAAAATTTTAAATAATTACAATTTAAAAACGTTTTGAAATTTAAATTTTAAAAAATTCATATTTTAACGTTTCAAATACTCAATTATTCTTTTAAATATTTACTGAAATTCATTTTTAAATTAATTCTTATCAGAGTTATCTTGAAAATATCAAATTGATACTAAAGTGGATCAAATTGATGACAAAAATAGGGATCAACTTTTAATTTGATCCACATTTTTGGTATCAATTCGTTGCAATTTGATACTTTTAAATAAACAGTGATTAGAAAGTTCTAGGAGAATTCAATTATTTTTGAAAATTGAATTCTTAAAGAGAATTTTATCAAAATTTTTGAAAATAATGAATTTCCTTCGAACAATTTTTATGAAATTTTTAAGAATAATTGAAATCCTACGAAGAATTTTATTATTTACATAAAAATAATTGAATTCTTGTAAAGATAATTCAATTATTTAAAAAAAAAAAAATAATTGATAGAGCAATTGATTATTTCTAAAAATTGAATTCTTATAAAAAATTTTTTCAACAATTTTGAAAATAATTGAATTCTTTGAAGAATTTATACGAAATTTAAAAAAATAATTGAATTCTTCGAGACATTCAATTAAAATTTTATTAAAATAATTGAAATCCTAAGAAGAATTTTATTATTTACATAAAAATAATTGAATTCTTGTAAAGAGAATTCAATTATTTAAATACGAAAATAAATAATTGATAGAGTAATTGATTATTTCTAAAAATTGAATTCTTATAAGGAATTTTATCAAAATTTTTGAAAATAATTGAATTATTCGAAAAATTGTTACGAAATTAAAAAAAAATTAAATTGAGGAATTGTATTAAAATAATTTAAATCCTACAAAGAATATTGATTATTTATGAAAATAATTGAATTTTTGAGAAGAGAATTCAATTATTTCAATACGAAAATAAATCATTAATAGAACAATTGATTATTTCTAAAAATTGAATTTTTATAAGGAATTTTATCAAAAATTTTGAAAATAATTGAATTATTCGAAGAATTTTTACGAAATTTAAAAAAATAATTGAATTTTTCGAGGAATTCAATTAAATTTGTATTGAAAATAATTATAATCCTACAAAGATATTGATTATTTATGAAAATAATTGATTATTTGCAACTACTTTTATTAAATTGTTTTTAAGTAATTGTATTTTTTGAAAAATTACTTATTAAAAATTTTGAATATAATTATAAATTCTTTCTAGGAATTTATTTTCAATTCTTTTGAAAATAACTGAGTTTCTGCGCGAAGAATTCTTTATTACTTGTAAAAATAATTAAATTCTCACTAAAAATATTTTAAAATTTTTTTAAATAATTGAATCTTTTAAAAAAATTTATATAAATTTGAAGTAAATAATTGAATTATTTCGAATAATTCGATTAAAATTGTATTAAAAATAATTGAATTTTTGTGATGAATTTTATTAAAGAAATTTTAAATAATTGAATACCTGTGAAAAATGTTATTATTTGTGAAAATAATTGAATTCTTGAGAAGAATTTTGTTAAAATTTTTGGAAATAATTGATTTTTTTGATAAATTTTTTAATAATAATAATTTAATTCTTTCCAGGAATTTAATTACAATATCAAAAATAATTGAATTCCTGCGAAGAATTCTATTATTTGTGAAAATAATTAAATTGTTGCAAAAATTTTTTTTCAAATTTTTGAAAATAATTGAATCATTTGCGAATTTGTCGAATTTTTTCTAAAAATTTTATAAAACATTTTTTATTTCAACTATTAGTGGATTTAAACCAGAGAAAATTATCATAAAAAAGCGAAAAAGTAACGTTTAGTGTCACAATTTTTAAAAAGTATCCAAACAGTATAGCAAATAGTAAAAAAAAATAGTAAATTTGTATTTTTTAATCTTAACAATAAAATTTACTTAATATTTTTTCCTGCGTTTCTAGAAATCCAGTATTTTTAATATATTTATTATTTTATATTCTCATCACACGAAAAAAGAATTATTTTAGCAAAATAAAGTGAAAAAATTAAATATTATTAAATTCAACTCCTCTCTAATTTCACTAAATTGTCATTATAATTTTTATCACAATAAAAATTCATTGATAATTCATTCACTCATTCATTCATTCAGAATTTCTCTTTCAAATAATAATATTCGTGTAATATTTATTTTCTTCATACATTATAAGTGTTTCTTTCCATTAAGTTGGGAAACACTGTCATTAATTTACCAAAGAGGGTTACTAGACTGGATTTCAAGAAAAAAGAAGGAGATGCCTGCAACCTTTCAACTCTTCAATTAAGTGTCTGCTCTCTTCCCTCACGTATATAAGAATTCTTTTTACTTAAAAATGCAAATGAACTTTGCTAACAATGAGGGAACTTAATGCGGTATCCCATACTCACAGTGCACGTTTAAGGGCAGAAAGGAAACAGAAGGTCAATGCCTCTTTTCTTAAAAGGAAATTGAATTATTTTTCATTTTGCGTATCCCTGGTATGTCTGCCTGTTTAACATAATAAATTAATGTTTTCCCCTCCTCTCAACTATTGTTATATTTTGCTTTTCAAAAGGTATACCAAAGTTTTAACACACAAAGTAATGTCAAATAAATTTTATATTTTTATTAATATACTTAACATGAACAACGAAATATTTTTCTTTAATCTGGTTACAAAAATAAGACTATTAAATTACATTATTGAAAATATTTAAGTCTTCTGTAAAATAGAAAATTATTTTTAACTAAAATAAAAACTTTGTTCAATATTTCGTGGGAAAAGAAATTGAGAATATAAACTTAAATGATACGTTGTACTATTTTGTAACGAAACAAACGAGTAATTGTTTTTAACGAAAAAATTTTTATCGAAATACTAAATTTGTCTTTCGTGAAATATTCACAATAAAAAAAAGTCCTGATTTTTCTCCTGTTCCACTGGTGTCAGAATGTATGTATTATTTTTATCAATCGCCTCACTAGCCATGACAAGTTGCATTAAATTTGCATTCCCCACATCGGCTTCTTCATTAACAGACTGATTGTTGACATCATTTTTTTCTGTCTCATTTTTTCCGGCTTGCGCCCTGACGACAAAGTCTTGTTTGGCAAATTTCACCTGCGAGAATTGTTCGTTCATAAATCGTCGAAAAGTCGAGTAGCCAAGTGCCTTGGTTGTTGGCGACATGTTGTTGCAATATTCCTTGTACAAATCGTGAACAGTCTTACGCGTTATATCCGCGGATAAATGTAATGGTGCATTTTTCGTGAGTTTTGTCTTTTGTAATTCCTCTTGTTTCTTGACAAACTCTTTGAGAAATTCCGTCGCATTTTTATAGATATCCAAGGAGAAAGTGTTGTGAGGAACTTTTCCATAATTCCCATGTACTCTCGGTGTCACTCCATGTGTCATGAGATGTTTTCTAATTCTCTTTATTTGATAATGAGTGCAATTTTCCAGATAGAGAAATGCGTCTAAACAAACTTTTCGACCTTGATATACATATTGAGCGCGAAGTCGTCGTCGCTCGGTGTGTCTTGCTGTTTCATAAGGATTTGTGAGACAGGCCATTGTTACTCCCATTAAATACATGTCGTGTTCTGCTTTTGTCAGTTCCGCGATGTTTAATCTGTGACGATACACTGAATCGGCATTTAAACCCCTGAAACAATTTTCGTCTTGGCATTCACAGCCTTGTTGGAAACGATCGAAAACTTGATCTGAATTGTATTCTAATGTTGTTGGATCGTAATCAGACTCTTCGTCTCCTTTGGATTTCTTTGCATTTTTAACTGGATTTTTCGATTTCTTTCGCTTTGCTGTTGTTTCTTTGCTTTTTGCCTGGAAAAAAATTTTGTTTGATAATTACAATAATCACGTTTTTGGTACAATTAAATAATTATTTCGTCAATTTTAATGATTTCAGGCCTTGGATTGACTTTAAGGACGTTGGTGAAGTTCGCGACTTTTGTAATAAAAGATTTACAAGGGAAAATATTTTTTCTTCAAATTTTTGTCTGAACAACATTTTTATATTATTAAATGAAATTGATCAACCAGGGCTCGAACCAGTGAAAGTATTTAAATATACGAACATTACGGACAAAAAATTAAAAATTGCGGAACATTTACGGACCAATTACTGACAAAATTATAATCAGTCCGAGCCAAATAAGAGAACATTTTACTTAAAACTATAAATTACATTTTTTCATAAGTATAAAACATGAAGAAATGGATCACTCCGAGTCTTCGACTCGGAACAATCGATTTCTTCACGTTTTTAAATAATTAAAGATGGCAAATTGATAAAATCATTATTTCAAACTATAAGAATTTTGTTACTGCAATTTCTTCAAAATTATTTTCAACATTTCAATTCAATCCATTTGTTTACAATATTCAATTTTACGAAATTTCAATTATTAGAAAAATTTTTAAATAAAATATATATTAGAAAATAAAAACCTCAAATAATATAAAAATAATTCAATTAAACTGTACCAAAAAAAATTAATTCCAAAATTCAATTATTTCTAAAAATTCAGGCTATATTGCTTTTAATATTTAATTATTATCTAACATTTGAATTAAAATTCATTTTTAAATCAATTTTTATTAGAAAATTCTACTAGAATTCAATTATTTAAATAAAAAGAAAGTGCAAATAAATAATTTATTGAATAATTGAATGTTTCTTAAAATTCAATTCTCATAAAGAATCGTCATCAACAAATTTTCAAATAATTGAATTCTATCAACAAATTTTAATAAAATTTTTAAGAATAATTACATTTTTCAAGGAATTCGATTAAAATCTGTTAAAAATAATTGAAATTCTACAATGAGTTTTATTATTTATGAAAATAATTGAATTTTACTATTTTTGAAAATAATTTCTGCAATAATTTGTAACTTCTCCAAAATTAAATTTTTTTTTGTTTTTAATTTAAAATTTTTCCATAAATCCGTTATTTTTAATAATTTTTGAAAAAGTGCTTTGAGAATTTTCAAATTTATTTTGTTTACAATTCAATTTTACAAAATTTCAATTATTCGGAAATTCTTTAATTATATCTATAGATATACATATATTAGAAAATAAAAACTTCAAATATTTTCAAAAAAAATCAGCAATTAAACTTTTTCGAAAAAATTAAATCCACAGAATTGTTAGTTAAAAATATGAAAAATTCAGATTTTCAAAGATTTTAATTTAAAGCTTTTTCAAAATTCAATTATTTCTAAAAATTCGCGCTGTAATTTCTTTAATATTCAATTATAATATAAAATTTTAATTGAAATTCATTTTTAAATCGATTTTTATTAAAAAATTCTACTAGAATTTAATTATTTAAATACAAAAATAATTTATTAAATAATTAAATATTTTTTAAAATTGAATTCTCATAAAGAATTTTATCAATAAATTTCAAAATAATTTAATTCTTTCTACGAAATGTAATAAAATTCCTGAGAATTTTTTATTATTTTATGAAAATAATTAAATGTTTGCGTAGAATTTTATTGAAATTTTTTTAATAAATGCTTTTGGAAAATTTGATTAAAATAGTAGATATTGAAAATAATTGAATTCATGAAAATTTTGGAAAATAATTGAAATTTTGCCAAGAATTGTATTAAAATTTTTGAAAATAATTGAATTTCTGAGAAGAATTTTAACATTTCTAAGTCATTTGTAATATCTCTAAAATTCTTTAAATTATATTTCCAAAAAATTGTAGTAAAGAAATTGTTAAAATTAATTTTTTTTTATTATTTTAAAATAATTTTTGAAAGATTATGGTTTTTTAATTATATAGTTACAATTGAAAAATTTCCAAACCATTGAAATTTGGTAAAATTTTTTTAAAATAATTGAAATTTGGTAAATTTTTTTAAAAATAATTGAAATTTGGAAGAATCTCTTGAAGATAATTGAATTTTTGACGAATTTAAATTATAATTATGTAAGATTTCTCAAAAATTTTAATAAATCTTTAAATTTAAAAAAAATGTTAAATGACCTTGTTCAAAAATAATTGAATCTTAAAAAATTATGACAAAATAATTTTAAGAATTAGTTTTTTTTTAAATATTGTAATGTAATTTTTCTAAAATAATTGAATTTTTTAAAAGAAATTTTGCATAATTTAAGAAAAACTAACTAATTTTTTTATGAATTTTAATTGAAAATTTTAAACAGGATTGCTTTCACTCAAATGTTAAAAATAATTCTAACAAATGTCCATTTTTTGTATGTATTTGAATTTTTGGAAATATGTAACTGAAAATATTGAAACTAATTGAATTTTTCAAATTTAGAATGAAACATTTTCATTAAATTTCTTGAGAATTCAATTATTATTTTCAAAATTTGCAATTAAAATTCTTCAAAAGTTGATTTCCAAAAATTGTAATAAATTACTTGAAGAAAGTAAATTATTTTCAATTATTAAATTTTACAAAACTTGAATTATTCAAAATCTTTTTAATTATACACTGAATAAAAGAATTATTTGATTTAAATAACTACTTGTCTATTATTAAATAAATATTTCCTTGAATCAAATAATTTTTATTCAAATCAATTAAATGGTTTTTGAATCAATAATTTTAGTATTTGAAGCAAATATGAACTGAACCATTTAATTGACTCAAATAAAAATTATTTCATTCAAGTAATTATTTAATTGATAATAGTCAAGTTATCGGTTGTTTGAATCAAATAATTTTTTTTCAGTGTAGGTATGTTTTAAAAATTCAATTATCTTTAAAAACATATTCAAAAATAATGAATGATTTGCCTGTAATTATTTTTCACACTATAAAAATCGAAATAAGTTGCATTTTATACTAAAAATGCGCTATTTTGTTGCAATATTTGGAAGAAAAGTCGAAAAAATGTCCATTTTTGAAAAATTAGTAGAAAATAGTAAAAAAAAGTCGAAACGAAATTCATAATATCCAAGGCCTGTGATTTGAGAAACAAAATTGAATTAATATGAATATTTAAAATTTGTTTACTTTTGTTTTTGAATTCTTTTTAGCATTGTCTTCGGTATTATCTTCATTGTTGTCTTCTGTGTTATCATCCACATTATCTTCAGTAACATCCGGCTCGGAAAAGAATAATTCGTGTCCTTTTTCAATTGACACCTTAACATTTAACTTTGCTGAAGGTTCTTCTTCCTTTGAATCCATTGTTATTGTTTTTTCTTTAATATCCAACTCCAATATTCAATATCCAATTTATAAACTCAATACTGAAGACAATATGCAGTCAGGTTCAATGAATAATTTTTTTTTTCATTGAACTGAAACAAATATTTTTACAATCTTAATGAATATCTTGTATGACAATTTTTAATTAAATGATTTTGTTTAGTCTTAATTGAAGTACAACGAAAAAAAGTGGTCGGTTTTAAAGAATTCCTCTATGGACACTAAAGTAATATCTAATAAATTGAAGGAATTTTTCTCAAATATTTATTTTTAAACACGTGCTTTTTTGTAGTGTTTTCTTTCATTTTCAAAGAAATAATTGAGGCTAATTTATAGCTGGATGCTGTAAGAGTTTAAGCGCCATATTAAATAAATGGCGTGTATCCTCTTATAGCATCCAGCCACTCTAAGTCAAAGATGAACAGTTATCTCTACATCAAATTATTCTCAAAGAAAAAATATTCTTCTTTTATCAAACGAATAATGGTATATATTGAAAATAAAATGTAAACCAAGTTGAGAGGAATTTTGACATTTTTTTTCGGTGCATAGCGATAGATTAATTTTTACAAAAACAAAAAAAATATAGCACTATTTAGAATTCGCTCTACAAAAAGGTCGAAAGTCGCTTGACAGCAAAACACGTCAGCCATTCTCGACTCTAAGGGACTTGAGTAAATGCAGTTTCACATACCTCGTTCGACACGAAAATATTTCACATTTCAACGTAAAGTGCTTAATCCACAGACACAATAAAAATTTCCTCAATTATTTATTATTTCTCACTAACGTAATGAATTGTTTCTTGAATAATTTATGAGATATTGTCAAGTTTTGTTTAGAACGATATGGCGCACAGCTCTCGTTGAGTACAATTCCGACAAAGAGGGGGCGTTTCGCCAGTAGCGTATCAATCTATAAATTTTTCATCAAAATTTAAGGGTAGTTTTTTTTATTTATCAATTAGAATTGTTCGCTGATAAATGGAAATTATTGTAGAGAAGAAGAAAAAATGATTGTGATATTTCTTTTGTTGGAAGTTTATTATTCGGTGGAAGTATTAGAAGTTTTTATTGATTTTGACTTGGAATTTGATACGATCCTGAGGGTTAGAATGAAGCGCGCAAATACGGAAAGAGAAATATAGTAAAAAAATTTAATGTTGCAAAAAATGAAAATTTTTTTCTGAATGAAATAATTAAATAAGAAAAAAAAATAACTGAAAAATATGTTAATAATTAATGAAAATGTAAAAGAAAGACTTGAGTAGAATTTTCAATTATCAAATGAACGAATTTTTTTCTATGTTTAAAGGAAATAATTAAATGAAATAATTACAATTTATTGATAATTAACAAAAAGACGTCACTAGAATTTTGAACGTTCAATCGAACGAATTTTTTTTTGTTTAAATGAAATAATTGAATAAAAATTTTAAATAGAATTTTTAACGTTCACAATTTTTTTCTGTTAAAATGAAATAATTAAGTAAAAATTAAATTTATAAATAATTATCAAAAAATGATCCACAAGATTTGAAAGTTCAAATGAACGAAATATTTTGTATTTAAATATTTATATAAATTACTGATTCGAATAAAAATTTAAAACTTAAATTTTGCGTTTAAAAACCTTAAAAATTAATTTTTTTGATAGTGACTCAAAATTATTGTAATAAAAATTGAATTTGAAGAAGAAAATAATAAATAAATTTCGTTCATTTGAACGATCAAAGCTTTAGAATCATAACAAAAATATAAAAAAAAGACTTGACTAGAATTTTGAACGTTCAAATGAACGGAAAATTTTTTCTGTTTAAATGAAATAGTTAAATAAAATAATTAAAATTTCTTTCCAATTAAAATGTAAAAAAGACTTTACTGAAATTTTGAATTTTTTCGTTCAAGTTCAAATGAACGAATTTTTTGTTATTTTTAAATGAAATAATTATATAATAATTTATGTTTTTTAAATAATTAATTCAAATAATTGATAATAAATAATTAAAATATAAAAAATTTTCTCCTTCACTAAAATTTTGAAGTTTTTCGTTCAAATGTTCAAATGAACGAATTTTTTCTTGTGTTTAAATGAAATAATTAAATAAAATAATTAAAATTTTCTAATAACTATTATAATTAAAAATATAAAAAAAACTTCACTAAAATTTTGAACTTCTAATTGAACGAAATTTTTTTTCTGTTTAAAGGAAATAATTAAAAAAAATTTTTTAAATTTGGTAATAATTAAGAAAAATAAAAAAAATTTTAACTAGAATTTTTAACGTTCACAATTTTTTTCTGTTAAAATTAAATAATTGAATAAAAATTAAACAAAATTTATAAATAATTATTAAAAAATGATCCACAAGTTTTGAAATTTCAAATTAACGAAATATTTTGTATTAAAAATATTTTCATAAATTACTGATTCGAAAAAAATTTTAAACTTAAATTCTACGTTTAAAGACTTTAAACATTAACTTTATTGATAGTGACTCAAAATTATTGTAATAAAAATTGAATTTGAAGAAGAAATAAATCAATTTCGTTCATGAAATAATTATATAAAATAATTAAAATTCTCTTCTTTACTGAAACTTTGAATTATTTTTTCGTTCAAATGTTCAAATGAACGAATTTTTTTGCTCTGTTTTAATGAAATAATTAAAATTTTCTAATAATTATTAAAAATATAAAAATACTTCACTAAAATTTTGAACTTTCAAATAAACGAAATTTTTTTCTATTTAAATATTCTATTTTAAATATTTTTCGAAATTACTGTCCATTGAAGAGAAAAATAAGAAAAATAAAATATTTTCTAAGTTGAAAATTACATTTTTTTAATGTACGTAAAAATATTCTGCAGTAAAATGCGAAGTTGTAACAAAAATATTGGCGTTCAGTTGAATATTCAAATTTTTAGGAACGTAAAAAAGTAAAAATAACTTAATAATTGTTTGTTAAAAATGTATTTTTCATGTCTTAGTTAATATTTACAAATATTTTAAAAATAGTTTTGTTATTTTATATTTTTCTATATAAAATGCAAAAAACTAGTTTCAAAAATGAAAGAATTCTTCGCATTTGTTTCACTTATTCTTATCTTTTAAAAAATAGCTTTCCGCTATTTTATAGTTTCAATAAAACTTGTTTAATCTTTGTTTAATCTCGTTGAATATAAAGTATTGAATTTTCACCTAAAAGGAGGTAGTAACAAAGCTTTGAGTCAGAGCAAATCAATAATTTGCTTATCGTAGGTCGGCAATTTGTCTGATTTTACGTTTCTCGTATTCCATGTAATATGGGCACAGAATAGTGATTTTTCTTTGTGAGAAAAAATAAATTAAATCACCTTTTTTATTATTATTATTATAAATGTCACGCACCTGGACAGCCAGTTTTGCAGTGATGATGACAGGGACAATTACAATTGTGCGAGGATTTTTGTCGTAGAATCATGTTTTGAAATGATGCATTTATAAATGCCGGCACACAGTTTTTTTTTAGGGAATGAGAAATTTCACTATTTTTTTGACACTTCTATTAAGTTTATTCACTGAAATGTTATTCGCGATAATGTCAGGAGAAAAATGTCAATTTTGACATGAACGTATCACCTGAGTATTAACACTCATTTAATCGATAAAAATATATTCATCGTGTGTGAGAGAAACTCGCAGAACGTCTCGTTTTCTGCTCCCGTGTTAGTGATACTATTCTTGCTGTAAGTTTGACAGAAGTCGAGGCGCGAGCGATGCTTTTTCACTGGCCTCTGGTGTATTTCAACGGAAACAATATTTTAATGAGTATAAATTCATGAGGTGCCCCAATGTACTTGACAAACACTATAATCAAGTATATTTTTATTTTTTAAATTCGAAAAAAATACCAAGCGATTTTTATTTCATCGTTCGTCTTCTTTAATATCAATTTACCGCTTTTAATATACGTTTCGGCTTTGGAAATATAATTTTTAATTTATTCATGAATATATTAAAAAATTAAGTGGTTTTTATCTGTGTTCAATTGAATCTTCTGTTAGATTCTTCTGGAATTAGCCGATAAATTCATCTTCATAAATTTATCATCATCATCATCATCATCGAGTGTTTGATGAGAATAATTTGTCTAAATTTTTCTTTAACTAATTCGATATAAATTATTTAATTGCATAGATAATAATTAATTGTATAGTTTATATCTAAAGAATATGCTTTTTTACGTTGATGATAAGTTTTTACTTTGATAATACATTTCTAGTTTGAAAATATACTTTTTACTAGAAACTAAAGTTACTAATTGAAAAATAATTTGTCCGATACAGAAATTGTCATTAAAATTTTCCGATTCAATTGATTACGAAACTAGAGAAATTCAAATGATGTTTAATAGAATTTAGAAAAACTGTCTATAACAATAGTGGCTATTATTATATATTTGTCGTCAAATGTAATAACTGGTTTGAGGAGAAATTACATAACGTAATTCAATTGATTCATGTCAATCATATTATTTCCATTTATCAATCCTTAGCCTTACATTATAATATTTTATACTTTATAGAATTGCGTAAAAATTAAAAATTACTTCAAAATTGAGTAAAAATACTTGAAAAATGACAAAAAACTTTTAGTTCAAAAAATACTAAAAGTACAAAAATACTAAAACAAATAACATTTTTGAGGAGGAAAGTGCCGCACCTTTTGCAAAAAAGTATTTTTAAAAGTTATTGTAAATTATACAAAAGTATCAAAAAAACTTTAAAGTTAGATATGACGCTTTCCTCCTTAAATAAAAATACTTTAACATTAAAAAGAATTTTTATTCTTTTTAATGTTTTGATTCCCAAAAACAATTAGACTTGATACAATGAAAATTTGCTCATGTGAATTATAAAAATCACGTGAATGTTGTAAACAGCAATCTATAGCAGTTACGCAATCCTTTCCTACTTCGTAATCATTTAGCGTTTGGTTCGTTTTAGGAAATTACATAAATTTAATTATTGTTTAAGCTCACAGTAGAAAATCATAGCAAAGGAACTTTATATAGTTTTTTCTATAAATATATTTGGTTTTTCTCTAAAGTCGATTCTTCCTGAGGAAGATTAGTAGAAAACAGGTGAAGAACACATTATTTTTTTTTGACTTGTTCATATGGCTTGGGCGATTAATTTTCTCTCCTCTATTTTAGGGACTTATCGATTTAAATAGCCTACATTCATTTAAATTTAAATGTTTCCTTTTCTATTTCTTTCTTGTTTGATATATACGAAATTAGAGACAATGTGTAGTGTCAAATTCATAAGAGATCAAATTTGTTGATAATTTCATAGAGCTTATTTTTAGAAAGGTAAAGAATAGAATATTGTAGAATCTAAAAAAAAGTGATTATATTATTTAATGACATGACGACTGTGAGGAACTAATAATACAAATTGGGTTTACGTAAATGGAGTAAAAACGTTTATTGGAAGAATTATTTACTATTATGGGAACAATGAGAGTCGATTTAATAAATTAGTTGGACTAATGAAGTTTATTATTTATGTCAATAGAATATAAAGATTCTCTTTTGAGTAGAATAAAGTTAATGAAGTTATGGAAGTTTATTAATTTTGTTTTAATTTTCATTTCATGGGACGTTAAACAAAGTTCTTTTTTGTATTGAATTTTAATATAAAAAACCGAGTTTCAAATTTTTGATAAAAGTATACCTTATTATTTTTCTACTTTGTATAGTAATTCTGTTTGGAAATCAGGGAAAAGTCAAAGAAAAACAGAATTAAATTTTCTTGACAAACCTGTTTTATATTGTATAAAGAATTTAATTCTTTTACTCTTAAAAATTATTTTGAAATATAATTGTATTTTTTATAACAATTCCAGGGCTCGAAGCAGTGAAAGTATTTAAAAATACGGACTTTACGAACTAAAAATTAAAAATTACGGACCGATTAAATTAAATAAATATTGAATAAAATTTTTTCATAACTATAAAACATGAAGAAATCGATCACTCCGAGTCTTCGACTCGGAGTAATCGATATCTTCATGTTTTCTAATAATTAAAAATGACCATTTGATAAAATGCAACTTCTTCAAAATTATTTCCATCATTTAAATTCAATTATTATTTTCTATAATTTTCAACCAAAATTCTTCTCTATAAATTTTGTAATTTTCTAAAAAGTTCATATTGAGAATTTTCAAATCCATTTCTTTACAATACAATTCTACGTGAAATTTCGATTATTCGGAAATTCTTCAATTATGTAAATATATTGTAGAAAATAAAAACTTCAAATAATTTTAAAAAAATTCAATTAAACTTTTTTTTTTTTAAATTAATTCTACAGAATTGTCGGTTAAAAGTATGAAAAATTCCAATTTTCCTAAAAATTTAATTAATTTTTATTTAAAAATTCTACGAGAATTCAAAGAAGTTTATTAAAATTTTTAAAAATAATTGAATTTCTGTGAAGAATTTTATGAAAATTTAAAAAAAAATTGAATTTTTAGAAAGAATTCTGTTATTTATGAAAAGATAATTAAATTCTTTACAAATAATTGAATTTCTGGGAAGAATTTAGATATTTATAATTATAATGACAATTCAATTCTTCACAAGAATTGTATTACAATTTTTAAAAATAATTGAATTTCTTCGAAGAATTTTGTAAAAAAAATTTTAAATCATTTATTTCCAAAACTAAGAATTTTGTTATTTATGAAAATAATTGAATTCTTACGAAGAATTTTGTTATTTATAAAATTAATTGAATTCTTGTCAAGAACTTTATTAAAATTATTGCAAATAATTAAATTTCTGTGAAGAATTTTATGAAAATTTAAAAAAATAATTGAATTCCTGCTAAAATGTTGTTATTTTTTAAAAGAATTGAATTTTTTTAAAGAATTCTGTTATTTATGAAAAAATAATTGAATTCTTTCCAAATAATTGAATTTCTTCGAAGAATTTTATAAAAAAAAATTCGAAATCATTTAATTCCAACTAAGAATTTTGTTCTTTATGAAAATAATTGAATTTCTGTGAAGAATTTTATGAAAATATTAAAAAATAATTGAATTCCTGCTAAAAATGTTGTTATTTTTTTTTAAAGAATTGAATTTTTGTTAAGGATTCTGTTATTTATGAAAAGATAATTGAATTCTTTCCAAATATTTGAATTTCTTCAAAGAATTTTGTAAAAAAAAATTTAAATCATTTAATTTCTACTAGGAATTTTGTTCTTTATGAAAATAATTGAATTCTTACGAAGAATTTTGTTACTTATAAAAAATAATTGAATTCTGGTCAAGAACTTTATTAAAATTATTGAAAATAATTGAATTTCTGCGAAGAATTTTGATATTTATAATGATAATTGAATTCTTGACAAGAATTTTATTGTATTACAATTTTAAAAAATAATTGAATTTCTTCAAAGAATTTTGTAAAAAAAAATTCAAGTCATTTAATTCCTACTAAAAATTTTGTTCTTTATGAAAATAATTGAATTCTTACTAAAAATTTTGTTATTTATAAATATAATTGAATTCTTGTCAAGAACTTTATTGAAAGTTCTGAAAATAAAAGAATTTTTGCGAAGAATTTTATGTTAATTTTGGAAAATAATTGAATTTTTGCTAAAAAATTTGTTACTTTAAAAATAATTTAATTTTTGCGAAAATTATGAAAAGTTTAGAAAATAATTAAATTCTGCGAAGAATTGTATTATTTATATAAAGATAATTAGAATTTTGACGAGAGAGAATTTAAACAAATTTTTGAAAATAATTGTATTTCTGCGAAGAGTTTTATTACTGTTGTAAATAATTGAATTTTTTTAAATCAAATTACGGTTTTTATGGACCTTTTTTTAAAAAAACTGACTTTTACGGACTTGAAGCAAATTTATGGACCTATTTCGAGCCCTGCAATTCCAACTAAAAATTTGAAAAATAATTGATTTTAGAAAAATTTAGAATTCGAGTTTTTTTGTTTTCAATCATTTGTCTAATAGAATGTGACAGATATTATTTAAAGAACCTCTAAATTGCATCAACTGCACAATAAATTATTTAATAAAACAAAGGGGAGATTCCGCTTCGGACCCAAACCGATTGATGCGAAAACGGCGAGACAGAACGACAGGTTTCAAGAATTATTTATGGACTTACCAAAGTCGAAACAACGGCAACAAAAATGAGAAAACACAAACACAACAATTTACCAATAATAAATATTAAACACGGATTCAAATCAACACTCGTATTTATTTATTACTATTTACACTTAAACTTGTTATTCAGAATTACGGCAAAGATAATTAATTGACTATACTTTACAAACTTATAACGAACTGACTCGAAAGCAATTAATTATGGTAATGATGCCGGCCGGCTTCCTCTCGCGACGCTTCCTCGAAGATCCAACAGACGAACTCCTAAACCGCTTCACCCATTGGACGCTGGAACCACCGCACACGACGAAACCCAAAACCTCCGGCCCAATCACAAAAGACCCGCGAATATTCAAAATGAATATTAAACGTAAATAACCAAAAAGGAAAATCATAACGAAATGCTTCGTTACAATCCCCTCTCCTAGGCCAACAATAATCCAAAAATTGTTGCCGATTAAACCCAAAATAAACAAAAGAAAAACTACCAATTCAAAGAATGAAACTAAATATATTTATTCAAAAACTAGTTAACACTTAACCAGAAAAATCAAATTAAATTAAAGAATAATGAAAAACCAAAAATAATAAAAAAAAACCAAAATAAACTCTTTTTTTTCAAAATACTGGGGCCCCCATTCTATGGGAAACCTCTTCGTTGGCGATCCTGCCAAAAAGCAGTGCGAGCCGCAATCGCCAATTCCTGCGGGAGGCCAACCAAAGATGCCTCCAGCAACCTCAAATCGTCCATCAACCCAGTGGCCGAAGGCACTGGATCTGGAACCACCTCATCAGCCGACGGTTCAACCGCTGAGCCAACCAATGGCAACCTTTCAGCCATCTGAACTGGAGCAAGTTGCCCCGGTTCATCAACCTCAGCCCGAACGACCACTGATGCCACTTTTTTGTGATAGACGGCTCCCTTATTGCCGCCCTTAGTCCCTTGACCTCTTCTACTTGACTCCGACTGGTCAGATCTCTCCAATGACACTGATGAACCCGAACGCTTCATCCACAAACGGTAAGCTCGTGCACAGCGTGGGCAATCCTCCATCATGACCCCAAATCGGCCACAATTCCGGCAGAAAATGTCAATTGGCTCCGGACAGTAAGCCAATTTGTGGGACATACTCCAGCAATTGAAGCATGCCCCCATAGGAGGATCCAAATCCGGGTCCGTCGGAATGCGGTCCAACCGACAGAAAATCCGTCCCACAGTCAACATAGGCCGTGCGAGCCTAGCCTCCTCCCTGAATCGGTCCGCTGGACGAGGAACCACCATTACATTTGGCTCCCGTGGTCGGACCTGAACCTCTGGTTCCTCACGACCACAAGCCTTATGTTTTTTAGTTCCCTCGTTGACCAAAACCGGATCATCCTCTTGGTCCATCACAATTGAGTCCAATTCCTCAACAGCGTACTGGCTCTCCAAAAACTCACGACTTTCCGCTGAGCAAGCTCCACGATCCACACCTGTGCCGGGGCGAGCTGCACAAGCTTGCTCCTCATCCTGCCAGGCGAAAGAAATTCCGCGACCCACAGAACGAACACCAGCTGGAGGCAAGGACACGTCGACTCCGAGGAACTAGAAACCTCATGGCTTCTCACCACCCGTCTAATGGCACCTCCTGATGCCTGACCAGAGCCTGAAGGGAGTTTGCTGCGCCACATATCGCCCATGATGACGATGATCCTTTAAGAATTAACTTGGCTCGAACAAATCTAAAACATAAAATAAATAAGTAACACATTCAAAATTATTGCCGAGAACGTGGAGGTATAAAACGTTTGAGATCGGACACATGAACCTTAGCCACACGGCGGTTATTACCCGAACCCAATTCATAAACCGACGGAGACAATTGCCTAACAATTTCATAGGGACCCTCAAATTTAGGAGCCAACTTTGCCGAAAACCTATTTGCCGCATTCGACAACTTATGAGTTCTCCATAAAACCTGATCCCCCACATGAAATGTAGCCTCTCGTTTATTACGGTTATAATAGCGACTTTGTTTTTCCCGTTTCTCGTCAATAAACCTCGCAACCAGATCTCTCAGCGCGTCCAACCTACGCAACCTATCGCACCAAACCTCTGGATCAATCCTCTGAACCGTAACCTTACTTTCAACTTCTCTCCTCAAACTCTTAACCGGTTGAGGCTGACGGCCATAATTCAAAAAGGCCGGTGAAACCTTTGTTGAAGACTGCACGGCCGTATTGACCGCATGTCGGAACTCATGGACATGTTTGTCCCAATTCCGATGATCCTCGCCTACAAAAGTCGCAATCATCGTTTTCAAAGTACGGTTACTTCGTTCGACCGGGTTAGCCTGGGGGTGGTATGGCGGCGTTGTTAAATGCCTGACACCATAGTCCTCCAAAACGGATTTGAGGTGTTGGTTGTCGAACTCCTTTCCGTTATCCGTTAACAGAAAGTGAGGAGTGTCCCACCTGAACACGACCAATTCCTCAAATGCCTTCGCAATGGATTTGCCATCAGCAGACCTGATCGGTTTAACCTCAATCCAGCGTGTAAACAAATCCTGGAAAACAACCAAATGCTTACACTGATTCTTGCTGGATGGAAACTCCATACAGTCCGCTGCAACCACCGTCCACGGTTGTTCCACAATCCTTTGACCCATTAACCCTTGAGGCCCTTCTTGCGAAACCTTAAACCTTTGACAGTCAGGACACTCTCGAACAAACTTCTGGACATCATGCCAAATGCCTGGCCAGTAATATTCTGCAGCCACCCTAGCATATGTCTTCTCTATTCCCAAATGACCTGCTGCAATTTCAGAATGAGCATCCCTGAGTATCCTACTCCGATGCTCCTCTGGGACAACCAACTTCCAACCCTGTTCTTCGCCCGTGATTGGTAACAATAATGGATCGTTCCTATGACGATACAACAAATTGTTTTCCACCAACCAACCTGGAAAACGTTGAGGAAACTCCTCAACCAATTGTTTCCTCTTGATGAACCACGGGTCATCAATGGTGCTGAAAGCCGACATCTCGTCCGTGTTATCCTCGTACATACGCGACAATGCGTCCGGTACGTGATGATTAACACCGCGACGATGAACAATGTCGAAATCCCATTGTTGCATCTCGAGTGCCCAACGAGCCAAACGACCAGACGGATCCTTAAGATTCCTGAGCCACCTCAGAGCACTATGATCCGTAATAGCCTTAAACCGATATCCCTCTAGATATGGCCTGAATTTTTTAATGGCCCATAATAATGCCAAACACTCACGCTCAGTGACACTATAATTCCTTTCTGCCCCTGTCAAAGCCTTACTTGCGTACACAATTGGGTGTTCGCCATCCTCAGACTCCTGAGTCAACACCGCGCCAATCGCTGAGTCGCTAGCGTCACATTGGACAGTAAACGGTTTGCTAAAATCCGGCCGAGCCAAAACTGGGGCCGATACCAACTTTTTCTTTAAAGTTTGGAAAGCCTCCTCATGCTCAGCTGTCCATTCCCAAGCTCTTCCTTTTTGAAGAAGCCTTAAAAGTGGTACCTTGATCTCGCTATCATTCTCTATGAAACGAGAATACCACCCAACCATTCCCAAGAAACGCCGAAGCTGTTTAATATCCTGGGGTGCCGGGTATTCTAAAACCGGTGCCACCTTCTCGGAATCAGGCCTCAAACCATCCCTATCCAAAACATAACCCAAATAGGTTACCCGAGAGCAACCAAATTCACATTTGTCTGGGTTTACCACCAAACCAGCAGACGCCAATCTCTTCAACACTATCCTCAACCATCTGATATGCTCGTCATAATCATCGGTGACAATTATGATATCATCGAGATATCCAAAAACGACAGGTTCAAATTCTGGACCAAACAACGAGTCCACAAACCTTTGAAACGTGCCGGGGGCGTTTGTTAACCCAAAAGGCATTCTCTTAAACTGGAAGAGACCCAAACCTGGAACCGAAAAAGCCGTGTACTTTTTACTTTCCGCCGACATCGGTACCTGATGGTATGCCATTTTGAGATCGATTTTGGAGATATAACGAGCCTTCCTCAGTTTATCCAAAATAAAATCGATACTCGGTATCGGGTAAACGTCCCTAATTGTCACCTTATTGAGGTCCCTATAGTCAAAACATAACCTGAGTGTCCCATCACTCTTTTTGACTATTACCGGCGCAGTGCTCCAATCACTGGACGCTGGTTCGATAATTCCTTGATCCCATAATTTTTGAACCTCCTTGATCAACCACTGCATGATCATCGGAGACATTCTCCTCGGCCGATGCTTAATCGGCGAGTGATCAGTCAACCTAATGTGGTGCTCCGTCAACGACGTCACCCCATGTTCCTGACCTTGAGGAAGGACCAATTCATTAACCAAACTTTGAACCTCATTTCTCTGATCAACCGTAAGCTCCGAAATACCTGCACATTCCGCGAAAATACCCTCAGAGTTTATTTCTCCATTATCGGACGCAAACTTATGCCATTCTTGGCCATTAATCCTCCAGAGACCTTTCCCAAGCTGGACATCCATATCCATTTCCCTACAGAAATCCATTCCCAAAATTAAATCCTGGGTTAAGGTGCTAAGGGCTTTCAGCTCGAAAGACTGCGCATATCCATCGACTGTCAACCATAACCTTAATTTCCCTAAAGTTTGAGTGGATCCCCCAATGGCACTTTGGATTGCCGTATCCGCTTGTTCCAACCTTTCTCTGAATTTTTCAGCCAATTTGGGACCAATAACCGAAACCATTGCCCCTGGATCGAACAACGCATAGTATGGACGATCCGCAATGATTACCTTTAAAAAGTACCTATTTTCAGGCCTAGTCCCATCGACAATCTCGTTTGAATCCGGAGAACCTACTGCATCCGATGCAGTTTTTCCCCTCTCCTGGACTTTACGTGTTGAACCTTCTTCAACACTATTAGTCCTACTAACACCAGGGGCCTCACTAAGCTTTTCCGCAGAAACCACAGCTCTATCTAAGCCCACAGAGAATGAGTACTCCTCATTCATTTGACCAAAGTCACTACTCTCGTTTTCGGTAACCACTATTGGCGAGCCATTTGTTCCACCAGAAACGTCCCAAGTCCCGCGACGACCTGAGCATGGTTCAAGCCTAGTCCTACCGAATGTGCCCAAATTCACGCTGACACAATTTCCAACATTTGAGAGTGAGTTCTCCTCACTCGCAACACACAAATTCCCAAAATTTGAGAGTGAGTTCTCCTCACTCGACACACACAAATTCTCAACATTTGAGAGTGAGTTCTCCTCACTCGACACACACAAATTCTCAACATTTGAGAGTGAGTTCTCCTCACTCGACAAACACAAATTTTCAACAATTGCAGGTGAGTCCTCCTCACCAACAATACACACTTGAGATGGATTACAGAGTGAGTTCTCCTCACTCGGCAACGAATAATCCATCTCTTGAACACGCAAAAACACTGCATTACTACACACAGGGACCTCTAACCCTGTCCCTACTGTTTGGATTGGGGGGGGAAGAAGTTGGATTGTCCCCCCCCTTTCGCGTTTTCCAAATATCTTCGGAACTCGACGCACCTTGGACATTGAGCAAAAACTGCTCCCTTAGCCCCACAAACCTGACACGAAACCTCAACCTGAGCTTGCTGTCTGCTAGGGCATTCTGTAGCAAAATGACCCTGCTGTTGGCAGCTAAAACAAACCCGATAAGGACACTGGGACAGACGATGTCCCACAACCTGACAACCATTGCAAATACCCATAAAAGGAACCTGACCACTACCCTGGTTTGATACACCCGGTTTAGGCCTACCTTGTTGGGGTAATGCACCAGCCACTTGGCCGCTCGGTGCATTAGGTGGGGCCCTTGCACCCCCACTTTGCGAATAAATTATAGGTTGTACCGGCCCCGGAGCTACCTGCATTGGCTTGGGCCACCCTTTATTTGGTTGACCCCCTGCAGCTCCTCTAGGCCGACCCTGACTCATCCCAAATGCATCCACTGCATTTTCCTTATTTTCCGTTGTTTCCTGTTTCGCTTGAGATTTATTCTTGGACTTCTTTTGTCCCCTAGCCTTTTTACTACTCTTACTACTCTCAGATGAAGAGCCCTCGACCAATGCATCCAATTTTGTCCCTTTCGGAACCCCTTTTGGTGCAGCCGACGGAACCCTCATCTTTTCCTTAGCCGGGGGTGGAACATACCTCTTGTCAATGTCCCTGATTCGCTCGTATTTCCTCAGAATATGCTCTAATTCCCCTATATTTTCAACCTCGAAATTCGACACATACCTACGATAATCAGGTGTTAACCCTCGAAAAACCACACGCAAAAATTTCCTAGCAGAAATAGGATGCCTAAAATGATCGGCTATTGTGCGCAGACTCATAATATAGGTTGAAATTCTTTCTCCTTTAGCCTGAGTTCGAGCTTTAAGCTCGTCCCAAAGGTCCTCATCATCGAGAACACTGGAGAATTCTCTCAAGAACGCCTTTTTAAATTGTTTCCACGAAACAATCTCGTTCCTAGTCAACCTATACCAACGGCTGGCTGCCCCACGCAACGCCGAAGGAACCGCTTTAAGAATTTCTTGACCAGAAAGATCATAGCATGAAATGCAATCCCCTAGCCGCTCTAAAAATTCTTCTGGGTCCTCCCTTTCGCCCGCCGAAAATTTAATTTCCCAGTCCTTAAGCGCCTTTGTTAAATTCAAACTAGACCCATGGTGGTGGTGATGGCCCTTTTTTGACCTATTAACCATTTTCCTAGAGTCCAGACTCGCCTCTGACTCAGAGTCACTGGACAACTGCCACGTTGAGAGCCTAGTTTTACGTGAAGAACTATTTTTACGCCCTTGGGACCGTTTCCTACTTTTTTGCTTCCTAATCTCATCCCAACTATCGCTTTCCGAATCCATCCCTACTGGAGTTGGAAGACCTTCTGCTCGTCTCCCCCACTCTTCTGCTTCAGGAGGGGTAAGCACCCTCTTAATATCCTTATTAAAAGAAGACATTCTCTTATGGTGCTTATCCGGAAAACTATTAACAACCTCGTCGCTCAAGTCAAAATTCGATTCAGCCTGGTAAGCCCTACTCCTTTGGGAGTAATAACCTGCCGATTCTACTCTAGGGGCCTGTGGCTCCCACTGTGTCCCACTATCGAACCGATTTATCTGTGGTCGTTTGGGTATAGTCCCATTTCCCCCAATTTGTTGTTGGGAAATAACCTCAGGACCTGCAATTTGTTGATCCGAGATCACCCCGGAACCTCCACTAGGTCCCGAATTTCCCGAATTTTGGGGAGACACTACCCTATCAGAGACCGATTCAAGTGTCTGGGCCACTGCATTAACTGGGGGGTGTAACCAATTAACCTCTACGTTCCTATTTTGGGCAAAAATAGCGCCCAAATCTGGATGGAAATGCATCCTAGCATTAACCTGACTTACTCTCCAACTACTCGGTGTAATCATTGGAGAGGTGACGCCACCTACTGCCGAACTCCAAACCACATTCGTTGCGGCCCTCCCGCTCGAATTAGATGTTGTGGTCACCACTGAGTTGGCCACTGACGTCACACAAGTCGTAACAGTGCTACTGCTGGCCGAAGCTACTTCGGCACTTTCTACTTGTTGTTCTCTTTCAAAACCCAAAAAGTAATCGTCATTACTCGACAAAACCTGAGAATCTAGTTCCCCTAACAGGTTGCCCTCATGTGCACTTAAATCAATGGCCGCATCCTGTTCTGTTTCATAACCCGAGTAATCGACCGTTCTTGCCCTGCGAGGTGCAAGTGCCTCGCTCAAGAAAACTCTCTGAGAATCCGCCGCATCATACATTTCCAACCACGGAACCGAAATTATCCCCGCTAAAATTTCCTTGGTCCTGAATCGCAATAAGCGTTCCCGTAGTATCTGGATTGAACCCTTTGTACTACAATTAGCCCTAACCAAATCCTGAACCAAATCATTAACGGGGGTTCTTTGAATTTCCCTCCAAATGACCCTAGCTTGCCGACTTTCCAAAATTTTGAGCATATGCTTTTGATACGAATCCATATTTGATACGTTTATCCAAAAGTGCAAAATTTCAATAAATAGATCCACAACAAATCCAAACAATTAATTAACAAAATTAATTTGTCAATCAATTTAAAATTTTTTAACACACTAAAAACAAAATAATATTCAAATAAAATTTCCAAACCCAAAAACCAATTTGTAAATTGTCACTTAAAACAAATCTAAATCCTCATGGATTTACCCAATTTGTTTTGACCTTTACGACCCCTCGTCGTGCCAAACCCAAATTATTAATCCGCTAAATCCACAAAGAAAAATTATTGCTTACCAATTAACTAAAAATTTATCATTAAATACAATTGAATATCAATTTTCCGACAAATAATAAAATGATAAACAACCAAAAATGTTCAGTGACCATTAACCAACAAATTTGGAAATTTTTACACTAAAACACAAACCCAAAATTTTATGCTATAACACAAATCAAAATAAAAAAAATTTTACACTTGTGAAAAATTTTCAAAGTCCTGAAAATTTTACTTTTGAGAAAAATAATAAATAAAAACAAATCATTTTCCCACAAAATAGCATAAAATAAAGATCCAAACACAAATAATAATTAAAAAATGTCACTCGAAATTCGGATTAAAATAATAAAAAATTTCATTAATTAAACTTTGTTCAAAAATAAAACCACAATATGGCTGCCACTAACGCTCAAAATTTTCATACGGCCCAAAATCGCCGTCATGTAAAATTTTTCCCTCGTTTATTGGCAACCTCGTCCCTGGATTCAATTTTCCAGAATTTATAAAAATTATTTTAACCCAAATAATACCCAAAAAACAAAAAATATTTTACAAATTAACACCATAACGCGACAAAAACCTAAAAAAAATATTTGACAAAAATACTTGTTGAATTTTAATTAATGTTCATTAATTAAAATGGCCGGGAAACAATTTCGAAAAATCAACCTTTTTTTCCGACGCAATGGTATTGACCACCAATACTCAATCGGCGTCTCTTGCCATGTGCTCGGTGCACTTGCACTCAACCATTGCTTCCTCGAAAATTTGTCAAATTTCCCAAGTTTCCCGAATTTTATTTCCGCCAAAAATATTTTTCCCAATAAACATAAAAAAGTCAATTTATCCAATTGCCGTAAAATCAAAATAATTACTCGCGAACAATTTCGAGAAAAATCCACCAAAAGTTCAACTTTTGAACCAACAGCCAAAGTATTGACCTCACAATACCAACCCAACACGACAAACACTATGTCAATACTTTTACGGACAAAAAATAATCCGTTGGATTTTTCCCAATTTATTTTATCAATTAAATTCGCGTCACTTGCCCAAAATTTTTACAATTAATAATTCACTGCCAAAAATGTTCCATTTATTTCACTGAAATTCCCGAAAAATTAGCCTCACAGAAAAACAATTGTCCCAACTTCGACATTTTTCAAGTTTGCTTTTCGCGCCTATCCAAAATGTCTGCCCATATTTCACGAGCACATGTTTTCAGACAAATTTTCGAAACCAAATTTATCACTTAAAATAATCCCAAATATGGTCAATTTGACCATCACTCAAACCCAAAAAATTCAGTGTCCAAACACAAACCTTTTAGCCTCCAAAAATATTATTTATAAAACCATAAAACACAAATATTACCATGTCGCTTTGTCTCTCAGTCCAACGCTTTGCCCCACGTTGGGCGCCAAATTTGTGACAGATATTATTTAAAGAACCTCTAAATTGCATCAACTGCACAATAAATTATTTAATAAAACAAAGGGGAGATTCCGCTTCGGACCCAAACCGATTGATGCGAAAACGGCGAGACAGAACGACAGGTTTCAAGAATTATTTATGGACTTACCAAAGTCGAAACAACGGCAACAAAAATGAGAAAACACAAACACAACAATTTACCAATAATAAATATTAAACACGGATTCAAATCAACACTCGTATTTATTTATTACTATTTACACTTAAACTTGTTATTCAGAATTACGGCAAAGATAATTAATTGACTATACTTTACAAACTTATAACGAACTGACTCGAAAGCAATTAATTATGGTAATGATGCCGGCCGGCTTCCTCTCGCGACGCTTCCTCGAAGATCCAACAGACGAACTCCTAAACCGCTTCACCCATTGGACGCTGGAACCACCGCACACGACGAAACCCAAAACCTCCGGCCCAATCACAAAAGACCCGCGAATATTCAAAATGAATATTAAACGTAAATAACCAAAAAGGAAAATCATAACGAAATGCTTCGTTACAAGAATTAATCATTAAATTTAATTATTTAATAAATAAAAATTTGTTTGTGAATAATTTTGACTCTCGCCAACTGAAACTAATGTGTAAAGATCATGAATATTGGAAAAAGTGCAACTCATCAAAAATCTATAACTTTATACTTAAGGGTTGTTCTGTACGTTAAGTGTTGCCTCTAAAATGTATAAAGATTCATAGACCTCTTCATGTGCAACGTAGTAGAATTAATTATTATTTTCAACATATATATAGAAAAAGGTGAAATTTAGAAAACATACTTATTTTAGTACTACATTTAGATTTTAATATAATTAAACGAGTAAATGAAAAGAAAACGTGAGATATTTTAGTAAAATCGAAGAACTGAATAAAGAGATATTTTTATCTTGAAATCCAGCGACATGCAGGGACGAGAGACTTTTGACCCGACATATATGTATACATATTGTGGATCAAAGATTTTTCTATTAATAAAATAAAAAAAAGGGAGTTTTTATTTCATAATTAAAATCCACTATACTCTATCTTCTTTATAATATTCAGTACTCAGTCTACGTTATATTCAATAATTTTATCTTGTTTTAGAATTTTAAAAATAAACTACAAAATTTTCAACTTTATGACATAAAATCGTGTTTTAATATTTTTTTTTTTATGATTTAAGGGTGGGTAAAATTAGTTTTCATATTTATGAAACAGATAAAAGTTTGATACATCAAGATGTTGAAGCACATTATTATAAACTGGTCTAAATGGAGAAACATTCTCTAGGCTCTAGAATATAGATATCTGCGCGATAAAACTTTCTTATAAAGTTCAACTCCATACAGTAGTGCAGAACGTGATACGAAATTTCTTAAAAACTTCTTCTCAAGTGTCTTTGGACCCTATTCTTTGTCTCTCACTTTACTTCTAATTTTGTTTCAACTTCGAAACTATATTCTTGAAAGAGCAAAATTATTTGGACAGTAATTTTCAAATTATAAAATTTTAAAGTAGTTTTTGAGAAATGTAGACTCTTTTCTGACTCCTATCGAAAATACTTATTCACTATTTTTCTTATCCTGATAATAACTTCAATTCTTAATTTCTTTGAAATTCAATTATTTTCCAAATTTTAAGTTACATTTCTTAAAAAATACGATATTTCAAAATTGTTTTTAAAAGTTAAAAAAAAATTAAATTCTTTAAATAAAAATCTATTATAATTTAATTTGACAACATTTCTAATTAATTGGAAATTTGAATAAGTATTTAAAATTTTAACGACAATTTAACTATCTTTAAAAAAGGTTGATTACAATTTTTCAAAAGACTACTTTCTTAATTTCTAAATTATTCGAAATTTGAATAATTTTTGTTAAATAAACATTTAAATACTTATTCTTATTTATTTTTCGAAAAGAATAATTATATATTTATAAATTAAAATTCAATTTTTATTCAATTTTTAAATAAAATTATTCAAAACCTTAAAATTTTATCGAAAAATAAATAAATTATTGCTTTTTTTAAAATAAATATTTAAATAATTTTACACTTTTACTACAAATTAAAATTTTCTAAGATTTCAATTTAAAAAGCTTTTGAAATTTAATTATTTCTAAAAATTCATAATATAAAGCTTCTAATATATTCAATTATTATCTAAAATTTGAAATGAAATTCATTTTTAAATCAATTCTTAATAGAAAGTTCCACGAGAATTCAATTATTTGAAATACAAAAATTGATAATTCATAAAATAATTTATTATTTCAGAACATTGAATACTTCTAAATAATTTGCAATGTTTCAAAAAGTAATTGATTCCTTTCGAAGAATATTAATAAAATTTTTTTAAATAATTACATTCTTTCGAGGAATTCATTTAAAAAATGTATATTCTCAATAATAATTGATTTCCTTTTGGAACTTTTCCGAAAATTTTCTTGAAAATTGTATTTTAAATAATTGAATTCCTTTGCAAATTTTATAATTATTATTTTCGATATTAATTAATTTTTTGCGTAGAATTTTCTTAAAATTTTTTTAGAATAATTGAATTTTTGAAGATATTTTATTAAAATAGTAGATATTATCTATATTATCATATTGAAAATAATAAATTTTTAGCGAAAATTTTTATTATTTGTTAAACTTATTGAAATTTTACGAAACAATTTGATTAAAATTTTTAAAATTAATTTAATTAAAGAATTTTACTGGAATTTTTTGAATTGTTTCTTGGAATTTCATTAAAATTTTTGTGATTATAGTTTTTTATTTCATCTATTAGTGGATTTAAAGAGTAGTGCAAATAGAAATAAATTCTCAATAAATAGAAAAAAGTGCTTGCTTATTTTTAATTATTTTCTAAAAGACCTTTGACACATTCTAAGTGAATTTTCACTTATTCAGAATATTTAGACAATATTTTCTAATATAAAGTCGCGTTATGACAAGATCTAATAAAGATTATTTAATTTTCTTTACCAGAGCTTGTTTACTTTCAATTTAAATTAAACATTTCCCTAATCAATGTTTACCCAGATTTTATTGGAAATGTAACATGGAAAGTAAATTTGATTCGAGAAATATTTACACGGGATTAATGTAAATATTTGCTGTTTGATGTTCAATGTTGTTGATTCTTCATCACTAAAATTGTTTTCAACTGAGCAAAGAGAGAAAAAAAAAGTTTAGAAAAATTTACAAAATCTCGCTGATCGATCATTGTTGTGAGAGAAGAAAATGAAAACAAAAGCTTACCAACTTCTAGGACTTCGAGGTCGAGGTTACCACTTCGACTTCTACTGATGCTGCTGGCATTGTAGATACTGGACCGTTGATGATGTTGATGATGGTGATGATGAGGATGATGATGAGTCTCCTCCATCGCGCGGGAAGCACTTCGTTTGAATTGTTCTAGGAAGCTGTCTATTTGACTTTCGATACTTGTTGGCGAACAGGCCATTTTCTTTTGAATTTGTTGAAAATGTTTTTATTTATTATAATGAATGACAATAGGTGATGAGAGAGCGGGGGTCATCCCGACCAATGACCGAGTCTCTTGACTACATAAAAAACGTTAAATTTCCAAATGAACACTATTGGGAAATTCGCGAAGGTCACGGTGAGTCGAGATCATTTTCGACACTGTCACGATCATTTTTTAATGATCCATTTCGTTGATTGCGATTCATGTTTTTTTATAGAGAGTGAAAGAGAGAGAGAGAAAAATGAAAAAATAGGAAGAGCTTTTGGAAGCAAAGGGACGATTCGACTGGGCGTCTCGACGTCGTTGCGACGGCGGCAGGTGTCGCAACAGGGTTTCAAGTCGATCTTGATGCGCATGGTTCGCTCAAGTCCAATATTGTTCATTGCGCAAAAACGGAAAGGGGAAACTACAAAGCGACTCTCGCCTGGATAAAGACCCTTATCCGAGATCTTAATGTTTCCTTCTCATTTACTCCCATGCATGAGGATTTCGGAGGCAAAGAACTTTGAATCGCTTTGAATTCCAGAGTCTGATGCAGTACATATTTTCCTCTTTTCCATTCTTCTTTATCCTGGTGTAAAAGAAGTATTATTCTTTACATTCCTCCGGGAGTGTGACTGTCTAGTTCTCAAAAAAAAAAAAACCTAAAAGTAAATTTACAAATAAATAAAAGAAACTTATGGTATGGTTTAATTTTTAAATATATTTACAGAAATATAAGTTTTTTATTAATCATATTTTAACATTCTATTTAAATCCTCCGGCGTTCTAAAAAAATCACCAAATAGAAACATTCTCCTGCCCTTCAGTAAATATTCAAATGTTGCGTTTGGTTCTTGAGGATTTAATTTTCTAAGCTTTGGAGTTACACTTTCAGGTTTAATAGTAATAATTGTTTTCTTGAATGGTAAATTACTGATTAACACGGCTCTACTTACGTTCTCTGCTTTATCGAAATAAATTCGTAACACTGAACATTTAAATAGGAGAGTTGCCAAAAATAACGTAAAAAGTGTTATACCAACTGCTGAAGCGAATTCCATTGTACTGTTTATAAGAACTTTTTCGTCCTTGATTACAGGAAGTGAAATAGTTTTGTTATAGAAACGATAAGTATAGTAAATCGCAATTGGCGAACCGATTAGCAAAATTATTCTTTGCACATGAAAAGCCCTTTCAATCCAAGTCGCATAAGGATTATTGTATACTAATTTATTCGTGCTAGACATTTTATCTATTACTTTAAATTTGTTTTCCTGTTTTATTCCTATTCGAAATCCAGCCTCTCGTTGAAAAGAACACGTTCTCGTGTTGTTTTTTCTCAATGGTCCGGAAAATCGAAAAATACAGGAACTCCTCCACGTATTCAGTCCCATTGAATTGGTAGCTTTTTGTAAAATATTCATTGTCGAATCTGAAATAGAAATTTGAATATTAGAAACAGATTAAAATTAAATTAAATATTAAATAAAACAAATTAATTATAGATCTATAATTAATTTGTACTATTTTTTTATTTGTTCAATTTTTTTCTACTCGAGAAGAAAAGCAGAAATAATTTTTAGACTGACCAAGTTCAAGTCCTCAACGTTAATCAACGAAAAAAATGGTAAATTACATAAAGATTAGGCAGCATTTTTGCCACAAAAATATTTAGAAAAAAAAGATTGATTGATAATAATTATTGTAGAAGTAAATATTATAAATTAATAATACTTGAATGTATTAAATAAATTTTTTTCGTTGATCAATTTTTTTTCGTTGTGGAATTCAAACTTCGTTTAGAATGTACGAATAATGAAAATTTTATTTCATTAATTAAACTGTACAACTAATAAATAATATATTTGTTACCTGTTATTGTTATTTTAACGATTTCAACAATCTAATCTCAACAATTATTAAAAGTGTCAAAAAATTTATAATTTTGTGCTAAACTTTACATTCTTGTTTGGCTCTAAAAAAAGCCGATGTTGACAATATTTTGAAACTGTGTTTTCTAATGCACTTTTATGCTTTATTAACTATTTTTTAATACTTAATTTTATAAACTACGGTTGTAAACTGTCAAAGCACATTGCTTTCTAGCAGACGAAATATTTTTCGGCTCGACCTGCGCATTGTTGTTTATAATATTTGAGGTTAGGTTCTACTATATAGTGACAAGTGCGACAAGTGAAACGTGCTTCTGTTTTTATTAGGCATTATTTTTGTTTGAAAAACAAGAATGCCACCTCAATCAGAGGATGAAAATTCGGATTCGAATCCGGAATTTAAAATAAATAATGAATATGCGAAGAATTACAATCAGTGGCGACAGAAAGAGGAATTGCACAAATGTAAGTATTTGCAAATGTCAATGTTTATTTTCCGTGATTTACGATTTATAAAAGTTATTTTTTATAAATAATAATTTTGTTAAATAATGAATAAAATATGTGAAGAAAATAGTCACTTTAGTTATTGATTAACGTGGCCAGTAGAAAATACATTTTGTATACATTGAGAAACATAACCTTAAAGCAATGGAAAAGTAATTTTCTTCTGATAAATTGAATTTTTGATTAGTAAAACAGCGTTATGGCGAAGAAGCATGTAATCTGGATAATTTGAGTGATAATTCCTCGAGCGATACTTCTGAAGACGACGACGAAGTTGTAAGTTATATTCAAAGATTTATATTTTAGACAAAGTCCATCAACGAAAAAAATGTTTCAATAAGTGTATTTCTCAATGAGAACGAAACAATTTGTTACAAAATTATATAAAAATAGGAAGATTAATATTTATATTTTAAATAAAAATTGTATATTTCTTAAAAAGTATTCTATTTTCAGGAAGTGTCGGAAAAATTTGAAAACGACTTCTTCAAAGTACTGGCTTATTTGAAAAGTGAAGATCCAAAGATTCACGATGAAAAAATATCATTTTTTAATAACACTAAAGAGGATCTTGAGGAAGGTAAAGAAAATAGGAAGAAGAAAGCAAAGAAAGAAAAAGCAGTAACATTAAGAGATTTTGAGCGTAAAATTATTCTTGAAAGAGGAGGTAAATATAGTGACAGTGAAGATGAAAGCAAACCTAAAGAGCAACATGGAAATCGTCTCACATACGTTCAAGAGCAAAATGAAATAAAAAACAGTTTCAAAGCTGCTGTAGAAGATGACGAAGAAGATGAAAACTTACTGGTTGTTAAAGAAAAAACCGAAGAACAAATTTTAAAGGTATTTAACTATAAATTATATTCTACAATCATTAATTAATTAACTAATTATTCAAAAATTATTCTCCAGGAAGAAAAACGGAAAAAATGGCTCAAAGGGCAAGAAGTTGATGTCGATCCCCAAGACGAAGTACTGAAACCAATTCGAGACTTTTGGGCAAATCCAAATTTGGATGCAGGTGAAAAATTCCTGCGCGATTATATTTTAGATAAAAAATACCAGGATAAAAGTTCATCAGATTTTGATCGCGATTACGATCATATATTACATGACAGTGATGAAAATCTTTCAGAAGATGAGCAGAATATTGAGCGTCAGGAGGAATTTGAGTACAAGTATAATTTTCGATTCGAAGAACCGGATCAGGATTTTATTAAGAGGTATCCTCGAACATTGGAAAATTCGATGAGAAAAAAAGATACACGGCGATCGGAAAAACGTGCCGAGCTGAAGAAACGAAAGGACGATGAGAAACTGCGGAAAAAGGAGGAACTTAAGGAACTTAAAGCGCTGAAACGAAAGGAAATTGAGGAAAAGCTAGAAAAGTTGAAAGAAATCACGGGAAATGAGGATTTTGGTATAAAAATGGAAGATTTAGAAGGTGATTTCGATCCGAATGAGTATGACCAAAAAATGAAGAAAATGTTTGATGATGATTTCTATACTGTTGCTGAGGATGATATGAAACCTCAATTTCCGGAAATTGATGAAGAAATAAATGATTTTGATAATTATGGAGAAAATTTTGAAGAGGAAGGTGATTATCATGATGAGGGGCCTAATTGTGAGGATGAAAATTTCATCGTAAGTAAAGTCTTCTTTTCTTTTTTCGTGAAATGATTCACAAGTTTTGAGCGTTCAAATAAAGCACGGCTCGAACTAGGTCCGTAAATTTGCTTCAAGACCGTAAAAGTCAGTTTTTTTAAAAAAAGGTCCGTATAGTCCGTAATTTGATTGAAAAAGAATGAAAAGTTCGTAAATTGTACGACATAATTTTGGAAATTTTGAAAAAGTTACAAAAATTGCAGAAATTTAATTATTTTCAAAAGTAATAAAACTCTTCGCAGAAATTCAATTATTTTCCAAAAATTTTCTAAATTCTCGTCAAAATTCTAATTATCTTTATATAAATAATAAAATTCTTTGCAAAAATTTAATTATTTTCTAAGCTTTTCATTATTTTCGCAAAAATTCAATTATTTTAAAAAATTATCATAAAATTCTTCGCAAAAATTTAATTATTTTCAAAAATAACAAATTTTTTAGCAGGCATTCAATTATTTTCAAAAATTAACATAAAATTCTTCGCAAAAATTCTATTATTTTCAAAACTTTTAATAAAGTTCTTGACAAGAATTCAATTATTTTTATAAATAACAAAATTCTTCGTAAGAATTCAAATATTTTCATATAGATCAACATTCTTAATATAGGTAAAATTTTTTTTACAAAATTCTTCGAAGAAGATCTAATTATTTTTAAAAATTGAAATACAATTCTTGTCAAGAATTCAATTATCATTATAAATATCAAAATTCTTCGCAAAAATTCAATTATTTTCAAAACTTTCAAATAAAGTTCTTGGAAAGAATTCAATTATCTTTTCATAAATAACAGAATTCTTCCCAAAAATTCAATTCTTTTAATAAATAACAACATTTTTAGCAGAAATTAAATTATTTTTAAAAATTTTCATAAAATTCTTCACAGAAATTCAATTATTTTCAATAATTTTAATAGACTTCTTTGTATTCTCGTAGAATTTTGGTAATAAAAATTGATTTAAAAATGAATTTCAGTTACAATTTGAGATAATAATTGAATAATATTAAAAGTATTATTGCGTGAATTTTTAGCAATAATTGAATTTTTTGAAATGTTTGCAAATTCAAATTTTAGGAAAATTGGAATTTTTCATACTTTTAACCAACAATTCTGTAGAATTAATTTTTTTTTTTAAAGTTTAATTGAATTTTTTTTTAAAATTATTTAAATTTCTAATTTTCTACAATATATGTAATTGAAGAATTTCCGAATAATCGAATTAAAAAAACTTCTCCAAAATTCAATTATTTTCAAAAATTTTAATAAAATTCTTAGAAAAATTTCAATTTTTTCAAAAATTTTCCTTAATTCAATGCTTTTCAATATCTACTATTTTAATAAAATTTTCCAAAAGAATTCAATTATTTAAAAAAAATTTATTAAAATTCTACGCAAACATTATTTAATTATTTTCATAAAATAATAAAAATTTCACAGAAATTCAATTATTTACAAATTTTTGTAAATAAATTTCTTCACAATAATTAAATTATTTTCATAAATAATAAAACTCATTGCAGAATTTCAATTCTTTATTTTTAATAAAATTTTAATCAAATTCCGCGAAGAATGTAATTATTCTTAAAAATTTTATTAAAATTCATCAAAAGAATTCTTTTATTTAAAAATTTGTTGATTAAATTCTTTATAATTCAATTTTAAGAAACATTAAAATATTCAATAAATTATTTTTTTGTATTGAAATGATTGAATTCTAATAAAAATTGATTTAAAAATAAATTTCAGTTAAAAACACTAAAAAAATTTTATTTTGGAGAAATTACATATGATTACAAAAATTAAATTATTTTCAAGAGTAATAAAATGCTTCGCAGAAATTTAATTATGTTAAAAAATAATAAATTTTTCTTAAGAATTCAATTACTTTTATAAATCATAAAACTCATCGCAGAATTTCAATTATTTTTGAAACAATTTTAATCGCATTTCTAGGAAAATTTAATTAAAAATCGTAGAAAGAATTCAATTATTTAATAATTTGTTGATAAATTTTTTTATGAAAATTGAATTTTAAGAAACAATGAATTATTCAATAAATTATTTATTTTTATATTTAAATAATTGAATTCTAGTAGAATGTTCTAATAAAAATTGATTTAAAAATGAGTTTCAGTTGAAATTTTATCAATTTGCCATTTTTAATTATTATAAAATATGAAGAAATCGATCATCTTCATGTTTTATAGTTATGCAAAAATTTAATTTATAGTTTTAAGTAAAATTTTCAATTATTGGACTCGGACTGATTATATTTTTGTCAGTAATTGGTCCCTAATTTTTCGTTTTTGGTCTGTAAAGTCTGTATTTTTAAATACTTTTACTGGTTCGAGCCCTGAATAAAGAAGATATTTTTATTTTTGATTGTAATAAAAATTGAAAAATTAAATTTAATATTTTTTTTATAGTTGAAGACAGAATTATTGCAATAAAATTTGAATTTGAAGAAGAAATAAATCAATTTCGCTCATTTGAACTTTCAGAACTTTGGAACTTGTGAATTGCTTTTCTCGAATAATTTTTCATTTCAAATAGTGAGTTTTAATTGAAATTTTTCTAATTATGTTTCAGATGGATGCTGATTATGATCCAACAGCAGATGCTAAGACAAAAAAGGTAGACTCGAAAAAGAAGAAAAAGGGACGTAATAAAAATATTGAACTTCCAAAAGAGAAACCGAAATTTGATCCTGAAGTTCATTCGTCATATCAGGAGTACATTGATCGCTACTACGCTTTAGACTACGAAGATATGATTGGCGACATTCCGTGTAGATTTAAACTCAGGAAATCAATTCCCAATAATTATGGCCTAACGATAGAAGAGGTAAAATATTTTTTTCTTTTAAAAAACTAAAGTTTGATTTTAAAAACTATTTTTCATTCTGAAAAATTCTCTTTTGTAGATTCTATTAGCCGATGATAAGGAACTTAACAAATGGTGTTCTTTGAAAAAAGCCCTGGAGTTTAAATCGGAAGAAACTGAAAAGAACGAAATATTTAAATTTCAACAGAAAGCTAAAAACGAAGCTCTTAAGAAGAAAATATTAAAAAGCGTGTACAGGTAAATAAATGTTTGTCACTAAATTTTTTAACCAAAAATTGACAGACAGTAAATTTTAAACTCGGTTTTATTATAAATTAAATATATTTAGAAAAAAGTTTAAATATATTATAAATTTAAACTCGATTTCATTTTTTTAGTCCTGAGGAGGAAAATGAAGAGCAGGAAGCTACTATTCCGACAGAGCAGTCTAAAAAGAAAAGAAGAAAAAAGAAGAAAGGAAAGGCAACTGAAAATGTTTCGAATCTCCCCGAGCCTTCTACGTCTGCGGATAAACAAAATAAACTTCAAACTTCAAAACCAGTGTCAACGAAATCTGAAAAACGCAAACACAGTGATGTTTTTACTGAGAAAACTGAAGACAACACAGCTCCTAAGAAAATTAAACAAAATCAAAATAAATCAAGTGAGACACCAGAAGTAATAAATAATCAAGTAGAAAAAGTAGTACCTAGTAAGAAAAAGAAAAAAGCCGCTCAACAAGAAATTTCTTATGACTCAAAATCTGAAACAATAGTCGAATCAGAAAGTAAAGAAATTGTAAATAACACTCAAGTTCAGAATAAAAAGAAGAAAATGAAAAATAAAAATAAAACTTTGAATAGTAGTGTACAAAGTGGAGTTAGTGAAGCAGATAGTAACGAGACTGCAAAGCAGACAGAAAATGTAAAAAAGAAAAAGAAAGAGAAGAATCAAAATAATATTTCAGTTAGTGAGGTAAAAGAGGAAATAACTGACAATAATAACGAAGACAACAAATCGGAAAAATATAAAAAAATAATGAGAAAGAAAGAAAACAGAAAGAGGAAATTGGAGAAGAAACAAAAATACTTGAAGTTAAAGAATAAATTACAAAAGAAGGAATCTATTGAAAATCCCTTAAATGAATTGAGTGCCGATCGATTGAGAGCTTTTGGAACAAATCCAAAGAAATTTAAAAATCGTTTAAAATACGGAAACAAGAATACAATTTCTTAAAAGCCGTGATTCTGATGAATGAATATCGTTATTGTAAATCATTATTGTCATTAATTGTACAATTGTTTGAATATAATGAATTTGTTAAAAAAATAGTTTAAATGTTTCTTTATACGAATAAATGATACTTTCTATTATATTGTCAATTATTAATATTAATCTTTAAAAAATTTCGGATTCCATATTAAAGAATTAAATTATTTTTCTAAATAATAAAATTCTTCGTAGGAATTCAAGTATTTAAAATACAATTTTAATAAAGTTTTTCTCGAAAGAGTTCAATTATTCATAAAAATTTTAAGAAAATTCTAAGTAAGAATTCAAAATTCCTCGGAAAAATTCAATTATTTAAAAACAATTATAATAAAATCTTAGAAAACAATCAATTATTTCCAAAAATTTTAATATTCAGCAAAAGAGTTTAATTATTTTCAGGACAAAAAATAAAAAATTTTGGACCATGTACAAAAATTATAAAAATATAACCAGTCAATCAACCGATTTCTTCATGTTTTATAATAATAAAAGATGACCGAGTGATAAAATCATTTACAATTAAATTATTATTTACAAGAATTTTTAACTAAAATTCTACTTTAAATCGATTATTTTGAATAATTTTCGAAAAAGTTCTTTGACAATTTTAAAATCTATTTGTTTAACAATATTCAATTTTACAAAATTTCAATTATACTCGTAAATTCTTCAATTAAATAAATATTAGAAAATAAAAACTCAAAATAATATTTTAAAAAATTGAATTAAACTTTTTCAAAAAAATTAATTTCAAAATTTAATTATTTTTAAAATTCACGCTATATTGCTTTTAATATTTATAATTATTATCTAAAATTTTAACTGAAATCCATCTTTAAATCAATTTTTATAAGAAAATTCTACTTGAATTCAATTATTTAAATTCAAAAATAAATAATTTATTGAATAATTCAATGTTTCTTCAAATTCAATTCTACTATAGAATTTTAGCAAACAAATTTTTAAATATTTGAATTCTATCGACGAATTTTATGAAAATTTTGAAGAATAATTAAATTTTTCGAGAAATTTGATTAAAATTGTATTAAAAATAATTGAAACTCTGTGATGAGTTTTATTATTTGTGAAAATAATTGAATCGCTAAGAAGAATTCTATTAATTTTGAACAATATTTAATTTTTACGAAGAATATTATTACTCTTGAAAATAATTGAATTTCTGCAATAATTTGTAACTTCCCAAAATTAAATTTTTTTTGTGTTTTAAACTAAAATTCTTCTCTATAAGGATTTATTTTTAATAATTTTTGAAAAAGTTCTTTGAGAATTTTCAAATTCATTTGTTTACCATTCAATTTTACCAAATTTTAATTATTCGTAAATTCTTCAATTAAATATGTATTAGAAAATATAAACTTGAAATAATTAAAAAAAAATCCGCAATTAAACTTTCTCAAAAAAATAATTTCACAGAATTTCTAGTTAAAAATATGAAAATTTAAATTTTCAAAGAATTTAATCTAAAACCATTTCAAAATTCAATTATTCTTATTTCTAAAAATTTACGCTTTAATACTTTTAAAATTTAATTATAATCTAAAATTTTAATTAAAATCCATTTTTAAATCAATGTTCATGAGTAAATTCTACTAGAATTGAATTATTTAAATACAAAAATAACAATTTATTGAATAATTGCATGTTTCTTAAAATTGAATTCTCATAAAGAATTTAATCTATAAATTTTTAAATAACTGAATTCTTCTGATAAATTTTAATTAAATTTTTAATTTTTAATAATTTTTTCAAAGAATTCGATTAAAATTGTATTAAAAATAATTGAAATTCTATAATGAGTTTTATTATTTATGAAAATAGTTGAATTCCTAAAAAGAATTTTATTATTTACGAAAATAATTGAATCCCAGTAAAAATTTTATTATTTATGAAAATAATTGAAGAATGGCGAAAAATTTATTTAAAAAAATGGTAAATAATGAAATTCCTGAGAAATTTTTATTATTTTTTGAAAGTAATTAAAAGTTTGTGTAGAATTTTATTAATTTTTTTTTTAAATAATTGATTTCTTTTGGAAAATTTTATGAAAATAGTAGACATTGAAAATCGTTGAACTGGGGAACATTTTTTTGAAAATTATTGAATTTCAGAGAAGAATTTAATTATTTTTAAAAATAATTGAAATTTTGATGAGAAATCCATGGAAATCATAATAAATCATATTAAATACTTTAATAGTCCATTATTAAAATATTTCGTTAAAAAGTTTGTACTAATTTTACTAATTCCTGGGAACATCACAAAATTAAAATAAAATTAAAAATTTTTTCTTTTGTTTCAGATTAGGTTATTGGAATTTTTTAACATAAATTAAAAAATCCGATTTGATTATTTTTTGAGTATATGAAGGAAAAATAAATGGCCCATAGTTTTCTAAAGTTAAGATTGAGAACTTTGTTTTTATATTAACACAGGAAAACATAAATAGCGTTGAGGGAGTATATTTTGAAGGGTGGCTCGTAACATACGGGGTGGATTACAAAACAGAAATTATAGAAAAACAAACAATCACCCAGTTATCCTAGTAATCCTCAAACGTCGTTTATCATATTTTAGTACGTCAAATTTAAATAAATCGTAATTCATTTTTTTTTTTTTTTGCTCAAATAGATTTATCAAAATTCAGAAATGTTTGTCTAAGAACTTCAAAATTTGTTTTACCTAACAACTTTTACCTTTAAAAATTAGTAAAAAGAACAATTTTTCCTAGCTGGCATTCGTTGCTGATTGAGAAAAAATTTGTTTGAATTTATTAAGTTATTATAAGGTTATTTTACCGAAATTCAATTATTTTCTACAATTTTAAAGTTTAAACTAAACTTAATCTCTAAATCAATTATTATTTTTCATAATTTTCCTAAATTTCTTCGAGAAGGAAAATTTTACTCTATTTTTCAGTAGAATTTTACTAATTTAGGTTTAGAGGGAACAATTTATTTTTTGCGGTGAATATAGGGAATGGTATAAGGTTTATTTTTACGGTCCTTTCAAGTATAAATTATATTGTCTAACAGTTCTTGAAAATTTTTTGGTAAACCATTTTAAAAATGTATTCGATTCGATTCGTGTTGGGATGTGTAACTGTGATTCGAAAATGCTGGTCATACTATCAACAGGACAATAAGAAGAGATATTCCATGAACGAATAAAGGGGGTTTCCATCCCCCAGGGTACAATAAATCAATCCCCTTACAACTGAAGCATCCAGTAGCAGGTGGTGCCAACGTTTACTACCGCTCACGCCTCTAATTCCCAATTAATATAATCCCTTTCCAATTGCATTTTCCCAAAAAATCGACTTCTATCGTTTTTTTACATTAGACAATTGTTCGAAAATGTTAATTTTGCATTCTATATATATTCTTGCAATTTTAGACAAGGAAATTTGAGGAAACAAGAATAAAAGGATTGAGAAAAAAAGAATTTAAAAATTTTTTTTCACTTGTTTCGTTTTTGTAGCTTGATGTTGATATTTTTATTTATTACTTGATTTTTTTATTTGAAAAATTATTCTTTATTTACAGTTTTTTAATGATCCATATGTATAAATTTTTTGTGCAGGAGGGGAGATTGGCGATTACATGGCAATTACCGAATTTCACAGTGTGACGCCTCCAATGTGCAAAGAGCCAACGATCAGTGTCAGTGTAAAAGCTAATTCAGTGTTCAAGAAGATCCAAAGATGTAATTGGCGAAAAAGCACTTCAGGGATGCAGCTGCAACTGTAAAGGTGAGTACAATTTGACTCAATTTTGTTTCTATAAATTTTCCATAGTTGTTATGTACATAAATTTCTTTCTTTTTGCTTTAAAAACAAAATTTGACTCGATCTGAAGCAACTGAAGAAAGAACGAATTATAGGTTATGTTTGTTGTGGATTTATTTCATTTACATTTCTTCATTAAAAAATTTTTCTGTTTAAAATAGTTGATCAAAAAAACTTTTTTACAAATTTTTCAAGTAAAAATTTGGTTGACAAAATATTTTTTCTTCTAAATCGTTGATTCTAAACGTTGTGAACTTCACTAAAATTAAATTTTTTAACGTTCAAATGAACGAAATATTTTCTTAACCTCCAAAGTTTTTGAAAATTGTTAAACTGAAAACAAAATTTGTGTAAAAAGTTCACGTTTATGATCAAAAATTAAATAAAATTTATATTCTTCACAAGGAAAATTAATAAACTTCTTGCTTTTCGAAAATGTTTTTTTAAATGGTAGATCATTGAAATTTTATTAAAAATTCTTTCATACAAAATTTAATGAAAATTTGATTCGGAAAATATTTTTTCTTCTATAGATCATTGGTTATAAACACGTTGTAAAATTTACCAAACTAAAAGAAAAATATTGTAGTAGAACATTTATTGTGTTAATTAAAAAAAAATTAATTTTTAAAACTTAATGTTCAAATTAAAAAAAACAATATTTTGCAAGAAAAATCAAATTTAAAGAAAAAATGAAACATCGTCGTTCATCTGATTGTTCGTAACTTTAAGGACATATTTTTAACTTGAGATATAAATTTCGATTACCTTACTTTTTGTATAAATTTCGACAACTTTTTTCCAAAATATAAAACATGGAGTTAAAAACCTCGAAAATAATTGTGCTAGCAAGCTTATAATTTTATTTCATTGGTTTTGTTTGTTTTACAACGAAATGTTCTTTGACTGATTTTAAACAGTTTTGTTCATTGAATCAGCTAAAGTTGCATTGTTTTTATTATTGCCTCCTATGTCGGTACTTAATTGAATTAAAATCACCAAGTATGTCGTTATCGATCCAACAACCTAGAAAAAAAGATTTTTTTTTAGTTTCTCTATATTCAGGGTTGCGACAAAAATTTAATTTTGTTTTTCCCTGACTTTTCCCTGATTTCCAGAATTTTTCCTGACTGATTTTGACTTTTTCCCTGACCCTAAAGAATATTCTGATTCACTCTAAAAATTATTAGAAACTCAAAAAAATGTTCTATTACATTTATGTACGAATTTCCTTAATTGTAAAATTATTCAAAAACACCAATAAATTAAAAAAAAATTTTTTTTTAAAATATTTTTATTATTTTTTCCTAAGAATTATGATTTTTAAAAATTTCAAATTCAAACATTTTGAAATTCAATAACTGATAAAAATATTATTGTAAAACATGAAATTAATCACTCCGAGTCTTTGACTCGGAGTAATCGATTTCTTCATATTTATTTATAATTAAAGTTTATTTCTAAAGATAATTGAAATGTTGACGACAATTTTTGATGATTTTTTGAAAGTAAATGAATTTCCACGAAGAATTTTATTAATTTTCAAAATAATTGAATTCTTGTGATGAATATTGTTATTTATGCAAATAACTGAATTTTATAATAATGAATTTTATTAAAATTGAGAATAAAGTTGAGAACTTTTTAAAAATTTTGAAAATAATTGAATTTCTGGGAAGAATTTTAATATTTATTAAGATTGCGTTAAAATAAATTATTGTCAGAGATAGAAAAAATTTAATGTTTTTTCTAGAATTCATGGTAATTTCATAATTTATGAGTCAGACACAAAAATTGACAATATTCTTATAAATTCTAAACATTTAATTTTTTCCAGTATTTTTAATAAAATTCTCTGATTTTTCCCTGATTTCCCTGATTTCCCTGACCTGTGGCAACCCTGATATTGAATAATTTTATAAATACAATTTTTTGTTAAAGACACTTGAATCGTGAATTTTCTTACGCCTTGAATAAAAGTGTAGTCCAAAGTTACGAACTCATATGCTGTGAATTTCAACGGATTCTGAATTAATTGCAAAACAAATTGTCGAATCTGCAATAAGTTTCGATTTCATTATTTTTATTATTATAAACTTAAATTTAAAATATTAATTAATTAATATAAATCTAATTATGTTTTAAATTCAAAGTATAAATTAATTGATTAGCAAAATTTGAATATTCAATTTATTAAATTATTTTAATACGAAAGTAAAATTTGTATCAATAGGAGGAAAAAAATATTAATAAGTTACGAAAAAATTACCTCTGATCGAAATTCTTTACTTGTCATTGGCTCGTGTAATTCACAAATTATGTTTCCTGTTAGTAGAGCCTATAAGAGAAATAGAAATTTATTAATAAGATAATTATTTTACTTTTTTGCTGAAAGAGAACCAAAAATAATACATACCTCTCCACTTGTCCTGTCGCAAATGTGATTGATAAATAAAATTTTCATCACATAGAGAAATAACCAGCAACCCGAAGAAATTAATGCTGGTGTTTTCTCCTTCTGGTCCAATTGTGGACTGTACAGAATTGAGTAAGAAAAGTACAACAGTCCGGTTATAAAAACTAAAGACAGTGCCATCGACAAAAGTATTTGCAGGCCGAACGTTTCATTCACACGTCGAGAAGTTTTCACTAAATTCAAATGAATCTGTCTTGATAGAGAAAATATTTAATGAAAGATTAATATATTAATAAAAATTTTAATATAAATAATAAATAGCAGGAAAAAATTACAATAATCAAGCTTTTTTTGTTATAATATAAAAAAGTCAGGCCTCGCACTCATCTACTCAAACCTACTATTTATACTACTTTTGTAATTTTACGATTTGCTACTATTTGGAAACTTTTTTTTATTTTATAAAACCTTAATAAAATTATTGGAAAAAATTCAAAAAATTTTAATAAAATTTTTTAAAACGATTCAATTATTTTCACAAATTTTTCATATTTCAATGATTTTTAATATCTACTATTTTAATAAAAAATTTTCCAAAAGAATTGAAGAATTTAAAAAAAATGTTTATAAAATTCTTCGCAAAAATTCAATTTTTTTCATAAAAAAAAATTTTCACAGGAATTCAATTATTTTAAAACTTTTTTAATAATAATCGTTGCAAGAATTCAATTATTTTTATAAATTTTAAAACTCATCCCAGGATTGAAGAATTTAATTATTTACAAAAATTTTAATGAAATTCTTTGAAAAAATTCAATTATTTTCACTGATAATAAAAATATTCGCAGAAATTCAATTATTTTCAGAAATTTTTATAAAATTCTTTACAAGAATTCAATTATTTAAAAAAAAATTAATAAACTTCACAAGAATTCAATTATTTTTTAAAACTTTTAATAAAATTGTTTTGTAAAAAATTCAATTCTTTTAAAAAATTTTAGTGAAATTCTTTATAATAATTGAATTATTCTCAATAGGTATAATTTTAATAAAATCTTTTGTAAGAATTCAATTATTTTCATAAATAATATACAATTTTCAAAGAAATTCAATTATTTTTAAAAATTTTAAAACTCATCGCAGGATTTCAATTATTTTAAATACAATTTTAAATGAATTCTGCGAAAAATACAATTATTTAAATTTTAAAATGATTTTGATATACTTTGTTTATTAGAACTTAATCATTATTTTCAAATTCATTTTCAATTATATTTCTTGAAGGAATTTAATTATTTTCAAAAATTTTAAAGAAATTCTTTGAAAAAAAAACAATTATCTTGACTGATAATAATATTATTCGCAGAAATTCAATTATTTTTAGAAATTTTTGTAAAATTCTTCACAAGAATTCAATTATTTTTTAAAATAATAAAATTCTTCTCAGTTAAATTATTTTTTGAAACTTTGAATAAAATTGTTTTGCAAAAAATTTAATTCTTTAAAAAATTTTTAATAAAAATCTTTATAATTGAATTATTCTCAATAGGTTTAATTTTAATAAAATTTTTTGTAAGAATTCAATTATTTTCATAAATAATATACAATTTTCAAAGAAATTCAATTATTTAAAACACAATTTTCATAAAATTTTTTGAAAAAAATTATTTTTTTATAAGGATTTTTTAAAAAAATTCTTTTCAAGAATGTAATTATTTAAAAAACTTTATTAAAGTTCGGTGACAAAAATTCAATTATTTTCCTAAATAATAAACTCATAGAGAATTCCAATTATTTTTAATATAATTTTAAATTATTTTCGCTAAAAACGCAATTATTCTCCTAAAAATTTGAATAAAATTCTTTGAAAAAATTTAATTATTTAAAAAAATTTGATATCATTTATTTCTTAGAGTGTAATCATTATTTTTAATTCATTTTTAATTACATGAATTTCATTATTGTAAAAAATTTGAATGCAATTCTTCGTAAAAATTAAATTATTTTTAAAAATGTTGATAAAATTCTTTATGAGAATTCAATTTTAAGAAATATTCAATTTTTCAATAAATTATTTATTTTTGTATTTAAATAATTGAATTCTCGTAGAACTTTATAATAAGAATTGATTTAGAATTGAATTACAAAAAAGTAATTAAAGTTTTGAATAATTTTATTTTTTATTTTCAACAAAAAAATGATTGAATTTTGAAAAAATTGCTTTTTTAATTTTTAGAAATAGTTAAATTTCAACAATGCGTTACATTGAAATCATTTGAAATATTTTAATTCCTGTAGACAAAATAAATCTAGGTATTTAAATATTTATTTTAAAAAATTATTCTATTTTTGAATGTAATTAAGAAATTATAAAAAAAATTGAGTCGTCAAGTTTAATTTTTCGATAGCTACTTTTTTACTACTTTTTTCTGTCTTAAAGCTACTTTTTTAAAATTAATTATCGAGTACGAAGCCTGAAAAATATTAATGTTTGGTACTTACTTTGCTGCCTTCATCAAATGCGCGTCATCATTAGTTTTCTTATTCAGTACAGAATTATTACTCTTTACAAGACTGGTATTTTGGTAGAGTAATTTCATATACTGAGGAGACAGAGGACTTGCTGATGACATACTTTTTAGTAAAGAATTTAGTCTCGAAAATTTTCTTCTCATACTTCTATAAAGTTTTTGAAAAATGTTGAAAAAATTTCTTAAAACTCTAAAAACTCATCTTCTTAAAACTAAAATAAAAATTCTTTAAATTCATTTTAAATTACATAAAATAAATACTTCCTCTACGAGGAAGCAATTCTTGAAATTAAATTTAAATTTCAAAAATAAAGAAAGAATTTTTTAATTTAGAGAATTGAGTTAAAAAAAATGTTAGTTGAGGCTAAAATATTTGTTACCTGACTATAACTAGAAACACACTGTCTGCGACAAAAATTAAAGCCAGTGGATAGTGAACGGCAATAATCATTGCAGCTTTTACATTCTTTGGAGTATCGCCGTCAACCATAGAAGCAGAATTTATGACAATTACAATGATAACAATGATGTAAATCGCGCATACTCTTCCCAATTCCTGTTTTATCGTTTTATCATAGTCCTTCGATATTCCAATCTTTTGTAGAAGATCGTCAACTCTTTCGATCTTTTGAATGCAGATTTTCAATCCCTAAATTGTTGAGAAATTTTAATAAACTTGAAATTAATAATTCAATATTTAGGGAAAAATTATCAATTTTTTAAATACCTTTCTTCGATTCCAGGCTAAAATAATTGCAATCAAACCGAGACAACCATTTCCGAGTGTTACAATTTTAGTCAAAAATCTCCCTGTATTATTTAATCGTTTCAAGTACATTTTGTCTTCATAATTTACTGTGTAAAATAAAGATACTCCATAAATCGATAATAAAATTATTGCATAGAGAATCGTTATGAAGAAACGTGGTGTTCCCATTGGAATTTCTATAATTCCACTTCCCAAGCTCCAACTTACTATTTGCAGTGGTTTTATGATATCCTTTATGCTTTTTGTTTGCGTCATCATTCTATTAAGTTTATTTGTATTTAATATTCATGAATATTAATATTATTAATTATAGGTATTAATAATATTATTATTAAATTTTTTATTAATAATACTAGCTCGCATAACGTAATTTTCAATTTATTATTATTATTATGCAAATTAAAAAATTTTTTATTTTCAAATATAAATTCAAATTATTTTTTAAAAATAGTAAGATTTTTTGCCAAAATTCAATTATTTTTACCTAAATAAAATTTTAATAACAATTCACGAATGAATAAAATTATTTTCTAAAATTTTAATTAAATCCATCGAAACAATTCAATTATTTTTTTAAATGGCAAAATTTTTCGAAAAAATTCAATTATTTTCTAAAATTTTTAAAATCCATCGAAACAATTCAATTATATTTATAAATAGTAAAATTCTTTGCCAAAATTAAATTATTTTTAAATAAAATTTTAATAACAATTCACGAATGAATACAATTATTTTCTAAAATTTTAATTAAATCCTTCGAAACAATTCAATTATTTTTTTAAATGGTAAAATTTTTTGCAAAAATTCAATTATTTTCAAACAAATTTCACGAAAGAATTCAATTTTTTTTCTAATTCGTTATAAAATTTTTCCAAAGAATTCAATTATTTTCTAAAAAATTTCAGTAAAGAATTCAATTATTTTTTCTTAATTCGATTTAAAATATTCAACAGAATTTAATTATTTTCTAAAATTTTTATAAATTCTTCGAAAAAATTCAATGATATTTATAAATAGTCACATTCTTTGCAAAAATTCAATTATTTTTAAGACAATTTTAATAACATTTTATAAAAGAATACAATTTAAAAAAAAATTTTAATAATATTTTTCGTAAAAATTCAATTATTTTCTAAAACTTTTAAAATCCATCGAAACAATTCAATTATATTTGTAAAGAGTAAAATTCTTTGCAAAAATTCAATTATATTTAAAACAATTTCAAAAAAAAATTCAATTTTTTTATTAATTCGTTATAAAAAATTTCAAAAGAATTCAATTATTTTTAAAAATTTTAATAAATTCTTCGAAAAAATTCAATTATTTTTGTAAATAGTAAAATTATTTGCAAAATTAAATTATTTTCAAAAAGATTTCAGCAAAAAATTCAATTTTTTTCTTAATTTGTTATAAAAATTTTTCAAAAGAATTCAATTATTTTTTAAAACAAGAAATAAATTGTTCAGAAAATTAAATTATTTAAAACATTTTTAAAGTAACTCCATTCTTTAAAAAAAAAATTTAAAGAAATTCTTCGAAGGAATTCTATTATTATAAAATTATTTAATAAAATTCTTTGCAACAATTCGATGATTTTCAACAAATTAATTTTAAAATTGAAAATATTTAAAAAGAAAAATTATTAAAAAAGTTAGGAAACAAAAAAGCTAACAACTATTAACTTTGAACTGCGAACAGATTACCGGAAAACAACGATTATTAATATAGATTATTATTAATTTTATTAATAATATTATTAATTTTATGAAATATTTAAAAAATTAAATTAACATATATACCTGTTATTTTTGTCGGCGTTCATCTCAAATTTAGTTTTCTCCATCTCCATTGTGTTAATCATTATATTAGGTTGGTAAACTTTATTTTAATGCACTGTAGAAAAGGCAGTTAGATTTTTACCATAATAAACTAAATTATTGATTTAATTTTGTTTTTATATTTTTTAAATAATTTTTATTTACTTTCGTTCTTATTTTTTCAACTTTTGATTCGTTTTTTGTCTCAATTTGATATCAGCAGAAAAACTGTGAATTATTATTTATTTTTCAGTGTTAAAATTTTACTTTTCTTCATAAATTCCCTACGGAGTCAACACCACACATTATATTACTTTGGTGAATTTCACAATTTTTATTTTTTTATAATCATCAATTTAAAAAAAAATTTTTTTTTTGCAAATTTTTATACTTCACTGAAGTGATAATATATCATAAAATAATTGGTGAGAGAATTTAACTCTTTTTTAATAACTCTTGTAAAAAATACGCAGAATATTTCTTACTAACTTTTGGAGTAGATTTTTAAATTGAAAATTTTAACTCAAAACTAACCCGTGTAGAAATTTCCCTATTTGTCCCTATCTCTAGTAGGGACCTCGCTAGATTCTGACTAGAATCTCTAGTCTAGAAAAACTAGTCGGGCTTCAATCAAATTCTAGTTAGATAATTCAGACTGGAAAAAACTCACTAGGACCTTATCGATTTCAAACTAGACAAACTAGTGTACAAGTATGACATACATAAATTATCTTTCTATAGATATAAATAATTCAGATTAATAGATAGAAAAACTTACTAGCATTATTTATTAAAAAATTTTGCATATTATTTAATTATTTAATTTTTTAACATTTTTTAAACAAAATTTTAAATATTGTAGAATATTTTTACAAAAAATTCCAATAAAGCAATTTTATTAAATAAAAATCTTTTATTTAATATGTAAATTAAAAGAATAAAACATAAATAAATATTAATTATGTGGGTATAACTAATTTTTATTACCTAAATATTGTAATATTATTCGTAAAAATAATTTTTTTTTAAAAAGATATGTATGTGCAATTATACTTTAAAATGTTTTTCACAATTAATGCAAGTATTTAATAATAATTAAAAAGATGCTATAATATTATAATTACAATAATAAATTGAATAATATAATTATAATAATTATAGTAAATATAAAAAGCACTGCAATTAGTAATGTTTAATTTTTCAATAATGTCATAATTAATTATTATTAACTATCATTAGGAATGCAGAGTTAAATAAGAGTGATGAATAATAACTCCCTAAAATTCAAAATATTATGAATTAATTATATCTATAACGTTATTGAAAAATTAAACATAACTAATTTATTACATTACTTTTTATATTTTTATATTTACTATAATTGTTTTAATAAATAATAATAATAATAAATAATATAATAATAAATAATATATTACAATATTTAGTTAATAAAAATTAATTATATCCACATAATTAATATTTATTTATGGTTTATTCTTTTTTAATTTACTTAATAAATAAAAGATTTTGTTTAAATAATTAAAAAATTAAGTATAAATCAAATAATATGCAAACTTTTTTAATAAATAATGCTTGTAAGAATCATCAAACTAGAATTAGATTGGAACCCGACTAGTTTTTCTCGACTAGAGATTCTAGTCAGAATCTAGCGAGAGCCCTACTAGAGATAGGGACAAATGGCGGAATTTCCAAACGGGATGTACTTTAAGCGGAAGTCCATCCAACCTATCATGGCCGAGAGGTATGTGTATCCGTCTGGTGTCCCCAAGGTCCAAGGTTCGAACCCTCATAGGCACGAGATTTTTCGTGTGCAACAATCATTAATAATGTTAATATGAATGGAGAATTCAATTATAAATAAGTTAAGTTGAAAAATAATAATTTTTAAAACCGGTAAAAGTGAACTAGAACTTCTAGTCGGGGCCCTATCAACTAGAGCGTGACAAAATCGACTAGAACCCCACCAGTTTCTCTAGTTGGAGCCTTTTTTCAAATGGGGTAAACTGGTGAGGTCCCCACTAGAACCCGACCACCATTTCTACACGGGAAACTCTGATCGTTATTATAACACTTAAAAAATTTTCAGTTTACTTTAAATTTTTCAGGAGTATAGAGAGAGACTCTTGGAAACGCGCATTTGTTAATTTTTTTTTTTATTGGAATTATACATAGTTTTACGCATATTAGTTTTCATCTTTTAATAGTGCTTGCGTGAGATAGATATCTTTGATATTATATGCTTGACACACATTACGTTGAAAATGATATTACCTATTTTTGTATATAAATAATTTATTTTTTAAGCTGCACTTCAGCCGTAGAATTGATTAATTATTGCAGGAACTCACTTTTTTATTGCATGAAAAAAACTATAAAATTTAGGGAAATTAAATAAATTTGAAAAATGAAAACAGTAAAAAGCATAAATGTAGCTTCAAAATTTAAACTCATTAAATTAGTTGTAATTATTTAAATTTTGTTAATTTAGTTGTTATTATTTTTAATTATTTTAATGATACACAAGTTTTGAACTTTAAAATGTACGAAATATTTTTTATTAAAAATATGTTCATAAATTACTGATTACAATGAAAGAAAAAAAATCAAATTCCTCTTAGAAACTTAACAAATTGAATTTTATTTCTAGTGATGCAAAATTATTGTAATAGAAATTTAATTTGACCTAGAAATAAATCAATTTTATTCATTTGAACGTTCAAAACTTTAGGACCATTTATTTTAATTATTATTATTTTACAATTACAAAAGTTGTTTAGAAAATTTTTTTTTGAAAATATTAATATTTGCAAAATTTCTTTATTTTTTGCAGTTTTTAAAAATTATTATATTTATAAATTTATTACATTTAATATAATTAATTAGTTATTAAAAAGTCATAAATGTCGTTCATTTGAACTTACAGCACTTTAGGAACATGAGAAATTTTTCTTTTTAAAAATAAGGGATTAAAAAAATTTGTGAAAATGTTTTCAAAAAAAAGTTTATTTTAAATTTACGTAGAAAAATAGTTTTTCTTTCAAGTCGTTGATAATAAACGTTATGAACTGCACTATAAAGTAATTTACAACTATATTGAAGAAAATAATGAACCGGGAAAAAGAGAATTTTTTTCCCCATAACTTATTTGAAAATGACATTTGCAATCCTTTTTAAGTAATTAGAATTTATAAACTGAATAGTAAAGTTAAAAAATTGATTTTTACACTTTTATGGAACAGTCACAAAACTTATACGAGACTTACGAAAGAAAAACACAATTAAAATTAGAAATAAAATTAAAATTAGAAATAAAATTAGAATAGAACTAAAACTAGAATAGAACATTTTAAAATTAAAATTAGAATAGAATTAAAAATTTTAAAAGTAGATTTTTAATTTTCTCTTACCTTGCCTCCTTGTATCTTTTATCGTTAATAATATAAATTCAGTTAAAAAGTATTCCTTAACATTAAAATTGTGTAACATTCTCCAACAATAATGTTTCCCTCACAACGAATAAAGTTCAACTAACATTAAGTATCCTTAAAATAATGATGGTAGGTCACCATGATAATGGTCGCAAATAACTGAATAATTTATTGTCTTGTAAGATATTTCATACAGTTTCATAATTGCCCACGTTATTATGTGTAATCATGTATGAATAAATTATCAGTAACGCATTTCATACACAATACTGTGCATTGAAACTTTATAAAGTCACATATAGTACACGCCCTAATGATTGACTGCTCTTGATTTGTCCTTTTCAATCTCAAGTTACACATTTTCTATTTTTTTTCAAATCTCTATTAGTTTACAAAGAGAAAAATAATTTGATAAATAATAAATATTACGAGCAATTTTTTTTTTTTTTTGACAATGGAATAAAGCACAATATATTTTGGTGAATTTTTATTATTTATTTATTTTTACTTTGTTATTATTTACAAAAAGTTTTGATTATATTTTCCAATTTTCATCGATCAAATAAAATAAAAATAATAATATTATAATTATAATAAATAAATTATTTTTTATGAAAACATTTTCACAAATATTTAATTTCTTACTTTTAAAAAGAAAAAATTTTAATGTTCCTAAAGTTCTGTACGTTCAAATAAACGACATTTACGACTTTATAATTATAATTATAATTCTATAACATTTTTATTAGTTTCTAAAGAAAGAGAAAATTTAATAAATAATAAATATTTAATAGCAATTTTTATTTTTGATATTTTGATAATGAAATAAAACAAAATATTTTGTAAAAATTTTATTATCAATTTATTTTTATTTTATTAGTAGGTATTTAAAAAAAGTTTTGATTATATTTTTAAATTTTCAACAATGAAATCAAAAAATTAATTTCATAATTGTTTCACAATATTAATTTTTTATTTATTGTTTATTTATTCAAAATATACGGGCAGAGCCCATTTATTTATACAAAGTACAAATACTTTCATACAATATAAATTTTAATTATAATTATTTGTAATGATTTATAGCACAAATTGATTTTTCAATTTTATATAAAAATATAAATAGTAAATTCTATTAATTGATAAAAAAAAAATAAATATAATAAAAATTATAAAAAAATATAAATACAAAATAAATTTTGACTGCAATAGACTTTAAGAAATATTACTTTTTTTGATCTTGATTTTTCGTATATATTTCGCAATTAAAATTGCAGTTTTGCATTGGGAAAAGCTGCAATAAATTTTGCAAAATTTTTAAAAATAATATACGAAATTGTTGACTGAATTCATAATAGGTTTTGTACATCTGGACTGAACTGTATTAGTATCACGGTATACATCAATACTCGTCCTATAAACTGAAAAAAAGTAATGTTTTAAAAATAATTAATAATATTTTCTAAATTCTCTAGTGTAATTTTGCATTAACAATTTACGATATTTTAATTAGAATAATTAAAATTCGTACATTCTCAAAGAAGCTGTAATCTAGAGTGAATAATCCACAGGCAGTAAAAACTAGGGGACATTGAGTTATTTGCAAGGTAAATTGATCAATCTGCAATAAAAGAAAGTTAGAAAAAATTATTTTTAATTTAAAAAACTACTTTACTTTTTAAAAACTACTTTACCTCACATTGTAATTCTTCATCTTCTGTCGCATTTCTTATTTCAAATAGAATTTCTTTTGTTTTCATCGCCTACATTGAAGACAATATTTGGATTTTTAATTTTCTATGTAATTTATAATTATAATTGAATTATAATTTATTGCAAAATTTCTAATTCAGAAAAAAATCACCTCAGAACTAACTCTCGAGCATGTTATCGTAATGTCATAAAATCTGTAAGAATAGGCAATGCACCATAATAATCCATTGACTTTAGCAGACCAATGTTCATGTAAATCGATATTTTTGAAGAATATTCCTGCAAATGAAATGTAATAGAATCCTGTCAGAACAGTGAAGAAGGACGCTATTAAAATTACGATTTGTATCTGATATATTCGATTTACTTCCACCGAAATGTCTGTTAATTCTTTGTAAAGGCTCCTGCAAGAAATGATTTTTATTTCAACTGCGAAATGTTCTAAAAATTTTCTTTATATCTTTAAAAATGTTCTTTCTTTATTAATATTTATGTATATAATTATAAATTAATTGTTTTATAAAGATGAAATCATGGACCGTCAGAAAATCAAAACCAACTTCAAAACATTTTGTTTTATTGTTTCGGATTAAATTGCCTGAATCAGAAGTCAACTTTGTTTCAATAACTTTTCAGAATTCATAAGAAATAGAATCAGTATTTTACTCACTTTAGAATTAGAACTTTTATTAGCTTCTTTTCTTCAGATTTTTTGAATGGCACATTTGAAACAGTCGATATAACATATATTCTGCCGTATGTTGAATGCAAGGTTTTTTCATTCCGTGTTATTCTATTATTGGGTAGAATTTTCTTAAGGAGTGAATTTATGTCAATGAATCTCATTCCTAAGCAGCTGTATTTAATAAAAGTATTAATTTTTTTTCTATTGCATTAAGAATAATATTAATATTACATCTTTAATGTTCTTACATTTGTAATAGAACAATAAAAAATTTTCTTAAAAATAAAATATAATTTTCGTCAAGTGTCAAGTATAAAATACTCACTTAATTATTGCCGTGAATGTAAAATCAACAACAGCATTAACATGAATCGGATAATGTAGAGTCAATACGAGTTGTGTCACTTGAGGCAAATCTAACATTTGCAGTAAAGAATAGAAGCTAAGTGAAACAAGTGTAAAAATCAGAATTAACCAAAAAGTAATTTTACGCAACAAGTTTATAAAAATTTTCCTGTATTTGTGAATAATACACAGCCTTTCAAAGTATTCATCCAGTATCATTATTCTTTGTAGAATAATCTTCCATGCCTAAAATTTTAAATTAAATTTAATTTAAAACTAAAAACTAATCTTTAATTTATATTTAAGGATGTTCAACCAAACTAAAATATTTCCTAAAGTTTCTCATATTTCGAAAGTTCTAGTGAACTAAAAACTTTTATGTAAAAATATTTTCAAAAATTACTAAATTGTTAACAATTCAAATTGAAAAAATTGTTTCTTTTTAAAAAATTACCATGTACCTTGTAATTGTACCAGCCAATAACAATGCAACAAAGTGAAATAACAGAATTACAATGTTTGAGGTACAAAAAAATATCCTTTCGTATTCTATTGTTGTCCTGATAGTTATCATGAAAATCAACAAAGTAGGCAGAAATATAAGCAAAAATACAGAGGGAAACGTAAATAAATGATAAAATTGGTCGTGGTTTATTTTTAGGATACTCCATTATACTGAATCCTGTCAACCAATTTAAAATCATAATCGGAAATATCGCATTTTGAATATTTTTCGGTTCCACTTTCACTTTCATTTTAAATAATTTTTTCCACATTGTTTATTTCTTATATAATGTACGCACTCTATGTCCGATTTCTAAAGACTGATATCAAGTTTTCGAAAATATATTTCGTTAAATTTTTTTGACACGCGCAGAGAGACTAATATTTATTTACAGGAATATTAATAATTAACGACACGCATAAATATAGAGAAAACACATAAAAGTGTTATAAAAGACCTCGTGTAACTTTTTATCAGAGAAAGGAGGAAATAAGTTGTCTGGATTAAATAATGGCTATTCATTTATTTATTTCCAAATGTTTGAGTGACAATAACAAACGTATTATTCACTCGATAATACAATAGAGCTTGTTATATCTGCTTCTTGATTTTTTATTATTTGAAGGATATACATATCTTTCAAATAATAAAAAATTGAAATTATTTATTACATAAAAATATTAGTCATTTAGTAAACTGAATAAAATATATTTTGAATATTATAATATTGAATTAATTACCTACACTGAAAAAAAAATTTATTTGATTCAACATTCAAATAACCGATTAATTGACTATTATCAAATTATCAATTAAATATTTAATTGAATCAAATAATATTTATTGGAGTCAATTAAATGGTAGATATTTGCTTTAAATACTGAAATTATTGGTTTAAATACCATTTAATTGACTCCAATAAATATTATTTGATTCAATTAAATATTTAATTGATAAATAGTCAATTAATCGGTTATTTGAATGTTGAATCAAGTAAATTTTTTTTTTCAGTCTAATCTTCAATTAAATAATTAATTCAGAGCTCGGATTGTGCGACTTTATCGACTTTTTTTGACTTTTCTAAAGAAATCTGACTTTTTTCGACTTTTTCGTGAAAAAATGCGACAAATCGACTTTTTCAAGTTTTTTTTTTAGTAAAATGCGACTAATCGACTTTTTTTCGCACATTTTTTAATTACTTTTCGACTAAAATTTTAAATAGCAGAAATCTTTTTTTTTAAACAATATTGTTCACAAAATAATTCTTCTCTTTGAGAAAAAAAAACATAACATATTCCCGTTTCTTAATATTTTTGTAGGAAATTCTCAATTTTCATAAGAAAATAATATGCTTCATTTCTATTTATTAATTACAATTGCTTTAATAACATATTTAAAGTTTTTTTTTTAAATAAATGAAAAAAAGTGTTTATAAATTCTATTTGTCAATTAGAAATTTTAATTGAGAATGAAATTGAAACTTTTAAAATTTTTAGAAAATAAAGGAAAAAATTTTAGTCAAAAAAATGTTCTACTGTTACATTTATTTACAAAATTTCTTTCAAATTTTTCGAAAACATGAATAATTTATTTTTTAAATACATATTTAATTATGATTATTTTTCCATAGAAATTAAGATTTTTAAAACATGCAAATTAAAATCTCTTTGAAAGAAGAATTTTTGATATTTATAAAAATAATTGAAATTTTGACGAGAGTTTAAAACAAAAAATTTGAAAATAATTGAATTTCTTTGAAGAATTTTTATTACTTTTGAAGATAATTGAATTTTGCAAAGAAGTTTATCAGAACTTTTGAAAATAATTAAATTTCCAGGATTTAATTTTATTATTTATAAAAATAATTAAAATTGTGACGAGAAATTTAAAAAAAATTTTGAAAATAATTGAATTTCTGCAAAGAATTTTATTATTTTTAAAAATAATTGAATTTCTAGGATGAATTTTATTATTTATAAAGATAATTGAAATTTTGATAAGAATTTTATTTAAATTTTCTAAAATAATTGAATTTCGGAGAAGAATTTTGATATTTATAAAAATAATTGAAATTTTGACGAGAATTAAAAAAAAATTTTGAAAATAATTGAATTTCTGCGAAGCATTTTTATTACTTTTGAAGATAATTGAAGATAATTGATAATTGAATTTGCAAAGAAGTTTATCAGAACTTGTGAAAATAATTAAATTTCCAGGATTAATTTTATTGTGAAAATATTTTAAATTGTGACGAGAAATTTAAAAAAAATTTTGATAATAATTGAATTAATTAATTAATTAATTAATTAATTAATTAGTATAGAAAAATATATGAAATACAGTTTAATAAAATATAATAATAGGGGAATGTAGTCAAGGTTGGCCTACTGTCTAGGTAGGCCACTCGCGTTTTTTTGTCAAGTTCACTAGCGCCACCTACGCGCATTTTTGTCGAAGCTTGTCTTAGTGAAACCTAACTTTTTGTTCAATTACATTTTCGGAAAATCGAAAATTGTGTTTTCTGTGACGTCGGTACAAAAAAAGCTCAAAAAAAGTTTTGTGCATAATGTGAAAAACCATTAATAAAAGATAAAAAACAAATTGAATCGTCAAGGCAAGTATGCAGAAAATTTGTGGGACTCATGGTTGAAAGGAAAACAAAGTAAAAAATCGAATCCCGAAACGTATTTCTTTTTGTTTACAACAATTCGGTAATGTTACTTACTGTCAAGGTCGGCCACTATGTGTTTAAAATGCGCAAAGTTGAGGACGAGCTACTTCATTTGCAAAAACTGCAATTCTGTATAACTCATAATATAATTGATCATCTTATTAATATTTTTATTTAATTTTATTAATATTTTAGTGCAAAACTTTTTTTTATTTATATTTATTTTTTTATATTGTTTATTGTTATTATTTTGTTATTTCATTAAGTTACAAACTGTAAACAATAAAGAATCAATTTTCCGTAACTCCAAACATGTTATTTTATTTTTTAAAGATTAATGCCCTTTGAATTTTAAACATGGCCGACCTTGACTGTAATGGCTAACCTGGACTACAAATTTTTTTTTTTTTAAATCTTTATAACTTTTTCATTTTTAAACCTGTCAATTTACTTTGTACAGAAAAAATGTTCCTATTAAACAGGACTTTCCAACCATATACTTCAATTGTCCAAATTCATTTTTAAAAAAAAGTTATAAACAAAAGTCAAAAAGGTGGCCGACCTAGACTATGTTCCCCTACTATGTTAAATAATAATTATAATAATGAAGAAAATCAAAAAGAATAGTTTAATTAATAAGTTTGTTATTTATGTTTGCTCATTTCTGGACTCATTTGTATTAGTATAACGAGATAGGTTATCACTGTTCCTATAAACTGGAAAAAATTTGAAAATTTTTGAAATTCAATAAAAAATGTTATTTTTTTAAAATAATAAATAATTGATTATAAAATACTTACACTTTTGACAAATGAATAATTCAAAGTAATTAATCCACACGGAGAGAAAACCAATGGATGTTGAAATAGTTGCAGAGAAAATTGTTCAATCTAGAATTATTATTGTTTTAAAATTAAAAATATTAAAATTAAATTTTTTTAAAAATTTTCTATTTAACGTTTAAAATAAACGATTTGATGGAAAAATTTTCTATTTCTATTCAAATTTGTGATTAAAAAAATTTGTTAACAGTATTTTTTCAAAAAATTTTTTAATAGCAATTCAAAAAATAAAAATTTGTTAATGAGCAATTAATTAAAATAATAAATAATGATTAAATAATTAATGAGTAATGAATTAACTTAATAATATATTAATTAATATTAATTAGATTAATTAATATCTTTTGTTACCTCTTCATTGAATTCTCTGTCGATATTTGAATTTTTCAGTTCACACAAAATTACACTGGTTTTATATGACTGCATTAAAAAGAAATTACATTTTAATTAAATATTAAAAATTGTTCTCAAATATTGTCTTATAAGTATATAATAAATTATTTAAAATTTTACCTCATTATTAACCTTTGCACAAGTTGAATTGATATTAATAATTCTGTAGCCATATATAGCACACCATAATGAGACAGAAATGAACGATCGTATTTTAAATTGCAAAGGAATTTTAGAATAATAAGTAATACTGAACATATTGTACAACATTGCTGTTAAATTTGACAAATGCGCAACCATTTCCATTGTAATTTGAATTTGATAAATTTCCATTATTTTCGATGATAATTTTGTTATTTCTAAATGAAGATGTCTTAAATATAATTTTACAATTATTATTAATTATTATTATTATTTACGATTATTTATTAGTTGTTATTTTGTTCACCTAATTATTGATAAAACTTTTGTTTGCTGTTGAATGTCGTTTATATTTAAATTAATCTCTTTTGGCTTGACGAATATTTTTGCTCTTCTCCATTTTGGATAAAATTTGCTAATTGGTCTTGGATTTTTATATTTTATTAAGATTTTTTGCAAAATTGAATTTATGTTTCTGAATCTTACTCCCATGCATCTATAATAATTTATAGAAAGAGACAAAAAATATATTTTTCAAAATTTTGAACGTTACTTTAAATCAACGAAAATTTATTTATTTCTTTATTGAATTAAAATTCTGTTATTGTAATTTGTCACGTGTTAAAAAATTAATTTTTTCACATACTTGATCATTGAGGCGAATGTAAAGTCAACAATTGAATTGCAATGAAGTGGAGCGTGAAAAAGATATAATGTACTCAACCACTCTTTTGTTCTCATTAATATTTGTATGGCATTTGTTAAAAGAATTGAAATAGTAGCAATCCATGCCATTACTTCTAAAAAACAAATTATAAACAGTTCCTGATAATGTTTTGAAAAACCAATATTTTCCATGGCCATATCAACTAATTCCAGTCTTTTGGAAGTTCTTCTAAGCGTCTAAGGAATGTGAAACAATGTTTTAATTAATAACTTTATAATATTTAATAATTTTTTATTAATAATTTTAAGTGTTAAATTTTAAAAGTATTATTTAAATAAAGTGTTCTTTATTTATTTTGTTTTATTAAGGAATAATAATATATAATAAATACAGAGCTAGAAATAGGTCCGCGTGAATTCTATAAAAGTCCGTAAAAGTTTTTTACTTTTTGTTAAAAAAGGTCCGCAAGGTCCGTAATTTGATTGAAAAAGAACGAAAAGTTCGTAAATTGTACGATATAATTTGGTGAATTTTAGAGAAATTACAAATGATTGCAGTAATTCAATTATTTTCAAAAGTAATATAATACTTCGCAGAAATTCAATTATGTTCAACATTTTTTTAAAATTCTCGTCAAAATTTCAATTGTTTTTAGAAATAATAAAATTATATTCCGAAATTCAATTATTTTTAAAAATTTTAATAAAATTCTTTGCTAAATTTCAATTATTTCCAAAAGTTTTTCGCAATTGAATAATTTTCAATAGTCACTATTTTCATAAAATTTATCAAAAGATTTAATATTATTGAAAAAATTTTTTGATACAATTCTACGAAAAAAGTAGATTATTTTCATAAATAATAAAATTTCATTTATAGGAATTCAATTATTTTCATTGCAGAATTTCAAATATTTTTAATGCAATTTTTACAAAATTCCTCGAAAAATTCAATTCTTCTTAAAAATTTTATTAAAACTTGACGAAACATTTCAATTTTAATGAACATTCAATTATTCAGAAAAATAAAAAAATTCGTTGCAATAATTCAAATATTTTATAAATACTTTTTTAAAAACTTTTTTATAAAAATTTGAAAAAAATTTTCAAGTAATTATGCAAAAGAATTCAATTATCTTGATAAACAACAAAATTCTTCACATGAAATCAATTATTTTAAGGAATTTGAATAAAAATCTTTTCTAAAATTCAATGATTTTTAATATCTACTATTTTAATAAAAATTTTTTTAAAATTCAATTATTTTCAAAAATTTTAATAAAATTCGTGACAAACAATTAATTATTTTCATAAAGTAATAAAAATTTCACAGGAATTCAATTATTTACAAATTTTTTAAAAATTTCTTCGCAGTAATTCAATTATATTTTCATAAATAATAAAACTCATTGCAGAATTTTAATTATTTTTATAATACAATTTTAATCAAATTCCTTGAAAAATCTAATTATTATTCTTAAAAATTTTATTAAAATTTGTCCAAAGTATTCAATTATTAAAAAATTTATTTTATTTAAAATTTAAAATTATAATTATAAAGTTTTTAAATTTATTTTTGCTTTATCAAATTTATTGATAATATTACTATTTATGAAAATTTAATTTCCAGAAACATGCAATTTTTAAATAAATTGTTTTTTTTATTTAAATAATTGAATTCTAGTAGAATTTTCTAATAAATAAAAATTGATTTAAAAGTGGATTTTAGTTAAAATTTTTTATATTTATAACTAACAATTCTGTGGAATTAATTTTTTTTAAAAAGTTCAATTCAATTTTTTTTGAAATTATTTCAAATTTTTATTTTCTAATATAAATTTTATTGAAGAATTTACGAATAATTGAAATTTTCTAAAATTGAGTTGTAAACAAATAAATTTAAAAATTCTCAAAGAACTTTTTCAAAAATTATTAAAAATAATGTATTTGTAGAAGAATTTTAAATTAAAAAACACGAAAAAAAATTAATTTTGGAAAAAGTTACAATTTTTTGGAGAAATTCAATTATTTTCAAGAATAATAATTTTCTTCGCAAAAATTAAATATTGTTTCAAAATAATAAAGTTCTTCTTAGGGATTCAATTATTTTCACAAATAATAAAACTTATCGCAGAATTTCAATTATTGTTTAAAAATTTTTTGATAAAATTCTCTGATGGGAATTGAATTTTAAGAAACATTTAAGAATTGAATAAATTCTTTATTTTTGTCTTTAAATAATTGAATACTCGTAGAATTTAAAAAAAAAATGATTTAAAAATGAATTTTAGTTTAAATTTTAGATAATTAATGAATATTAAAATAGCAATATGGCGTGAATTTTTAGAAATAATTGAATTTTGAAATTAATTCTTTTGAAAGAGTTTAATTCAATTATTTTTATATTATTTTAAATTTTTATTTTCTAATATTTATTTAATTGAAGAATTTACGAGTAATTGAAATTTCTATAGTTATGGCTCTGAGTCAAATATATTTTTTTTCTGGGTGTAAATAGTTGTTTATTTAAAGAAAGATATTTAAATAAATTTACTTGAATTATTTTCTTATATATAAAACGTACCTTGTAAAAAAACCAATTGGTTAAAATACAAACTGCAGCAATAGTCGTATTCATATAGTAAATGTACGTGTATATACTGTTGGCAAACGTGGTAAGAATACTGAAATCCACTCGACAACTATTTATGAATTTAAAGGACCAATAAAATGCAGCACAGCACAAAGCGTAAACAATAGTAATTATTGGTCGAGGTTTTCCCGAAGGATATTCCAATATATTAAATCCCGTTATCCAATTTATTATAGAAATCGGCAAAACAGATTGATACAAAGATTTTGGCTTCCACTTAATACAGTGAAATAGAAAATATTCTTCCCTCTTTTTGTATCTTGGGGACATTTTTTATGCCTCTCTCTTTCTCTCTTTCTATTGCTTTAAAAAATGAAATAGCGCTGGGAAATTTAAAGGAAAAATTATGCGCGAGCGTGTTCTGTCAATGTGTTGGATATTTCACTAATGCTATCTTTATTTCACATCAATGCTGCTCCTATAATGGTTATATATACATGAAAAATTTCATTTGGAAAGTAGTTTAGTTATTTTTCTTCTTTATGATGCATTTAGTAACACAACAATTTATGTTTAATAAAACTGTTTGTTTTTTAAATTAAATTACGCTCTTTATACTTAATTGATTATTATCGTTTTAGAGACGATGAGAAAATTTTTTAATAGGGACGAAATATTTTATGATAGTTAATTTTAATAACTGTTGTCATTACACACTGAATTGTTAATTGGTCAGTAATTTTCTAAATAGCTATCATTACATAGAAAATATTTAATTTTCCGAATATAATTAAATTGTAGTGAGTATTTTTTATAACAATTTTTTTAAAACAATAGTTTTGAAATTGAAATTGAATGAAATCTAATAGAAATAAAATTGCAAAAATTTTAAACTTTTAAATGAAGGAGATATTTTTTTTGTTTAAAAATATTTACAAAAATAAACTCTAAATAATAAATTAAAAATGTAGAGTAAATATTTTTGAACTTTAAAAACTGTTATTATTTTATTCGAATGATTGAAATTGAAGAAATATGAAAAAAGGATTTTAAATGAAAAAATTTTTAATTGAAAATTCCTTTTATTTCTAGACATGCAATTTTATGAAAAATTATGTTTGACTATAAACTGACTTTTACTACTGACAAAATATTATATAAAATTAATAAAGTTGTGCTTGACTACTATAAACTTTTTCTACTTATTTCTAAGTTAAAAGAGAAATTAAATTTTGTCTGACTGTAAACTGAGTTCCACTACTGACAACAAATTTTATAGATAATTTATTTTTGCTGTCTGACGAAAATTGATTTTTTCTACTTATTAGTAAACCACACAAATTTCTGTGTCTTTGTTTTGATTTGAAATTTCCAATATTTTTAGAGAGGCAATTGATCAAAATTTTGTCCGACTGTAAACTAACTTTTACTACTGATGAAAAATTCTAAAAAGTTTCATTGATGTCTGACTGAAATAGACTTTTTCTACTTATTCCAAAACTATAAGAATTCCGAAGTTATTTACATTTCTAGCCTGGTATTTAAAAAACTATGTCTGACTAGAACTGATTTTTACTACTGAAAAATTACAAAACATTTATCTAAATTCATGTCTGACCAAAATTGACTTTTTCTACTTATTTCTAAACTGTAAAGTTTAGACTTTTTACTTTTGAGTCAAAATAAAATTTAACGATTAGGCTATAACAATTTTTTTCTACTGATAAATCAGTAAATTCCAACTGATTTACTGATTCGTCAGATTTCGTCTATAAAAATTTTTTTTTGTAAATTTTAACGAATTTACTAATTTGTCTATAAAAATTTTTTTTTTTGAAATTTTAACTAATTTACTGATTTGCATATTAAAAAAACTTTTTCTACTGATGTATTAGTAAATTTCGTTGGATTAAAATATTAAAAAGTAAAATGTCTTATTGGTAACTGATTCAAAATAGTTCAAATTTTAACTGATTTACATTTAGAGAGCAAACATGATAAATTCATAAATTCTTCTTATGATAAATTCATTTTAATAAAAAATTTATTCTAAACCTAATTTTTGGTAAAATTCTTTCCGAAATAAAATAATAAAAAAATAATAAAAAAGAAAATAAAAAATATTCATAAAAATCGTTTCTGAATTTTTTTTGTTTTAAAAAACGAATCTTATTAGTAAATTCTATTTCATTGTTCCTCAATTACCTGAATTTGCGCTAATTATTAATATAATTATTTATTTTTTTACCTCTCGAAAAATTGAAATCATTTACATAGTTAATTTGTCGAGGGGATAGTTAGGGGGGATTGTATTTGGTAAAACACATTTATTTATGTAAGTAACACTTAAGGGATGTAGTGTAGATTTATGACAGAACGTACGCAGGACAGACAGGGCACTTGTATGGCACCCCTCACAAATATTCCATACATAAAGATCATGTTGTCACAGTTAGGATTAGAAAAATAAATAGAAATCTGACACTCTCACGACTCTGTAAGTGATGTGTGCACATTTTGTAACCTATTATTTCTGAATTTAAAAATTTATTCACTTTACGAAAATTTATTTACTTTTTTAATCACAAATTTATTTTTATTTATTCGTTATTCTTATAACGAGCAAAACAATTTAATTTAAGTCTTTTTATAATAAGTTTACTTTTAAAATGACTAGCAATTTTCTAATATAGCGCTTTTGTTAGATTTTCCCCTCTTGATTAGAAAAATTTATTTCTAAAAAATTTTTAAAAAAGTTTTTTTTTCTAAATTTAAAAAAAAGTTTTTTTTATAAATTTTAGAGAAATTTCAAGTTAAAGGAGTATTTTGTCTGACTAAAGCTGAGTTTTTCTACTTATTTTTTAATTAAAAGGTAAAGAATTTAAAAAAATCGATAGTCTCAAGTCGTTTAAAAATTAAGTCGGACTAAAAATAGACTTTACTACTGAGAAAAAATGCAGATTTTTATTAAACTCTGTCTGACTAAAATTGACTTCTTCTACTTATTTCTAAATTAGTGGTGAAATTTAGAAGTTTTTTTCGCTGAAACTATAGAAGCTACTTACTAAAACGAATTTTTATTGTGTCTCATTAGAAAAATACAATTGTGTCCGACTATTAACTGACTTCTACTACTGAAAAAATTACAAAAATTTTATTCAAAGTTATGTCTGACTAAAATTGACCTTTTCTACTTATTTCTAAATTACATAAGTTCGGGAAAGGTGGGTTTGACTGAAACTGACTGAGAAAAATACTTTTATAAATTGTCTGACTAAAAATGACGTTTACTACTTAAAGAAAAAATACAGGTGTTTGATTAAATTTTGACTTCTTCTACTTATTCTAAATTTAGAAAAAAATTCATAAAAGCAGTCTGACTGAAAGTGCTTGATATATATTCATAAAAATTTCGTTGGACTATAAATTGTGTTTTACTACTGACAAAAAATTACACAGACATTTTATTACGTTTCGCCTGACTAAAATTAATTTCGTCTACTTATTTCTAAATTACATTTAGAATATTTTAAATTTTAGTATATATAATAATTTACCAATAAATCCTTGCTCGGCATTTAAAAAAATATGTCCGACTGTAAATGTAAACTGACTTTTACTATACTGACAAAAATTTATCAATTTTTTGTTCTGCTGTGTCTGACTAAAAATTTTTTCTTCCACTTATTTCTAAACTGCAAGAATTTCAGAAGTGTTTGCTTTCATTGAAAATTTCTAATATTTTTAGAGTGGCACATGGAAAAAAAATTATGTCCGACTGTAAACTGACTTTTACTATACTGACAAACAATTTTAAAAAGCTCTATTAAGTGGTGTCTGACTGAAATTGACCTTTTCTACTTATTCCGAAGTTACTTACATTTCTAGTCGGGTATTTACAAAAATATACGTCTGACTATTAACTGACTTTTACTACTGAAAAATTACAAAACATTTATTTAAATTTATGTCTGACCAAAATTGACCTTTTCTACTTACTTCTAAACTAAAAGAGCTCGCAAGGCTATGTTTTCACTAAAACTTACTGCCATTTCTAGTTAGACATTTGAAGAAAAATTATGTCAGACTTAAAATGGACTTTACTACTGACAAACAGTTAATTATATTTTATTTAAAGTTATGTCTGACTAAAGTGGACTTTTTCCACTTATTTATTTTAAATTCCTGAAAATTCACCAAGTTCTCTCTGACTGAAACTTCTTGACAGTCATTCATAAAAATTAGATGACTGACTATAAACGGACTTCCGCTACTGACCTAAAAATTATAATTTCTAAATTTGAAGTAGTAAAAATATTTATTAATTTTAAAGTCAGTCAGTGACTAACTGTTTGTTTGTAGAATTAGTAAATTTGACTGATAAATAGTAATTCCTACTAATTTATTAGTAAAATTTACTAAATTAAAAGCGTAAAGTCAGTCACTGATATTAGTAAAAATTTTTACTAATTCAAATTTCAGGAGTAGAAAATAATTATTAATTAAGACACCTGCTTGAAATTAATTTTTACTACTGAAAAGAAAAATTTTAAAATATCTTATCGGAAAATTAAAAAATTAAAAATATTGAAAATGGTAAAATTTTTTTTTTGTGAAATCGATGGTAAAATTTTTTTTGTGAAGTAGATGGTAAAGAATTATTTCTTTCGCGTTACAAGGAAATTTGAAAAAAAAGAATTTTTCAGTGAAACTAAATTTTAGAGAAGAAGATTCTGAAATAGTAAATAGTATAGGTAATGTCTTGTTCTCAAGTTGAAACGAAGAGCCGATATCGAAGTAATTAGATAGGGAATAGTGATCACGTGGTGCTCCAGGGAATTGATTGTATGGGGCGTCGATCCGTGAAGTTGGCTTCCAGTAATCCTATTCTTTTTCACTTAGTCCCAAGCGAGTGATCCCGAAGGACCGCACCCTGTTAGTGCAGGACTCTAACACGTGTCCAAATGCTTCTATAAGAGCCTCTTCAGGCATATGCGATAAACGGGTCTCGGCACTTCTTCCAAAATTACACCGTTAATTGTAACGAAAATTGATTATTTCTTTTTTTTTCTATTTTACTTTACTGATTATAATAAATAATGCACATTCACTAAAACTTCTAAAATCAAATTATTATAGAAATTCTTTTGCCTTTTTGTAACCCACTCAGAAAAAAATATTTGACTTAGAGCCAACTGGAATGTTTTCTAATTTAAAAAAAATTACCCAACTTGAAAATTAATATTAAAATAAAATTTTTGCGTAACAAAAAATAAAATCATATTTCTTAATCAGAATTCGAGAATGAAAAAGCGTATCGAGCATGAAAAATATAGAGTATGACTTGAAAATTTCGATTTATTTACAAAATTAAATACAACATATATATGATTAAAATTACATCTTGTTAAATTTATGATATAATGTTGAAGTATTAATATTGCACTTTTTAAGGTATTTAAACATAAAACTATACTTTTATATAATGATAAATTTATAAACACATTTCACTTCCGAAGTTATTTTTGAAAATAATTTTTTCCCCTATTAACAATGAGAAAATAATGATATTTATTCGAATTCTCATTCGCGTACAGTTATGACTCTAGGACGTGATTCAAATAGGCAATGTAGCAAATTGCCAGTCGGAGTATTTCAATTTTTGAGAGCTTCTTGTCCGGCGGCAAAGTCGGTAACAGTTTGCGGAGTTCGGCGAATGCAAGATTAAACGCCTCTACTCTTACTCGTTCTCTATTTTCAAATTCAATTATTTACAATTAGAAAATTCTATCTTTTTCTATTTGTTGAAAAGATTTTCGAAAATTAAAAATTCTAACTCTTAGGATTACACTGAGAAAACAATATATTTGAATGAAAAATAATTATCTTTGTTATACAGTCAACCAAAAATTATTTTTGAATTAAACATAATAAATTTTGATGCAATACGTAATAAGTTTTTTAATCAATAAATTGATTCAGTAAAAATTACTTGGTTTAATTTACATATAAAATTTTTTTAATTCAAATATATTTATTGGTTGACTACTTATTTTTGGATTAGAAAAATTTTTTTCTCCATGTAATTTCGAATTATTTACCTTGTTGCATGTGCTGTTCTATATTTTTGAGTAGCTCTCCGACGACGTCTTCTTTCTTCTCGCGATAAATTCCCTGAACTGTTGCTTATACCATTCACTGAATTATGACCGTTTCCAAAAGAATTTTCTCTGTCTCTGTGAAAAAAATTATTTCAACCAAATAATCTAGACTCATAATTGATAAAATAAGAATTTTATTATATAGATTACTTAACAGATATAATATTACAAAATTAATATAATTATTTTTATTTAATTTTATTTAATTATTCTATTTTTAAATAAACGTTTTTTAATAATCAAATCTTTAACGTCCGATTAGTTTAATAATATTAAGAAAATAAAATCAAATACATTCGGAATTGTCCAACATTATTCTCTTTATTATAAACTAGCAACAATTCAATTTTTTATTTGCAGTTTTATAAAAAAATAAACAATTTTAAAAATGATAGAATTTAAAAACTTATAATCAAAATTTCTAATCAACTAATAATTTTCAAAGTTGTCAATAAATTAATTCTTGAATATTATTTTTCATATATAGTAATAAAGAAAAAATAATAAAATTGTTACAAAGAAAGTTTTAATAATAAATTTTTTTCTTTGTTTTAACAAAAAGATCAGAATTTTGTACAAAATTTGTGATTAAAAAATAGTAATTATGCAAATATTTTTCTTCATTTTATAAAACAAACTTATAATTTTATGGATTACATGACAAGAAATCCAATCCGAAAAATCCAAGAAAAAAAGTCCAAAGTATAAAAAAACCAAAATAAAAATGTCAGAAGTTAAAAAATCCAAAATAAATAAAAACGTCCAAAAAAAAATAATTAAACATGTTAAAAAGTCCCGTTTTTACTTTTTACGCTATAAAATCAGAATTTAAAACGTTAATTTTAAAATCTCAGGATTTTAATTATTTACATAAATAATAAAATTCTTCAGAAAAATTCAATTATTTTCATAGATAAAAAATTTTTTAACAAAAATCCAATTATTTTCACAAATAAAAAAATTTCTAGAAAAATTTCAATTATTCTATAAAATTTTTAAAACAATTATTCCAAGAACTACAATTATTTTCTCAACAATTTTGATAAAATTCTTTACAAAAATTCAATTATTTTTTTCAATATAATTCCCATTCATAAATTACTCGATAAATTTAATTATTTTCAGAAATTAAAAATGTTAAGTTTAAAAAAAGGACAATTTCATTTCAGACAACCATTTAAATTTTTACATCTAAATTTTTTTCATTGGATTTTTAATTTCTTTGCACTTTTTGACCAGAACAAAAAATCCAAAAAATAAGTCCAAAGTGAAATTATTTTTTTTTTTTTTACTATTTTGGATTTCATTTACTGTGGATTTTTTGGTTTGGACTTCTTGCCCGGATACAAATTTTATGAACATAATTGTGATTAATAAACAGAAAACATGCAAAATGGGTATATTTTCTGATTCTTAATTGTTATATTTTAAAAATATTCTAATTTTGTGTAAAATTAAAAAAAATTGTCTAATTTCGATATGATAAACAACAATTTTTAATGAAACTTCATTTTCTTAATGAAAAGAAATGAAAAAAAAAATTACATGATTTCTATTTGTCAATTACAATTTTTGTTACAAAGCTTTAATTTTTTTTAAAAGGTAAAAAATTTGCAATGATTTATTTTCTCAATAAAATAATAATTAATAAAAAAAACAGTAAATTTTTTTAAAATTAATAGACATTTATTTTAAGTAACTAATAATAAAAAATTTTAATTTATTATAAAATAAAAAAATATATAATAAAATCTATAAAGAGCTGTTGAAATGTAAAAAAAATTGCTTTTGTCAAGTAATCCATTATTTGAAGCAAAAAATTTTTATTTTTAGACTATTATTAAAAATACACACCTTCGACGTGATTGATGGCCTACATTGCAACAAGCTGATAGTGGGAGTAGAACCTCTCTCTCCATTATTTTACTAATTAAAAAAAGGAAATTAATAATAATAATTAATTTTCATTAATTAATTAATTACATAAATAACAGATTATAAAATTGAATTTATTTATTGAATTTAAAAATAAAAAATTAATTGAATTTCATTGTCTCTAACTGAACATTCAAATGAATGAAATAAATTTTATTTTTTTTCAATTTCAAACCTTACAATATCATTTCGTCACGTATTAAAAAATAATTTATTTAACTTTCAAATTCATGTCTTTCATTTTTATTTCAGTGATAAATTTATGAAAATAATATGAAAATAAAATTTATAAAAATAATTATATTTTAAAAAATCGCTCATTTGAACGCTAAAAACTTTTCGAACATGAATTTTGTAAAAGTTAAGATTGTACATTTTGTATAAATAATTGCTTTTCAAAAGTTTTTTAATTTTAAACATTTGAAAATCCTAATTCTTGTGGAAAAATTGTAATAATTAAATATTTATTTAGGAAAAAAATTATTTATTGATGTTTCGAATAATTTTTTAATCAAATATATTCAGAAATAAATTTAGTAGAAAATTTTTTTGATGTATCTAATAATTTTTAAAATGAAGAAAAATATTCTATAGACTTAGGAAGAAAGTCAAAATTATTTCTGGAAATCAGGAGAAAAATAAAATCAAAGTTTTGATGATCCACTAATTTTGTGAACGTTCAACTAAAAAAATGATTTTAATTAAAATTATTTTCATTAATTACTGATTTTAATAAAAATGAAAAACTTAAAATTTTTACAGAATTTTTCAACGAAATAATTATTGTTAATTTTTCATTTGGGAACTTTGTAATTAATTTTTTTTTTATAGTGACGCAAAATTATTGTAAATAAAATTTGAAATAGAAATAAATGAATTTTGTTGATTAGACTTTTCAAAATATTATTAGTTTAAAGTAGTAGTAAAAATAGGAAATAGTAAAAGTATCACTGAATGTAGAAAATGATTGTAATTATCACTTTTATTTTTTACTCTAAACAATATTTGTCGAAACTTTGCTTTCGTCTCTTTGTCTCATTAAAATTCAACAACTAAACCCGAGTTTTTCGAAATCGATTTTTCAAGTAAGACTATCGTGCTCTCGTAAAACTTGAACAGACTCAGAGGAAGTTGCTATTGTAAATTATTTAAATCGAGAAGACCTCGGTTCTATATAAATTGTCCACTTTTACAAATCTGAAGGGACTTTTCGACTGACTGCTAGTTAATAATTGATAATATTGACAAGTACGTGAGTTACCCAAAATGTAATCACATTATTTGAATAATAGAACACATTGGTTGTGAAATGTTATTTCTCGGATTTTTTTTAAATCGATGAAAATAAATTTAAGACTCCTTGGGGAATATTTCAGAAAACCGGGTCTTACGTATAAGGAAGGGAAGTATTCCTCTGAGAAGGCACGTATTGTGGTTAAATATTTGCCGAACTCATTATCGAATTAGTAACCCTTTTCTTTTGGCGGTTATTATTTTCTTTTTTTCGCCTTTTATTATAGGATTTAGAACTGTTTCGTATTTGAAATATATTTTCAATCACATTAAGTGATAATTTTATTACATTGAAATTGCATTTCGACAAATATTTAAAAAGAAAATTATTCAGAAAAAATTGTTCGGAAAATTAAAATTGATTTTTTTATAATATTGAAAAATAAAAATAGTTTCAAAAAAAATTTGTTGAAAGTACAAATAATTATTTAAAATAAAACAGAGAGAAAAGATTATTCGGAAAATTAATAAATAAACAAAAGATGAAATGAGTATTTACTCGTTTCATCTTTTGTTTATTAATTAATTGAAGAAAAGCCTGAAAATTTCAGTAAGCAAAAATTTTTAGTAAAAGTTAAAATTTATTTGAGTGAAAAATATAATTCTTTGAAAAGAATAAACTCTTTTTTAAAATCTATGATATAAATTATTTAATTCTGATAATTATTTCTACAACAATTAATGTTAAAAAAAATTATTTGTTCTTACCGAAAAATTGTAGTTTGAGAGAAAAATACTTTTTTCCTTTTAATAAAATATCAGGTCACAATAAACACTTTCCAAATCACTTTTGTTAATTGTCCACATATTGCTGTATGAATAAAAGATTAATTAAATTCCAATTATCAGGTTTGATAATTGCTTAGGTAATAATTTATCGTCACGATCATATTATGATTGAGACAGATTTATTATCACAGTTTCCACTTTTGTAACAACTAAATGATTGATATTTAATAAAAAGGAAGAAATGTACGATTAAAAAAAAATTTCCTCTTGTTTTTTTGAAACTACGCTTGATAAAGATCTGATCAAACTGATATTAGGTTTCTGAGAGACGAGCTATAAAGGGGTTGGTTTCATCTTGAATAACCACGCCCATGATTCGCAGCATCCCTTGTACCATCCAATAGTAGTTCATGGACCAATTTTTAGTCCGCCTTCCACCCTTGTCGCCATTACATCGGGATAATTCATGTACGTTTTGGTATTGACAATTTTCTGAGATTTTGTTTATTCCAAATCGTTTTTTAATAATAATAATAATTATAGGTAGAATAATCATTCCAATAGATATGCTAGAACAATCAAAATTTGAGAAAAAAAAGATTTATATTTATTTTCTCTAATTCTAATAATTTTTAATTGCTTTAAAATCACCTGAATTGTTGGTAGGGTGTTGCTGAACAACATCCTGAGGGATAGAAAATTTTATTGCAACTTTTAAGTAGTAGCAGGTCCAACAGTACGCTATCAGATAATCAAAATTTGAGGAAATGGACGTTTAAATTTATTTTCTTTAATTCTTATATTTTTCTGTCAGTTGGAAGTCACCTGAGTTGTAGCTAGGATGTTACTGAACAACATCCTGAAGAATAGAAAATTTTATTGGAACTTTTAAGTAGTAGCACCTCCACCCGTACGCTATCAGACAATCAAAATTAGGGAAACAGGACGTTAAAATTTATTTTTTCTCATTCTAATAATTTTCTGACATCCGGTATTTACCTGAGTTATAGTTATTACTGAACAACATCCTAAAAGGATAGAAAATTTTATTAAAATAATCTGCAACAGTTTAATCTCTCTATGATTAAATTAACACCAGAAAGGATTAAAATAATCTATTTTGGTGTTATTTTTAACTATAAATGAAATTTTACTTGAAATAAAACACAAAAGTCAACGATTTGGAAAAATTCAACGAATTTAGCCTCTTCAGGGAGAATAGTAAGTTAGTAAGTTAGTTACTAACTTAGTTACTAACTTACTAACTAATTTAGTGACATAGTTACTAAATTCAATTGTGTTCAAATATTTAAAAAAATTCTCGTCAAAATTTCAATTCTCTTTATAAATATTAAAATTCTTCTCTGATATTCAATTATTTTACAAAATTTTAATCAAATTCTTGTCAAAATTTCAATTATTTTCAAAAGTTCTCTAAAATTCAATGATTTTCAATATCTACTATTTTAATAAAATTTTCCAAAAGAATTCCATTATTAAAAAAAATTTGAATAAAATTCTTCAAAATGCAAACATTCAATTATTTTCATAAATAATAAAAATTTTTAAAGGAATTCAATTATTTACAAATTTTTTTATAAATTTCTTCGCAATAATTCAATTATTTTCATAAATAATAACATTTTTACAGGGATTCAATTATTTTTATAACTAATAAAATTCTTTTAGGAATTCAATTATTTTCATAAATAATAAAACTCATTCCAGAATTTCAATTATTTTTAATTCAATTTTAATCAAATTCCTCAAAAAATGTAATTATTCTTAAAAATTTTATTAAAATTCGTCCAAAGAATTTAATGATTTAAAAAATTTGTTGATAACATTTTTTATGAGAATATAATTTCAAGAAACATGACATTCATAAATTATTTATTTTGTATTTAAATAATTGAATTCTCGTAGAATTTACTAATAAAAATGGTCTTAAAAATGAATTTCAGTTAAAATTTTCAATTATAATTAAATATTAAAAGCATTATAACGTGGATTTTTAGAAATAATTAAATTTTTAAAAAGTTTCAAACTAAAATCATTGAAATTCTTAATTTTTCATATTTCTGACAAAAACTTCTGTAAAATTAATTCTTTTTAAAAATTTAATAGGATTTTTATTAAAATTATTTCAAGTTTTTATTTTTCAATATATATTTATTTGCAGAATTTCCGAATAATTGAAATTTTGAAAATTTGAATTGTAAACGAATGAATTTGAAAATTCTCATAAAACTCATCACAGCGTTTCAATTTTATTTTTCATACAATTATAATTGAATTCCTTGAAAAAAGTAATTATGTTCATGCAAGTTTTAATAAAATTCGACAAAAGAATTCAATTATTTTATTATTAGGTATTATTATTATTTATTATTATAATATTTATTATTATTATTTTATTTTTTATTATTTATTTATTTTTTTATTTTTTATTTTTTTATTATTTTATTTTTTATTTTTTTATTTTATTTTATTTTATTTTATTTTATTTTTTTTTTATTTTATTTATTTATTTATTTATTTTTTTATTTATTTATTTATTTTTTTTTATTATTTATTATTTATTATTATTATTATTTATTATTTTATTTATTTTTATTTATTATTATTATTATTTTGTATTATTATTTTATTATTTTTTTATTATTTTATTTTATTTTTTATTTTTTTTAATTTTTTATTATTTTTTTATTTTATTTTTTTTTTATTTATTTTTTTTTATTATTTTATTTAAAAATTTGTTACTAAAATTCTTTATGAGAATTGAATTTTGAGAAACATTCAATTATTCAATAAATTATTTACTTTTGCATTTAAATAATTAAATTCTTGTAGAATTTTCCAATAAAAATTGATTTTCATTTCAAAAAAATGAATTTCAGTTAAAATTTTAGATTATAATTGAATATTAAAAGCAATATAGCGTGAATTTTGAGAAATAATTGAATTTTCAAAATAAATTAATTTGAAAAAGTTTAATTGAATTTTCTTTTATATTATTTGAGGGTTTTATTTTCTAATATGCATTTAATCAAAGAATTTAGGAATAATTGAAATTTCGTGAAATTGAATATTGTAAACAAATGGATTTGAAAATTGCCAAAGAACTTTTTCGAAAATTATTAATAATAATAGATACGAAGTAAAATTGTAGTTAAAATTTTTTGAAAATATTAATTGAATTGAAATAATGAAAATAATTTTGAAGAAGTATAATATTCTTATAATATAAAATAATTATTTTATTACTTGGTCATCTTTAATTATTATAAAATATGAAGATATCGATAACTCCGAGTCGAAGACTCGGAGTTATCGATATCTTCATGTTTTATAGTTATAAAAAAATGTAATAAACTAAAATTTCATTTATTGTAAAAAATAACACCAAAATTGATTATTTTAATCTTTTTTGGTGTTAATTTAATCTGCATAATATCTTTTTAATACCTCACGATTTACTGTGCTATCAAACAATCAAAATTTGTGAAAAAAGACGTTTAAATTTACTTTTTGTAACTAATGTTTCTAATTCTAATAATTGTTTGATTTGTCGAGTAGAGTATTAAACTAAGACTTTAAGTCAAGGATATCATTTTCCATACGTTAAATAGAGAACGAAATTAGTACCTGAGTCCTCAAAGTTAATCTTCATTAACAAAGACCGTATTGTTATAGCCACTTATCTAAAGGTTAATTTAATTTTTTTTTCTTAAACAATTCTTTCGTTTTTTTCAGTTTATTTCTAATGTATAAATCAGAAGGACAGGAAGAGCATGTGGAAGAAAAAGAAAAGTTCTATCATATTGACGTATTCTTCAAGAGGAGGTGCGATGGCATAGCATCTGTCGCCCAACGTGGGACTCACCGTTCGGTGAGTTTTTTTTAATCACTTAATATTATTTAATCACTTCCCTGTTTGATACAAAATGTATTATTTTGTAGTATTTGTTTACTATTATAATAAATTTTTTCTAATCTTTCTTATCGTGCGCTCTATAATTTGTACTTTTTTTCTTTCTAAAAGTACATTTGTGCATGTAGGTATATACTGTATCTATAAAGGTAAAATATAATTTTTTTAATTTTCAGAAAATAGGAATTTTTTTTTTCCTTTCAAATAAAGTGTTGTAGGTGTTGTAGGGAAATTGGAAAATTTTTTTGGCGTGCATAAATAGATGCACAATAATTCGGCACAATTTCAAAAAATAATAATTATGTTTTTCCTTATATTGAAACTTGAAACGAAGTGTATTTTTCATCCAGGAGTCTCAGATGTTTCTTGACTGGCACCTGAGCCTCTCGAAAATCTATATTCTTGTATCTGAAACTCAAACTCAATGCGCGAGAAATCGACTCTAGGCCTTTTGTGTTGAATTTGCTTATTCAATTCTTATTGCAATTTTCGTCTAATTTCGTTTAATAAAAATAAGTCTCGTAAATAATTATTCAATGATTATTAAAAAATATTCGTATTTAACGACTCCAAAACTCCCAGGCAACAAATATATTTTAAATTTTAATGATTTTCAAAAAAAATACCGAAAGATCCTAAGTTAACAAGTTTAATTTAGATTCCAATTTTAAAATATTCCCGTATTTTTCTATTATTTTTGAATTTTAAGCAATAAATTTATTCGGTTTTTATTTCAAAAATTTAACCATATTTTATAGCATTGTTGAAAGACTATCTCTCTAAATTTTAATTGGTAAAAATGTTTACTAATTTGTACTAATGACTGATTTTTTACTTTTGAAATAGTAAATTTTACAAAAAAAAAGCTAGTAATATCTAATAATTTTTAAGTAAAATTTACTAATCAATAGTAATTTTTACTAATTTATAAGTAAAGTTTACTAATAAATAGTAATTTCTACTAATTTATTAGTAAAATTATTAATTAATTCAAAAGCAAAAAATCAGTCACTAATATTCAAATTAGTAAACATTTTTACTAATTAAAATTTAAAAAGAATATTTATTTACTATTATCTTTATATTGATAGTATATTATCAGCAACAATTCGCGTGCTAAAGCGCGCGGCCAACTTTTTAGGATCAAATTAGAAATTTTAAAAATAATAGAATTTACAAATTTGTAATTCAGTTTTGTTGAAAACACTAAAAAAAATCCAATTTTGGAAAAATTACAAATAATTCCAGAAATTCTATTATTTTCAAGAGTGATTTTAATTCTTCTCATAAAATTCAATTATCTTTCAAATTAAAAAAAAAATTCTCGTCAAAATCCCAATTATCTTTAAATAAATAACAAAATTCTTCCCCAAAGTTCAATTATTTTCAAATCAATTTCAAATTCCCAAAAATAGTACACAAACATTTAATTTTTTTCATAAATAATAAAAATTTCCCAGGAATTCAATTATTTACAAATATTTGATAAATTCCTTCGCAATAATATCTTCATGTTTTTATAACAATATTTTTATAAGTTGTTGAATTTAAAATTTTTAAAATTCTTAATTCCTAAGGAAAAATAATATTGATTAAATATTTATTTAAAAAAAAGTTATTGTGTGGACAGACAGAATGAATGAATGAAATACGAAGATTATTACAGTTAATTGTTGCATATACAGAATTGATAGAATATAATATAATATTGCATCAAGAGAAATGAGTCAATTTTAAAAATTGCTCTTCGTCCATCCATAAAATCTAAATAAAAAGTTGACATTTTAATTTTTTTTTTCTTGATAAAGTGTAGAGTTGTAATCGCTCAACACTTTTTTAAAGTATACATGTCTATAATAATTGTGATGAAAATAGAATACTACGCACGTGTCGACACGTGACAATACTAATGTTTCGTGTGGCAAAGGGCAAAACGAACTTAACACATGGGGCTTTCACCTGATGAACATTGTTATTGTGGTTATGTCGTGGGACAATTCACACCTCATTACTTTAAAATCAACAACCCCTCAAACTATCATCAATTCTTCAATCACCCTTTAATCAAAATATTCTACTTTTTCTTTATGATGACAATATTCTTTTACAGAAGCTAAATTAAAAAAATATTCTCAAAATTAAAAATCTGTTTCGACTTTTACGAAAGTTTTTACTCTGATTTTCATTTTCATTCTGACTTTGATTTTGACTTTCGTTTTCACTCTGATTTTCATTTTGACTCTGAATGTCATTTTCACTTTGATTTCGACTTTAATTTTGACTTTGACATTGAAATTAAAAGTCAGAGTCAAATTGAAAGTCAAAGTGAAAATTAAAGTCGAAGTCAAATTCAAAATCGAAAGTCAAAGTCAAAGTATTTTTTAAAACCGCACCCCTGAATTTTCAAATAAAAGAAATTTTTATTTATTTCTTCTTAAAAATGTAATTTTATTACAATGATTTTGCGTCACGTTTTAAAAAAATAATTTATAAGTTCCTAAATTATTTGAAATAGAAATAAATATTTATTTAATAATTGTTAAATATCACGTTTTAATTTTTTTTGCAATCAGTAATTTTTTTTTATTGGAAAATTTCTGTTCTTAATTTTGTGTGTATAAGGATATCTAGTAAAGGACGAAATCCAAATAGATGGCAGCATTAAACAAGCTCGAAAACGGACAATCGATATTCACATAATTTCTGTAGTTTGTGTGACCCTTATCGTCTGATGATAAACAAAATATAGATTTTTAACTTAAAATACAAAAATGAAAAATAAAATTTAAAAATTAATATAGAATTGAAATAAAATCAAAATAAAATTATAATTATCTTTAAATAAATTCACAGTAATATTAAAAGTAAATTAAATTAAGTTAAAAGAAAATTAAAGTAAAATTAAAAGAAAACAAAACAAAATTAAAAATAAATAAATAATAATACATAATAATAAAAATTAATTAATTAGAAAAAATTAAATTAAAATACAATACAAAACTGCAAAGTTTCTTTTTAAATAAATATATTTTCACTTCAGAGTTCGAGTATAAAAACTTATATTTATTGTTTAGTATTAGATTATTAATGTTTTTGGTTTTACAAAAATACGTATCTCTAAACATATAAAAAATGTTAAAATTATTTATAAATAGATTTAGTAAAATTTTAAACTAAGTTGGATAAAAAATCTACAAAATTGTAAAAATACTTGAATTAATACATTCTTCTTTACCTTAAAAAAAGGTTTTTTTTATTTTATTTCTTAAATTATTTAATTTTCGTATAATTGTTGACACTTGATTATTTTGACATTGTTTTGACGAATTTTTTCAACTTTCGAGCTTTCCACGAACGAATAACTTCTGTTTTTACTTCATTGTTTAGAAAGCAGTAGAGAATTGCAATAAAGCAGCCCTGTAATTAAAAATCGAAAATTAATTGAATCTCAATTTTGTATAAATAAAATAATTAAAATCAAACAACTACACGCAGAAAAAAGATCGGAAAATCTTTTTTCCGATTTTATTTTTTCAAATAAAAATTTGTTTTCAGTATGTATAAAATAACTAAATAGTTATTTGATTTCAAAAAAATATTAAAAATGATGATAATTACTTGAAAAGATACGAAAAGTAGATCAAAAAAGAGCCAGATTAATTCCACTCGGGGCTCCTTATAGAAAGACAATCCAATAAATAAACTGTGATGTGTTCCCAACAATGGAATTAATATTAAAGTTGAACGAGCCCATTTTCTGAAAAATTTCCAACAAAATAATTTTTTTTTCCTTTTTTAAATTTTGAAATAAGGTTCAAAAATTACCTGTATTGCATTTTTTTTCTCTGTAGAAGAACGGATGTTTTGAATTTCACAAAAAGTACTCGTACGATATTTAGAAAGAGAAAAAAATTAAACTGTAATTAAAGAAAGTTTTTTGTTGTATAATTATTCGGTATGTGACAAAATTTCTATTTCTTCTTTATGAAGAATAAATAATAATTTAAATAAATATTCAAAATGAAATATTGAATATTTCATTTGAATATTTATTTCTACTGGCAAATACACTTACCAAAATTAAGATTTCTGTGGGAATACGTATTATGAGGAAGGTATGAGAATTATGATTAGTTGTCCAGCATAAAACATCTTCAAATATTATTCTAGCAATTATCCATGGAATGGTTACAATTACTGGTAGGCCTGTAAAAATGTCGTTTCATTAAATTTGTAAAATTTATTATTATTATTTATTTAAATTTTTTTTAAATTTCAGACTTCTCACACATCTACTGAAACCTACTATTTACTACTATTTTTACGTTATGCTACTATTTGGTTACTTTTTTTTAGATTTGAGCCAATAAAAGCTACTGTTTCTATTTTTTTTTTTAATTTCCACTATTTTAAATTCGCTAATACTAGAATTAAAAAAATTATAATCAAATTCTTTAAAACGTTTCAATTACTGTCAAAAAATATTCGAAATTCAATTATTTTTTATATTTAATATTTTTTTATCAAATTTCGCAAAAGAATTCAATTATTTAAAGAAACAATTCAGAAAATGCATCCAAAATTCACTTATTTTCATAAATAATGAAATTTCAAAAGAAATTCAATTAATTTAGAATAGTTATCGTTGTCCCAAGTAAAGCTTTTTTTCCGTGCACTGATTCAGATTATTAATCATTTTAAAGGAATTTTTTAATTTTAAAAATCAAAATTTTTAAAGAATAAGTAATATATATATAAAATTATAATTTAATTGACTCACCCCAGCCTATTACAACATAAAGGGTGATAGTATTTTTATCTGCAGAAAATAACGAAAATACCAGTCTATGAATATATAAGCCTTCCATCAATACCCATGTGTAATTTGCCAAAATGCAATATTGCCATATACTTGTGATTGTCTTGCAAAACCAAACCTAAAATTTAATTAAATATTCATCGAAATTAACTCTTTTCATTTATTTCAATTGCCAATTGAATTTTATGTAATTTTAAGTCAATTACCAATTGAATTTTATTCAGCTTATAATTGAATTTTGTTCAATTTAAAATTTTAATAAAATCCCCCTAATAATTAATTATATCAATATATAATCAGAATAGATAAGAAGGAGTAAAAATATATTGAAAAAAAAATTTATTTGCTTCAAATAACCGATTACTTGTCTATTATCAAATAAATATTTACCTGAATCAAATAATTTTTAATTTACAACGAAAGGATCTAAAAAATTGAAATTAATTCAAAAATAAAATTAATCGATCACTTGGTTTTGAAAAATCATTTTTTAAGAATTAATTTCAATTTTTTCGATACTTTCGTAGAAGATACGTAATTTTTTATTGAATATCTAAAAACTTTGAGAAAAAACGAATAAATTTTATGTAGTAAATTTTTTCTTGTCTTCCAGAAGTATTGAAGAAAAACGTGTTTCAAAATCTTCGGCCTCTGAAGAAGTTAAATTTTAAAAAATCACAACTTTCACAATTTTCATCGAATAAAAAAATAAAAAAATACGTGTTTTCTTATTTTTCATAAGAAACCCAACAAAATTATTCCGTTCAAAAGAAATTTTATTAGTGGAAATTCCTCTCGGAATGACCCAATTAATAATTTAATAATAAAAATTGAATTCGATTAAACGTTAATATACTGAACATTAAATTTTTTTTTATTCGAATAATCAATTATTTGTCTATCGTGAAATAAATATTGACTTGAATTAAATAATTTTTGTTTAAATCTACCCCCAGAAACAATATTTATATTTCTCTCAGTGTCAACTAGACTTTTTATTTATTTCAAAATAAATTTTATTTAATTTAAATAAAATTCTATTTTGTTTAAATAAAATTATATATTGTTCAAATAAAATTTTTTTCTGGGTGAATTAAATGGCGTTTGCTTCAAATACTAAAATTATTGGTTAAATTAAAATTTATTTAATTTAAATAAAAATTATTTGATTCAAGTATTTGAAAATTCTTTACAGTATCAAAATTATTTTGCCAATAGTTAAGTAAATCGGTTATTTGAAGGAAATAAATTTTTTTTTCAGTGTATAATAATGATGATAATAACATTGTGTTGGCTGATAAAGAACTTCTCTCCATCCCTGAAGACAAAGTCTTCAGTGAGTCCTGTTCCCTCAACAAAAAGCCAATCCTTGAGAAGGGATATGAACGCTCTCAGAATAAATGATGCAAACAAGTGCATATGCAATCTGTTTCGTGAATTCTGCAATTTTCTATATAAAAATGCATTAGCTCAAAATACTCATTATTGATAAAAATACTTGAACGTACCTGTGTAAATAAAAAACAATAAAAGCAATGATTAAAGTAACGCAGGATGTTGCATATCCAATTTGTGAAACTGCTTTTATTCTCGGTAACCATTCCTGTAAAAAACAATTAATCAAACAATTAAATTTCGTAAAATGCATTGAAGAATATAACAACTGTTGATGTTACATTTTCTGTCCATTTTTTAAAATTCATTTATTTAGAATTTAATTCAATTTTGCAAGCATTTTATTGGTTTTCCCTTCTGCACCCAGAGAAAAAGTTTATTTAAATCAAATATGATTTATTTGAAATGAATCCGAAAACTGGCACCCAGTTGGCTCTAAGTAAAAAATATCTTTTTTCTGGGTGTCGAATGGAAACACTCAGAGAAATGTTTTATTTGAAACAACTATAATTAATTTCTTTGAGTAAAATAAAAATATGTTTGTCACAGAATCTAAAAAATTTTTTTATTTGTCTTAAATAAAAATTTTATTTATCCATGGTTGGCACAGAGCCGGGAAATTCTGGACAAACAATTGTTAATAAACAGGAGATAATGACTCATATAATAATTGGAATCGTTCTAGCAATAGTTTGGGACCAGCAAAAAATTTTTCTACTAACAATATTGTTAGTAAACAAAAGATAATGTTCGTACAAAAAAAAAATTTTCCATCTTCTGCTGATTATCGGCTGTGTTTACTTTTTATGAATTGTGAATTAAATTAATTTTGATGACCCAGATATTAATTGGAATTGTTCTAGCAATAGTTTGGGACCAGTAAACGATTTTTGTACTAACAATATTGTTAGTAAACAGAAGATAAAGTTCAATCAAAAAATAATTTTCCATCTTCTGCTGATGATCGGCTGTGGTTACTTTTTAAGGATAGTGAATTAAATTAATTTTGATGACCGAGATATTAATTGGAATTGTTCTAGCAATAGTTTGGGACCAGTAAACGATTTTTGTATTAACAATATTGTTAGTAAACAGAAGATAAAGTTCGATCAAAAAATAATTTTTCATCTTCTGCTGATTATCGGCTGTGGTTACTTTTTATGAATTGTCAATTAAATTAATTTTGATGACCCAGGTATTAATTGGAATTGTTCTAGCAATAAATTGGGACCAGTAAAAAATTTGTTGACTAACAATTGTTAGTAAGCAGAAGATAAAGTTTGTTCAAAAAATAATTTTTCATCTTTTGCTGATTATCGGCTGTGGTTACTTTTTATGAATTGTGAATTAAGTTAATTTTGATGACCCAGATATTAATTGGTATTGTTCTTGCCATAGTTTAGGAACAGTAAATAATTTTTTTTTAATTTAAAAAAATTTCTGGACAGAAATTTTTTTAAGTTTTGACTGGAATTTTGTAAGTATTGACCTGGAAAATCCTGAAAAAAGCCTGGAATTTTATATTTATCATTTTGTGGCAACCATGTTATCACAAATAATAATTCTAATTATAATAATAAATAATAAGTATTTCCATACAAATAATAAATAATTTAGTAGTATCTAATATTTCTTTTCTCTGAGTGTAATTGACTAAACAGATTAAAACTAATAATTTCTTTTGTACAATATTGTTATCATCAAAATAAAACTGAAAACTGGGACATTGTCAATACTATACATAAAATTTTACTTACAAGTGTCAAATTGGAGTTGAGAATTTTTTCATCATATTCCGTTAAATTTAAATCGTTTAATGTTGTTATGTACCTCTCGGACAGAATGCAGAGGGAATAATTACTCCACGATGCACCATTTTTGTCCTGATACCATTCACCATTTGCCAAACATTCTCTAAATGCAATTGCAGGCTTTGAACTATGGTCCTTTAAGAATATCGAAGGGCATGGCAATTTTGCGATTTGAGAAACTTCTGTTCTGGGCCAGCACAATATTGAGTCGAAAATTGGTGGGCAAGAGGCAATTGTTTCATTTATCGTCGAATTCATGTCTGCAAATTTAATTTAAATTCGTTAAGAAATAAATGCTCACGCAGAAAAAAAGACATTTGTCTTGTTGGAACGAACTAAATATTTTATTTGGTTCAAATAAAATTTTTATTTAAAATTTTGAAATTTGATAGATTAATTCTAAACACGTACTTAGATATCTCAAAACACCCGCGCAATAATAAATGGAATAAATATTCATTCAATTTGATTCTTTATTTGGAATTTTGAAAATATTGAACCAAATTTTGAACTATAGAAATCGACAAAAAATCGTTTTTAAAATTCATGTAATATATTTATTGATAAGGTATTATCTATAAATGAAGTTTTGAAGAGTTGGGAAAGACTGTTAATTAATTGTGTGCAACGATGCTTTCCTCGCGCGAACGTGTCACTCTCGTATGTTTCCATGGATACAAATAAGTGCGATACGTTCGTCCGAGGAAGGACGCAGACTAGTGGACCACACATTAGATTAAAAGCTGACAATTCATCAACTCTTATTATCTTATCACACATGTCATAACGAATTCTAAATTTTTCTCTTCAATACTATTTTTTTTAAATCATTCAAAATATTATTTATGTTTTTTATGCAAGACAATTACAATTACAATTTGTTTCACTCTCTAAATCCGAATTTGCTAAAAATGATTAATTTTTAGTAAAATCCTTATTGACTATTAACATCAGAAATTAGTAAAAAATAATTAAAAGTTATTAGAAAATTACTAATTATTAATCAATAATTTTTTTGTGCAGGGCAACTTGTTTCACTCTCTAAGTATAAATTAGTTAAAAATAACTAATTGTTAGTAAAATCCTGACTGAATTTTTTGCTTCAGAAATTATTAAAAAATAACTAAAAATTATTTAAAAGTTCCTATTTATTAGTAAATAAATAATTATTAATAAATAAATTTTTTGTGCAGGACAATTTGTTTCACTCTTTAAATCTAAATTAGTTAAAGTTATCTTTAACTAATTTAGATTTAACTAATTGTTAATAATATCCTGAGTGACTTTTTACTTTAGAAATTAGTAAACAATTAAAAAATAGCTAAATATTATTAGAAAATAACTAATTATTTGTAAATAAATAATAATTTATTAATAAATAAATTGAATTGAATTAGTTACAGAAAATTTTTGTAATTTTAACACAATTTCAATAATTTTGACGTTACCTAAAAGTTAATTTTAACTAATAATTTGTCAATATTAACTATTTAATTAGTAGAAATATTACTAATTGAATCAGTACAACTGAATTTTTATTATTTAATTAGTTTTTTTTTACTAATTCCAATTTCAAGAGAAAGTTAGTTATTTTCCTAAAGTTTTAAATGTTCAAATGAACAAAAATTTTTTTGTTTAATTATTTTTTTAAATTTTTGTAAAAACAAGAAAACTATTAAAAATTATAAACATTTAATTAATTAAGAATTAAATATTTCGTTTTATAAAAAAAAACAAATTAAAAGAAATAAAAAAAATATCGTCTCATTTATTTTAACGTTCAAAATGTTAGTAACATAGTTAATTACACTGTAAAAACAAAGTCTTGAAGAACTTACAATTCGAACGGTTTTTCTTAAATTAAAAAATTTTAAATCCTTAATTTTTTTAAATTTTGACTATTTTTGGATTTAGAATAATAAATATTCAAACGAATTCTTAGTTCTATAATTAGTTTCGTAATTTAAAAATAATTTTGATTTTTTATTACTAGATAATATTTGGTATAATGTACGTAGTTTTAACACAAAATCGAGATGAACAAACTGACATATTTTTTGCAGTGTATTTTGAAAAAAATATTTTAAAAATTGAAGAAATAATGCTAACCTTTTAGTAGTTGATCACATTTTAATACTTGTTGATTTTGAAATTCAAAAAATTTTTGTAACATTATTATCTGAAATAGAGAAAGTTAATTAATTTATTATTAGGATTATAATTATTAATATTCATTATTATTATTATTATTATTTTTATTATTTTTATTATTATTATTATTATTATTATTCCATTGAAAAAAATGTATTTGATTCAAATAACGGATTATTTGTCTATTATCAAATAAATATTTACTTGAATCAAATAAATTTTATTTAACTGATAATATATTAATAAATATTTATTCTGATAATAAACAAGTAATAAGTTATTTGAATCAATTAATTTTTTTTCTGTAGACTATTATTATTTAGTTTTTTTATTATATTTTTATTAAAATTGTCATTATTGTTAAATATAATTATTATTATCAATTATTGTCATTATTTACTAAATTATTATTTAAATATTTTTACAATTAAAATAGAAAAAGAAATTTTAAAATAAAAAAAAGAAGTTTTAATGCTGAAACTTTTTTTTTTCTCTTTATGAATGAATTTGTAAAAGTAAATCAAACATTACATTTAATCTTTTATCAGACAGTTTAAATGTCGCTTCGATGAATACAATGAGAAATTTTGAGACTGTGAATTTATAATGTTTGACAGTAGCATTACAAGAGATGACTTTCGACCTTTTCTCAGAATGCGTGAAATACACCATACAAATTTTTTTAAAGGATTTTAGGAAAGTGAAATTTTTTGCGCAGTATTTCAATTTATTGTTTGTAAACACACTTTTAGAGTGAGTCTATTGAAAAATTATTCTTATAAGAACTTGTTTGAATTTTTGAAAAACTTTCATTTGCTACAATTTTGTTGTGTTTTTTGTTTTAGAGAAATATAGTTGAAAATAGTTGAATGCAATTAATTAGCAAAAGGTTATAAATTAATTATGTCAGTTGAACATTTACAAATAATAAAATAAATCACTTAAATTTTTTCCAATTTTTTTCACTTTTTTGAAATTTTTTCTCCGTTTTCAGAAAAAAAGGAATTTTTATTTAAAAATTGTTAATTAAAAATGGGTACATTTTATTCAGTTTAAATTATTTTTGCGCGTTAAAAATAAAATGGAACTTAATAAACAGTTTTCACGTTCCTCGCGATCTAAAACGAATCATTTCGTAAATAAAGAGAAAATTTTTTCCGAGACAACTTTTTTTTAAGTGTTCTTTTCTTTTTTTCAAAATATAATTTTGAATACCGAAAATTCTAATCGAATGTCAGTTGAAAAATTAAAAATGGCAAAGTATTTTTTGTGTTTAAACTTTAAATATTTGTTTAGAAATTTTTGACAAAAATTTTGGTCATTTATTTGAAAAAAAAATTCGAATTTTGAATAGAATTTCTAATTTCCACTAGTTTTTGTTATTATTATTATTAAATTATTATTATTCTATAAAGAAAAATTGTAGACTTACTTGAAAAATATTTTATGTCTGTACAAAAAGTTTCATCCTCTTCGTTAAACGATTGTTTGACGTCTGAACAGTTCGCAGGATTTCCGAATTTGCCAGATACTTGTTCTGAATTCACGATTCAAGTCAGCGCAAGCGCAAACTTAATTTTAATTGTTGAAATTCGTCCAACATTATAATAAAAATTTTTTTAATTATAAAATTTGAAATATTATTATCAATAACTACATTCGATAATATTGTCCATTTTTTGCTTTTTTGGTAACATTTTTAATTATTTTGTAATTACCATAAATTTTCGAAAACAAAATTTTCCTTTCTATTTTTTTTTATTTTTTAATATTTTAATTTTTCGACTTTTTCGAATAAAGCAGAGTATTAATCAATAGTGAATTTTTATATAAATTTTACCATTTTTTGAATATTGGATTCTATTTTGAAAATCCGTCCTTTTTAGGGTCGGGAGTATAATAAAATACAATGACTTGCGAAACAATGTACTTCTGTGCTTTTATTTCATTGTGTTACAATTAAAATTACAATTGTGTTTAACTAAATAATTTATATGGAGTATTTCTGTAAAATAGAATTTTCTTCTTTTATGTGTGAATATTTATATGTAAAAGGGAAAAATTATTGAAAATTTATGTAGAAAATATTTAGAAATATCATTCTCTATAGATATATTTTGTTGTACCTACGTCTGACTGTAATTACATTTTTCTACTTGGATCAGAAACTTCTTATTAATTTGTTTCAATTACTTTTTTTCATTGATAAAATGCCTAAATTGGTAGATCAAAATTTTATCTCTTTATAATTTGAACAAATTGGTTATTTATTAATGATGCAATGATAGGAATGATTCGTTAATAATCGTTACATATAATTAGAAATTTTGCAATAATAATTATTTTCTAAAATTTGTGAAAGTATTTTAATTTTTTTGTTAACTTTATGATATGTATAATATTAATTTTGTTTGATGTGAAAATGGTATTTAATAATATTTTTATTTATTTTTTTTTGTTGAGAATTTGCACTGCCCGTGTGGAAAATGAAAATTGGTCCTAGCCAGGTCCTATCTATTTTGCCCTGTTAATAGCTTGGTCCTAGGTTGGCAGTGTAGGTTGGACCAACAATGGGTAGTGATGCGATTCTAGCCTGGTCCTAACTTGGGAGCCTAGTTAGGACCAGTTTATGGGTCCATTTTAGGACCTAGAAAGGACCATCTCAGACAGTATTTTCTATTTCATTATAATTTTGATTAGTTAATAATATTTGTTAAAGAAATAACCTAAATTATTAATAATAAGTATTAGTTTTAATTAATTATTATTTTTTTCAATTAAATGATGACCAAAAGCTAATTCATAAATAATGTTAGTATATGCAGAGATTAATATATATTCCTCTAATATATACATTAAAAATTATAAAAAAATTAGAAATTTGTTAATTAAATTATTTTACAGTATATATAATCATTAAATTGCATACTTATACGAATACAATGCAGAAAAATCGGAATAAACGCAAACCTAAGAAGTAAATAAAATCTAACGCACGCGGGAATCGAACTTACGACCTACGGACTACGAGACTAACGCCCTAACCACTATGCTAATGAAACTAGTTGAGATCAAAATTTTTATTGTCAGTGACTTGTGGACTTGCTTTTGATGATTCAATATAGTAATTATTGACACTAATACACGATAATAAATAAAAAAAATAGTTTAACAACAACAATAATAATAAAATAATATCCAAATATAAAAATTCAAAAATTAATATTTTTATATTATATCAAGAAAAAAAATATCTGTACATTTTCGTTAAAAACAGGTTTTTCATTGTTCTCAATCATTTTTAACATTAATTTCTTGGTCTAAAAAAAATATTCGTCTTTTGGACTTGGAAATTTTTCCTAATTAATTAAGCGGGTGATCCACTTTTTAAAAAAATGTCAAAAAAATTTATGTTAAAAACACGTTTTTCATTATTCTAAATCATTTTAAGCATTAATTTTTTGTTGCAAAAAATTTTTTAGACTTGGACTTAGAAATTTTTGCTAATGAAACTAGGAAGCCCAGGTAGGTCCTGGGTTGGACCTGGGTGGGTCAGCCCACATTCGAATTGCAATATCTCTTAGTGTTTAGCACCAACTTAAACGAAACTTAAAATCAGCGAACGAAATTAGAAATATATTTTACTAATGATAATTATATTGCAGTCTGTATCTGTTTAAATAAATAAATAAATTTTGCTGTTTTATTAACTTTTGTAACAAATTACTTAAAAATTTGCAGTTTTTTATCTAACTTCGCGATTATTACACTTGAGTAGTGAAATATGAAGATAATTTATAATTTTAACAATTCAGCATTTGTTTAAACAAAAAATTGTTGTTATTTATTAATTCTTAAGACAATAAAGCGTCTAGACACTTGTAGTCTTTTAAAATTTTGCAATTAACTAATCTGAGTATTTACTTATTGCAAAATTAGCAAAAACTGCTAGTTTCTAGGTTGATTGTGTAAAAAGTTAGTAAATAACAATTATTTGTTTAAACAATTGCTGAATTAATAAATTAATAAATTAACTTTATTTTATAGTATTTGTATAATTTTCTGATTTATGTCAAACAATAAATTGTTTAAATAAATATGATTATCAATTAATTTTATAAATATTAATTGAGAATATTTATCAATTTTTACATGTTTTTCATGTATCAATTTTGACACTTTATTTTCCTAAAAATTTTTCTAAGTCATAACTGGATCTCCTAGCTAGTACCAAGTTAGGACCAGCCTAGGATATATAAAAAGGGGTTGCCAAGTTAGGTCCAAGCTAGGGCCAATAATCATTTTAGGCATAGCATGGTGATTTCTACACGGGTGTTTTAAATGTGCTGATAATTGAAAAAAAAATTATTCTCAAAAATTTTAATAAAATACATAAAAATAATTTAGAAAATTTAAATAAAATTCTTTGACACAATTATATTATTTTCAACAATTTTCCGAAATTCAATTATTTGCAATATCTACATTTTATTAAAACTTACCAAAAATATTCAATTATTAAAAAAAAAAAAAAATTTTTATAAAATACCTTGTAAAAACATTAAACATTATTTTTATGAATAATAAAGTTGTCATAGAAATACAATTATTTATAATACAATTTTTATAAAATTTATCGAAAAAAATAAATTATTTAGAAATTTTTTTATTATATTCTTCGCAAGAATTAAATCATTTATTTATTTATTTTTACAAATAAAGAAATTTTCCACGGGAAATCAATTATTTAAAAAATTTTTTAATAAAATTCTTCTCAAGAATTCAATTATTTTCATAAATATTAAAATTCTTCTCAGTAATTCAATTACTTTTTATAAATAATTGAATTTTTCGTAGGAATTAAATTATTTTTTTCTACACAATAAAATTCTTGGCAGAAATTCAATTCTTTTTTTTTATAAATAATAAACTTCTACCCAAGAATTCAATTACTTTTTCCTTATAATAAAATTCTTCTCAAGAATTCAATTATTTTCATAAATATTAAAATTCTTCTCAGTAATTCAATTATTTTTTATAAATAATTGAATTTTTCGTAGGAATTCAATTATTTTTTTCTATACAATAAAATTCTTGTCAAAAATTCAATTATTTTTTTGTATAAATAATAAAGTTCTTCCCAAGAATTTAATTATTTTTTTCCTTATAATAAAATTCTTCACAAGAATTCAATTAATTTCATAAATATTGAAATTCTTCTCAGTAATTTAATTATTTTTTATAAATAATTGAATTTTTCGTAGGAATTCAATTATTTTTTTCCTTATAATAAAATTCTTCACAAGAATTCAATTATTTTCATAAATAATAAAACCCATAGCATAATTTCAATTATTGTTAATACAATTTTAAGTGAATTTCTCGAAAAATGCAATTATTCTTTAAAATTCTATTAAAATTCTCCTAAAGAATTAAATTATTTTAAATATTTTGAAAAAATTCTTTATAAGAATTCAATTTTAAGAAATATTCAATTACTCAATAATTAAATTTTAAAAGATTTTTAAATTGAATTAATTCAAAATATTTTAATTCCCATTGAAGATTAAATAAATATTTGTATATTTATTTAACAAAAGAGTATGCAAGTTTTGAATGTAATTTAGTCTAGAAATTATTAAAAAGTTATTCATTTGAAAAATTGTAATTAACATTTTTTGAAGATAGTTAAAATATTCTAAATATTTAAAAAAAATTGTTTTTCTCTTTTATTTCATTTTTATTAAAAATTATACAATTATAATGATTTTCTAAAATCTGTAAAGATAATTTAATTTCATTGCTATTTATATTATTTTATTTATATTCATTATATTAATTCCGTTTAGCATTATAATTACCAAATTAGAAAATTATTCGACAGTAGTACCTAGATGTTAAATTTTTTTTTTTTCATTTTTACTGTAAAAGATTTTTATTTATATTGTTTAGTGAAGTTCAATGAAGTCAATGAATGAGAAAAAATTGATTTTTTTCCACCTTTAATATATAGCATATGTGACAATTGACTCTTATTTCCTTTTTCTTAGAATAATGACACACAATATATAATATAGTAAACATTTACTTCTTGTGATTGACAGACTTCTAATGGCATTAAGTTAATGAAACTTTCTTTTATGGGAAAGATGTTGTAGTTGCAAATACTCAAAATTAAGGGTGACATAATTAGTATTATTAAAAATATTTTTTAGTCACTTTTCGAAATTAATTAATTAATTTATTTATTTATTTATTTAATATTTATTAAATAAATCCTACAGTCATACATTTTTTTACTAGTATTATTACAATATTCCCAATGAAGCACTATAATGATATTTCTATTATATAATGCCAATTATTAATTAATGAATTAGAATTAGTTAATGAATGAATGAATTTTATTAATGAAATTAATTAGAAAAATTACAATTACAATAAAATTATTATTACCTACACGAAAAGACATTTTCAAACTTTAATAAACAGATTATTGATCCTCGACTATTTGGTGTCTGCTACAAAATTTTACTTATTAATTAATTACTTACCTAATTTTACTAATATAATTAATTAGAAAAATTTAAATTATAATAAAATTATTTATTATCTAATTATTTCAACTTCTTGTTTCAATAATTATTTTCACTCCATTAAAATAATGAACCGTTTCTAAATACTTCTTTTTTCCAATATTTTTAAAAATTGCAAAAAAAAAAAATATTCGCAATTTTAAATTAAAATTGAAAAAAAAAATTAATTAACCCTCACAGGCTCGAGTTCGATTTTTGAAATGCGCGCACAAGGTGGGTCCGAGGGACCCGGATGTTTCAATGCAATAAAAAATAAAATTTAATAGCAAAGTGCTTCATATTTTCCATATTTAATACAATTTTAATGTTATAATTGAATAAAAAATTTTAAATATTAAAAAGTAATCAAGTTATAACTAAAATTTGTTTAATAAATTTAATGAGTCATTTTGAATAAAACGAACTACATACTTATTAAGCAAGATTTTTCTAATTTGTATTTTTTGTTCTATTAAATTTACTGATGTATTAAGCATATGTTATCACTTATTATGGCAGTTGTTGATAAAAAAAACATAAATAAATCCAATATTGCAAAAAAGTTGCAAATTTTTAAATTTTTTTTCATAGCCCGGGTCCCTCGGACCCGGCTTGAGCCCTTACGTATATTCGACTTAAAAGGTAATTTACCAGAGTATTTTATGAATAAAAAATTGTTTATACTGGTGAAAAATGTGTGTTTTTACTTCCCCAAGCCTAATGTGAAGTTGATTTTCCAATAATATTTTCTTAACCGGAAGTAGATCAAAAAAACTTTCACCCGGGTCCGAGGGACCCGGCTCGATCTCGTGAGGGTTAAAAATACACAAGTAGAAAATTTCCCAAAAATAGTTTATACAGAAATTTAGTTTTAAAAAGTATAATTTTAATTGTGGTACTGTGTTCAGTTGCGAATTGCGTACTGATGATAGGATAGAAGAAATTCGTTTTTCATTTTATTAGTATATACATAAAGCCTTGCATTGTGGTGGATTTAAAACTTTTATCACTAATTAATTAACAGTTTAGAAATTATTTAATACCCCTGGAGAATTGTAAATACATGCGCAATGAACTTGAATTCATAACAACGTAGTTTCCACATTTTTTCACGACAAATGGATAATACAGGTGTTACAACTTTATTTTGTTGTGTATATGTATATATATGGGGTTCCGTCAATTGCACCAATAAAAGACAAACGGGCGTAGGTTCTTTAATGAATATGCTTTCATTGTCAGTCACTTTTCCGCGTTTGAGTGATGTTCTTCTTTTTTCTTTTAAATAAATTACATATTGAAATTGTGACTTTTTACAGTGTATTAAAAATAGTGAATGAAAAACAATGATGCAAAATGTTAAAAATCAGAGAGCAATTAAAAATAGTTGCAGTCAAACTGGTAAGTAATTTTTTCTTTTTAATATTTATTTTTTCTTGAAAATTTAATTTTTATGTATTTTAATAATATTTTTATTATAGAATAATTTAAAAATAGCAATATATTTAAATTATTATTTATTCAGTAAATTTTTATTTAATATTTTCAATTATTTTTTTGTTTATTGTTTTCATATTTGTTATCAATTATTTTTCCTATTCATTATTTTCAATTATTTTTTCTTATTTATTATTTTCAATTGTTTTTATTTACTTATTATTTTCAATTATTCTTCATATTCCCTATTTTGAAGCATGTTTTCTTGATTATTAATTTCAAGTATTTTTTTTATTTATTGTTTTTAATTATTTTTTTTTTTTTTTTTTTTTTTTTTTTATTTATTTATTTTTTTTTTATTTATTATTTTTAATTATTTTTATTTACTTATTATTTTCAATTTTTTACATTTATTGTTTTCAATTATATTTTTCCCATTCACTATTTTTAATTATTTTTTTCTTATTTATTTTTAATTATTTTTTTTATTTATTATTTTCAATTATTTTTATTTACTTATTATTTTCAATTTTTTACATTTATTGTTTTCAATTCTTTTTCCTATTCACTATTTTCAATTATTTTTCTTAATTTTTTTGCAATTATTTTTCATATTCATTATTTTCAAGTATTTTTTCTTGATTATTAATTTCAAGTATTTTTTTTATTTATTGTTTTTAATTATTTTTCTCATTTATTATTTTCAATTATTTTTATTTACTTATTATTTTCAATTTTTTATATTTATTGTTTTCAATTATTTTCAATTATTATTCTGAAAATAAAATCTTCAAAGAATTTGGAAAATATTGGGAATTTTTTTGTTGTTTACAAATTGCAGTAGACACTCTAGAAAAAATAAAAGAAAATAATGAAATAGATTTACAATTTTTTTGCCTTCTTTTGCAGAAAATTTATGTAGACTTCCAACACGAAAAAGAAAATATTATCGTCAGAGTAAAAAAAGTTTGGGAACAAATTTCCATAGTTTTTGTGAGAATACTAGTCTTCATGGCTTTCATTACATTACTTCGGAAAATACGAGTATTAAGGAAAGAGTTATTTGGTCTGTGGTATGTTTACTTTCTATCAATTACTTTTTTCTATTCCTTTTATATTTTTTCTATTCTTTTTTATTCACTATTATTTTATTTTGTCTTTAATTTTTAATTTTATTTTGTCCGAAATTTTTGCGCATTCTTAGTATAGTAATTTTTACTATTTTCGAAGAAAGTTTTTCTATTTTTTATTAAAAATTTACTTATTCCAAAGCGGTAAAATTTACTCCACAAAAAAATGGTAAAAATTTAAAACAATTCCGAAGTAAATTTTACTATATTTTTACTAAAAATTTACTTATTCGAAAACAATAAAATTAACTTCAAAAATAGTAAAAATTTTGGAGAGTAAAAAAAAATAAATATTTACTGTGTCCGAAGTATCTCTTACTATTTTTTACTACAAAATTTACTTATTCGATACTCTATAAATAGTAACAATTAAAGACAGCCACAAAACAAATTTTTACTATTTTTTACTTAAAATTTACTTATTTGAAAACAATTTACTTTAAAAATAGTAAAAATTTTAGACAAATGCAAATTTAATTAAATTTTTTGCTAAAAAATTTACTTATTTGAAAACAATAGAATTTCATTTATTACAAAAATAGTAAAAATTTAGGAGAGTAAAAATAGTAAAATTTACTCCAAAAGTAGTAAAATTTTAATTCCCAAATAAATTTCACTGTTTTTAACGAAACATTTTCTTATTCGAAAACAGTTTACATAATTTATTCTAAAAATAGTAAAAACTTTAGACAAATGCGATTTTAATTTTACTATTTTTTACTGACAATTTACTTATTTGGTAACAATATAATTTACTATAAAAATAGTAAAAATTTAGGAGAGTAAAAATAATAAAATTTACTCCAAAAGTAGTAAAATTTTAATATAGTTCAAAAGTAAATTTTACTAGGTAGTAAAAATTTAAGACAACTCTGAAACAAATTTTACTATTTTTTTCGGGAAATTTGCTTATTTGAAAAAAATATAATTTACTCCAAAAATAGTAAAAATATAAGATTGTGAAAAAAGTAAATTTTACTTTTTCCGTAGTATTTTTTATTTTTACTATAAATTTACTGATTCAAAAATAGTAAAATTGACTTCGGGAGTACTAAAAATTTATAATAATTCTGAAGTAAATTTTACTATGTCCGAAGTAATTTTTACTATTTTAACTTAAAATTTACTCTAAAAATGATAGAAATTTGAGATAGTTCCGAAATAAATTTTAGTAATTTTAGTAATAATAAAATAAAATAAATTAAATAAATAAAATAAAAAAATAGTAAAAATTTCAAACAGTTTAAATTTTATTTTAAGAGCATTAAAATTTTCCATTTTTCATTTTTTCCCGCCTACGTATAATATTGTCCTAATTGGCTTCATTATATAATATTGCTGATAGGTAACGTTATAGAAAGGACACTCCCTTTATTAATTAAATTAAATCGACAGTCATATACGATAAGGGATAATATTTCTATGTACCGCCGCAAGGACAATGGATTTATTATCTTTTAATAGTGCACTTCAATTTGACAGGAAACTTTTTTCTTTTTTATTTATTTGAAAAAAATTCTAATAATGCGTAATAATGCAAAAAATATATATTTATTCTCAAAGGTTTGCTTAATGTGTTTATTGATTGCATTCGGTATGATGTTTCTCATTATGTATCGATATTTAAAAACACCAACAACAACGACAATTGAAACAACTGCTTATCCAATTTGGGATATTGAATTTCCTGCTATTACTATTTGTAATCATAATAAAGTGTATCTTCCAGCGGCTATTAATATCACAAATACTTTGTAAGTATAATTCTCTAGAAACCTTTTTCTATCTGCTTGAATAAATTTTAGCCCTTGAGTTCTAAATGTTTAAATGAACGATTTTTTTATTGTCTTTTCAAATTTGAATTTTGTTATTAAAATATTATTGCGACAAGTAACAAATTTTTTTTAATTCAAAAAAATGTTTTAATTAAACGTATTTTATAATTGAATTAAATGTAATTTTTACTGAATCAAACTTATTATGTATCGAATCAAAATTATTATGTTTAATTTAAAAATAATTTTTTGTTGACTCTTTAACAAAGATAATTGTGTTTGATTCGAATATATATTGTTTTCTCAGTGTATTTTCTATTGGGTTTTTTTTTTCTCTATTAGTGACAATTATGGCAAAAAATTTCTTTGAACGTTCAGAATTAAGGGATTATTTTTTCAATATTTGTTATAAATTAAAAGTATATTAAACTTTAATTGTGAGTTAAATTTTTTTTAATAATCTTAAAGCTAAAATAATGCAGGTTAGAGAAGGGTATTAAGCAAGAGGAAATCGATACTTTTATCGATTTACTGCCGCAATTAATTAGACCCTCATTACAAAAAGGAAATTCTCAAAGGGAAACAAATTTGTCTACGATTTTGGATCGAATCGGAAAAACGTGGGAAGAACTTATGTTTGACGTAAATAATAATCTCTTATCTTTATATCTATATTGTAGATTTTGCATATTATAATAATTATAAATCTCTAAAAAAAAATTCATTATTATTATTACTATTACGAATATTCTTGTTCTTATAGTTTTGATTTCTAAAATTTATTTTACAATTTCTGACAAGTTTCGATTAATAAATTAAAATTATAAGAATTTATTTTAATATTAATTAAATTAATTAAAATAATAATAATAATAATTATCTAATAATTATTATAATTATAGGAAAATTATTATTAATATTATTGTTATTATTATTTTTATTGTTATTTTTATTATTAGGTAATTATTTCGATAGTTTCTTAAAATTCTTCATTTTATAAATCTTCTCGCAGTTGATGCAGCCTTGTAGTAGAATGCTTCGTATTTGCATTTGGCTTGATAAAGAATACGATTGTGATAAAATTTTTAAACCCACAAAATCGAGCGAGGGATTCTGTTGTTCCTTTAATTATCACGTGAGACATAAGAAAACTTTGTAAGAGATATTTTTTCTTAATTAAAATTAGCTAACTAAAAAATCCGTGAAAATTTGAATTTTTAAATTTTAACTGAGTTAGAAGCAAAACAGTCAATTGAGGGTCAATTCTCAATTATGAAATTTAATTTCTACTTTCACTTTCATTTTCACATTTACTTTAAAAGATTTTTATTTTCATTGTTATAAATTCTTATTTTTTACTTTCATTTACAATTTCACTTTCACTTTGACTGATTTTTATTTACGCTTTGACAAATTTTTATTTTTCGTTTTATTTTCACTTTCCTTTATTTTTATTTTCACTTTCCTTGACTTTGTTTTATTTTCATTTTCACTGTGATAGATTTTTATTTTCACCTTCTATCAAAGTGAAAGTGAAAATAAAAATTAATGAAAATGAAAATGAAAATGAAAATGAAAATGAAAATGAAAATGAAAATGAAAATGAAAATGAAAATGAAAATGAAAATGAAAATGAAAATGAAAATGAAAATCTGTCGAAGTAAAAATGAAAGTGAAAACAAAAATCTTAGAAAGTAAAAATTAAAAGAAAATTAAAAGTTGTCAAAGCGAAAATAAAAAAGAAAGTAAAAAATTTGTCAAAGTGAAAATGAAAGTGAAGTTAAAAACTGTCAAATTAAAAGTGAAATTGTTAATAAAAGTAAAAATAAAAATTCATAATAATGAAAAAGAAAATGAAAATAAAAATCTTCTAAATTGAAAGAGAAAATGAAAGTCAAACTAAAAATAAAATTACATAATCGACCCCCTGACTTAACACAATTAAAATTTCAACTAATTCATAATTAATTTCAGAATTAATTAATTAATAAAAAAACATAATCTTTTTTTATTATTTAATAAATTACATATAATAAATAAATTTAATAAATCTTTTTATTCGTTCCCTTTGTTTTTGGCATCAGAAACGTTGATAATTCCACTGAAGAAAATGCAAATTTGAATAAAACTAAAGAAGAGGAACTGCCAGGCGTTGATGAAATTCAAGTAGGTGATGCTTATTTCAAAGATGATTATATCTCATCTTTTCCATATATATTTTAATTGCCTTTCTATTTTTCATTAGTCCGTGCCCGGTGCTGGCAGAGATTTAGGTCTAACAGTGCATTTTGATCTTGAAAGTGAATATTATAGAGGCAGCATAAGACCATACATTGGAGCATCAATTTTGGTTCATCATCCAAATGAATTTCCTGAAGTTGATTTGCGATCAGTTATTATTCAGCCAACTCAAGAAGTTACTGTTTTACTGTCGGGAACAGTTGTTGAGAGTGAACCGGGCGTTCGCTATTTGCCAGTGGAATTGAGAAATTGTTTATTTAAAGACGAGGTGCGTGTGTGAAATTAAAAAATTCAAAATTATATGTTTTATGTGAAAAATTATATAACTTTTTATAATTATATAATTTTTTTAATCAATAAAATAACAACAAAAAAATGATAAAAAATTTGTTCTGCAACAAAAATGATTGCAGAAAAAGCTGGATATTAGCTCTACTTATGGATATCAATCTTGCGTCTCGCAATGTAGAATACAATTTATTGTGACTAATTGTAAATGTAGTCCATTCTACTATCCTAAAATTTGTAAGTTTTCAACGTCTATTATTATATTTTTCTCTCCAACTTTGTACGTAAATTAATTTATTTCAATTCAATTATTTAATTAGCAATTAAACTGTATTTAATAATCGTAAGTATCTTTTTCCGTTAGCAAATTTATTTGCAAACAAATTTATTTTCTTGTTTTGAAAATTAATTGTATAATAATAATAATTACATAATTACCATTCATGAGTCATTCCAGATGAAATTTTCATTGTAAATTTCTTTTTTTTTTTTGTACAAATTTTTTCGAATTGCATATGAAAAATAAGAAAACACGTATTTTTTTATTTTCTAATTGGATGAAAATTGTGGAAGTTGTGATTTTTTTAAATTAAACTTCTTAAAGAGCCGAAAACTTTTGGAACACGTTTTTCTCTAATACTAATGGAGATAAAAAAAATTTTACTTTATTAAATTTATTCGTTTTTTTCTCCAATTTTTTAGATATTCAATAAAAAATTACGTTTCTTCAACAAAAGTATTTATAAAAATTGAATTCTTCGGCTTTTGAAGAAGTTGAATTTAAAAAAGTCACAACTTTCACAATTTTCATCCAATTAAAAAATAAAAAAATGCCTGTTTTTTTATTTTTCACATACAATTTGAAAGAAATTGTTCAAAAAAAAAATTTTTTTTTCGATGAAAATTTCTCCTGGAATGTGTGCGAAAAGAAGATGTTTTCCGATGAGTTTGTAAGTTGCTGCTCTCGCTTCGCTCAAGCAGCCACTTACAAACTCATCGGAAAACATCTTCTTTTCGCCCTTGGTTCACAATCTACTATTTTACAAAATATCTTTTCTAAAAAAAAAATTTCTAAACAAAAATCTAGAAAAAAAATTAAGTACGACATTGTCAATATTGGCAAAATAAAATATTGACAATACCCAGAAACTTATAATTGTTAAAGTTTATTTTTTATACTTCAAAGAGTTAAAATAAAGTGAATTGAAAATTTAATTCTAATTAGTTAATAATTAATAATTAATAAGAAAATAATAATTTAATTTAATTGTTTAAACTTTTAATCGTTCTATTTATTTTAATTTATTGTTGCTATAGATCGCAATGTAAGAACTTGTGGGCTTGAAGACATTAAATGTTTACAATCAATAAGAAGTAAGTTGGAAAATAATTACCATTTATTATAAATTCTCTCATTAATTTGTTATAATTTTTATTTTAGAAAATTATTATAAATTCTCTCATTAATTTGTTATAATTTTTATTTTAGAAAATTATTATAAATTCTCTCATTAATTTGTTATAATTTTTATTTTAGAAAATTATTATAAATTCTCTCATTAATTTGTTATAATTTTTATTTTTTAGAAAATATTTCCGAACTGCAAACAGTTAGTGATGTGAAAGCTTTTGAAGCGAGTACTACAGAAGAAATCCCCGAAGAATTTTCGGAAGAAGCAGATTGCAATAATTGCTTTCCTCTATGCAGTGATAATTGGTACACTTTGGACACTGAAAGCGCTTTTATGGAATCATTTCCCAATAACATGATTTTATTGTAAGATGTCAATAATATTTTCTTCCATTTACAATTTTTTTTTTGTTTTTTATTAATTTTTTTTGTCCATTTTTTTCATTTTTAAATTATTTTTTAATAATTAAAATATTTGTTAATTTTTCAGAAATGGTTTGAATATCAATAAAACTTCTACGGCTCTGATATATTTTCGTGATATTACTTGTATAAAATATAAAAGAGGCAAATGGAAATCTTGGAACGATTTAGTTGGTATGTATAAAAATAAATTTATTATTAAATTGAATTTTTTTAAATTTTAATTAAATTATTATAAATTAATTGAAATGAATTTTTTTTTCTAGCGTCACTTGGCGGTATTTTGGGCCTATGCGTTGGAGGTTCCTTTGTCAGTGTGGTAGAAGTAATTTATTTTTTCATCATAAACCGATGTTTTAGAAAGGGATCGAAAAAATCTTCTCAATTGTTTGTTATGAGTTCAAGTGCTTCATCAAACGTTGATCAATCAAAGAGATCGGAAAATAAAAATAATATTTTCTTCGTTGAGAAAAAAATTTCCCCTTCTGCGAAATTAAATAATTCGGATGAAATTCTTCAGTGCAATATTTTAACTGAATAATGGTGGCATCTACCATTCATGTCTAATTGTTTTAATTTAATGATTTTTTTACAATGTAAAGAAAAATTAAATTAAATTTCAAACTTTTTTATTTTGAACGTAAAAATTTAGATAAAAGTTTTTATATTTAAAAAAAATTTTTAATTTTTAAAATAAAAATAAAAGTTTGAATAAAAATTAAATATAAAAATATACTGAACATATGTAATATAAATGTTTCAATCGCCAAAAATTAAATACCCTAATAATAAACAAAAACACATATATCACTTTGTAGTAAAATTTTAATGTTCAAGTTTCAATAATTTACAGTTTGTAACAATAATTTTTGACTAAAACATAATCGAGCGGTGAAATACCAAATATTATTTTCACAACAATAAAAATAATACCCAATACCTACAAATTATTTTTTATAATAATAATACAAATAATTTTATTAATAATAATAATAATAATATAATAATAATATGTATATTTACAATTAAAAAACAAAAATTGCACTACGCATAATTGTCACCTAATTAACCTACTCATGTTAAAAAACTAAAAGAAAAAAGTTTCTAAAAAAGAAATATAAAAAATGAAAAGACAAAAAAAAGTCTATTTTTGAGGCGAAAATAAATTCGCGTTTGTAAAAATATTTTCGTACAGTAATATTTTTCGTATTTTATATTAGTTAAAATTCACCATTATTCTTCCTGCGAAAATGTTTTTTTTTCCAATCCGCAACAGTCGATGTGTAAGTACAATTTAATTACAATCTGTATATTTTTTTTTGTATTTGCAAAAAATAAAGGACTTTAAAGAGAATAATTTTTTTGTCGAGCTATTTCGAATAAAATTTTTATCCTTCTATTATATATAATTATTTATAAATTATTATATTATGAAAAATTACAATCTGCGAGAAGAATATTGTGAAATTCTATTTATATTTAAAATCAATTTAAAGTCCCATATTGTGCAATAATTGTGAAATTGAAGCGTGGTGGTATTTTCAATTATAATTTATAATATAGGCCATTTTTGGAATTTGATGTCACAATACGCATTGATCCTTTTTTTATGGCGATGATAATTATAATAATTGTAAATATGTAATAAATTCTTAATAAATGAATTATTTTTTCCGTGAATCGTTTAAAATCTACGCAGTACGATCTATTTTTTTTACAGTTTCACAACCGTGAAGAAAATATCAAGCATGTTTAATAGAAATTAATTGGTTAAAATAATTTTCTATCATCGGGGGATATTTCGATCCTTATTTGCATTTTTTCTTCTTTTTCCAACATTGGCGAAGTTTACAAAGTTTACAAAGTTTACAAAGTCAACAATTTGGAAGAGAAAATATTTTTCTAATCAAATTTTTGTAATTTTCCATCAATTTTGAATTTTTCGTTGGGAAAATATTTTTATAAATTTTTTTAGATATTTCTTTACTTGTTTTTACAAATTTTTCTTATTAATTATTTTGAAGAAGAAATGTTTATTCTTTTGCGCGTGGGAAATATTTTTTTCCATTAATCGATGACTATAAACATTTGCGAAATTCACCGACGTTTATTTATTTATTTTTTTTTTATTGATTCGCAATTAAAATAAAAATGTTATTCTAAAATGCCTCTTCTCATCTAAACAGTCTTACTATTAAATACGATTCTAGGAAAAATTACTATAAAACTTTCAACTACATATTTTTCTAAAATTGTTAATTCAAATTAAGCATTCGTAACAATCAGCATTAAAAAAAAGTATCGTTTTGCCGTTTTTAATACTTTTGAACATATATTGAGTGAGACAGTTTAATTAATTCTTTAAATAAAATTGAACGATTTAAAAGATTCTCTTTCTATAGTTAAGTTATTCTATTTTACAATTTTTTTTAATTGAGATTTTACTCATGTTCGTAAAGTTTCGAAGGTTCAAATGAACCTTTACTAAAAATTTACTAAAATTTTTAACGAATTCAATGTTTATAAAATATTTTTGAACCCTTTTTGGATTTTTATTTTTTCTAAAAAATAAAAATTGATAGACTTTGAAATCAAATCGTAATTTTGTATAAAATATGTTTTTGTATCTAAAAAAATTCCAAATGAAAAAAAAAATGATTTTTACTACTTGAGGATCAGAAACTCTTTCTTTTTTTTGATTTCTAAAACCGTTTTTCAAAATTCAAAAACAAAATTAAGAAATACAATATAATTATAAAGTACAAATTTAGAAATAAAAATAAAAAATCGTTTTTATTTATAAACTAGTTTGAATCGTCGAATTATATTATGGATGGCATTTGAATCATAAACTCTAATCCACCAAATACAAACATCTATATTCCGTATAACAATTATTTTTTTTGCTAAGTATACTATATTATACGTTGTCTTTTACGCACATCAAATATTAATTATCAACTCTGAAGATTAGGATACGGTACGCATTTTTTTTTTTCTCTAGTCCTGTCCACAGAACATTTTTTTTTATAGGAACGAGAATTACTAAGTATTTTTCGCATTTCTCTCTGCGTCTAAGGTGCAAAACCAAAGTATAAAAGGCACTTTGAACGAAATGAATTGAATTTCTGTTTTTAATAAATTTTTTTTTTAAATATAATTGCTATTCAACAAAAAAATTATACTTTTTTCGAAAATTTCTTTCTTTCATCTTTTTTCTATATAACTTACAAGTTTATTATAAAAATTTATATAAATTCGTCGTTAGAACAATAAAATTATTTTAAATATTGCACGATAATGTATTTTTTGTACAAAAGAAAATTGTAAATTTTTTTTCTTTTTGATTTTAAATACACGTTGTTTTTCGATATGTTACAACAAAAAATTTAATAATAAAGAAATTTGATAAAAAAATTTATAAAATATTTAATAATAAAGAAATTTAGTTAAAAATTGAATAAAGTATTTAATAATAAAGAAATTTAATAAAAAACTCAATAACTAAATTGAAGAATAAAAATATTGAATAAAAAGTTTAATTTGAAAAATTTAACGATAGAAATATTTAATAATAAAAGTAATTAGTAATTGGGGCATTTCAGGTGAAACTTTTTTTAGATATTTTTTTTTTGTTTGGAACATTTTTTTCGAATTGTGTATGAAAAATAAGAAAAGACGTATTTTTTTATTTTCATATTGAATGAAAATTGTGGAATTTGTTATTTTTTAAATTCAACTTCTAAAGAAGCCGAGAACTTTAGAAACACGTTTTTCTCTGATACTAATAGAAGATAAGAAAAAATTTACTACACAAAATTTATTCGTTTTTTTTTTTAAGTTTTTAGACATTCAATAAAAAATTTTGGACCCATAACGAAAGGATCTAAAAAATTGAAATTAATTCAAAAATAAAATTAATCGATCACTTGGTTTTGAAAAATCATTTTTTAAGAATTAATTTCAATTTTTTCGATACTTTCGTAGAAGATACGTAATTTTTTATTGAATATCTAAAAACTTTGAGAAAAAACGAATAAATTTTATGTAGTAAATTTTTTCTTGTCTGCCAGAAGTATTAAAGAAAAACGTGTTTCCAAATCTTCGGCCTCTGAAGAAGTTAAATTTTAAAAAATCACAACTTTCACAATTTTCATCGAATAAAAAAATTAAAAAATACGTGTTTTCTTATTTTTCATGACAAACTCAACAAAATTGTTCCGTACAAAAAAAATTTTATTAGTGAAAATTCCTCCCGGAATGACCCAATTAATAATTTAATAATAAAAATTGAATTCGATTAAGAGTTAATATACTGAACATTAAATTTCTTTTAATTCGAATAATCAATTATTTGTCTATCGTGAAATAAATATTGATTTAAATTAAATAGAATTTTAAATGGTGTTTGCTTCAAATACTGAAATTATTGGTTCAATTAAAATTTATTTAATATATTTATTTCAAATATTTATTTAAATAAAAATTATTTGATTCAATATAATATATAGTATTAAATATAACTATATAGTATCAAAATTATTTGATAATAGACAAGTAATCGGTTATTTGAATCAAATAAATTTTTTTTCATTGTAAAATGATAAAATAAGTGTATAAATAATAATGTGCAAAGAAATGTATAAATGATCATGATTTAAGTTACAAATTGTCGTTTTCTTTTTTTAAGAACTTTAGTAACAAAAATTACTTTTCACTTCGTTACTTAAAATAAGTATTTTTCACCCCCGAACCTGCACCATATTCCTCATATTCACAAGCACATAAATATTTTTTATTCATTACTGCATGAATAACTTTCATTCCTTCATTTAATAAATTATTTTTTTTTTTTTACTTTCTTTGACAATCACCCAAAGCAATTTTCTTTGCTACATTTTTTATTTTTTTCTCTCTCTATATATATAAAAGTAAGCTCTCATCAAGCCCCTCATTGGACCCCGTAATGAAAACTCTTTTCTTTCATCCATTCAATTATGTATGGAATAATTTTTATCTATATTATAAAGTACTCAGTGCTAAGAGACTGATCGACATTTTTTTTTTTTTCATTTTTTTAAATTGAAACAGTCAGGTGCCATTAGCTTGAGCATATTTTCTAAATATTGCAAAAATGAATTTCAATCTTGATTCTTTCTTCTTCTGTAAAGAAATTCTTTTTTTCGCACTTTTTTTTCAATTATCCACTGAGACAAGTTCAACAATTTATTAATCTAAATATTTTGTGTTCGGCAAAAAGATTATATCTATAAAAAATTTGTCTAAAAAACTTTTATACGCGTTTGCTGTTATTTTTCGTATGTTTGACGATTGAATGTAATATTTTTATAGAAAAGCGAATTTTTTGTTATTGACAATCAGTCTGCAGCATAATAGAAAAATCATGACATGATGAAATTGATGAATGGCCTTAAAAATGATACAACAATTATTATTACAATTAATTCACAGCTTTGCTTCCTCGAGTCACTGTGGTGTACTGAAATGGCTTTTCGCTTATCCTTTAATTTCTACCTCAGTCAAAGGCATTTTCCTGGATTCTGAGAGCACCAATGTGGCCACATTGCTTCTATTTTAAGTCCCCGAGCCGTCAGGATATCCATGTGTGTGGATAATCTTGTGTAGACATTTTCTTCTACGGAATAGCCGTTCGCTGGCAAATCACTCCTGAAATTAAATATTCAAGTTTTAACGAATTTGGAATTTTTTTTTAGAGCTGCCGATGAGAAAACAATTTTTTTCTAGGTTTTTTTCGTGGTTTGATTTGAATTTGTATTTTTTATCAAGGTTGCCACAAAAATTTAATTTTGTTTTTCCCTGACTTTTCACTGGTTTCCAGAAAAAATTTTGACTTTTACCCTGACCTTGAAGAATGTAAATAATTACAAAAATTTTTTGCAAGAATTCAATTACATTTCACAAATAATGAAATTCTTAGCTGAAATTTAAATATCTTCAAAATAAACTTTAATAAAAGTTCACTTTAACTTTAATAAATTTTTCCAAAAGAATTCAATTATTTTCATAAATAATAAAATTCTTTACAGGATTTTAATTATTTAAGAAAAATTTAATAAAAATTCGTTGCAAGAATTCAATTATTCTCCTAAATAATAAAATTCTTTACAGGATTTCAATTATTTTTATTATAATTTTATGTAAATTCTTCAAAAAATGTATTTATTTTCAAAAATTTTATCAAAATTCTTCGAAAGAATTCAATTATTTTTAATAATATTTTTAAAAGTTCCTTGACAATTTTCAAAACCATTTGTTTACAATTCAATTTTTCGAAATTTCAATTATTTGGAAATTCTTCAATTATACATATTTAAAAAATAAAAACTTCAAATAATAATTTCAAGTAAAATTCAATTAAACTTTTTCACAAAAATTAATTCTACAGAATTGTTAGTTAAAAATATGAAAAATTCAAATTTTCAACGATTTTAATTGGAACCCTTTTCACAAATTCATTTATTTCTAAAAATTCACGCCATAATGCTTTTAATATTCAATTACAATTTAAAATTTTTAATGAAATTTATTTTTTAATCAATTTTTATTTGAAAATTTTTCGAGAATTCAATTATTTAAATATAAAAATAAATAATTTATTAAATAATTGAAGATTTCATAAAATTACATTTTTATGAAGAATTTTATCAAAATTTTTAAAAATAATTGAATTTCTTCGGCGAATTTTAGAAAAAGTTTAAGAATAAATGCAATTTTCTATCATTTTATTTAAAATTGTATAAAAAATTAAAAAATAATTTAAATTCTGCGATAAGTTTTATTATTTATGATATATGAAAATTGTTTAATTCTTGCAACGAATTCTTTGGAAGAAATTTTTTTTAAATTTCTTAAATAATTGAATTGCTTCGAAGAATTTTATATTTTACGAAAATAATTGTATTCTATGATCAATTTTATTATAATTTTTCTATAAAGCATTTTATAAAAATTTTTTAAAATAATTAAATAAATTAAATAATTCTTTTGGAAAATTTTATTAAAATAGTAGATATTATAAATAATTGAAATGAGGAAAATTTTTAAAAATAATTGAAATTTTGCCATGAATTTTATTAAATCTTTTGAAAATAACTGAATTTTATTGTTTTTATTGTTTATTATTTTAATATTATTATTATTATTATTTTATTGTTTATAAAGATTAATAAAATTTTGACAAGAATTTTTTTAAATTAATTGAATTGATGCGAAGAAGTTTATTACTTTTGAAAATAATTGAATTTCTGAAGCAGTTGTTCTTAAAATTTCATTAAAAGATTTTAAATTAATGTTTTTACCAAAAACAAAAATTTCAACCAAAAATTGAAAAATTCTTTTACAAAAAATGTCTTTTTTAAAATATAAAATAATATTTAGTTATATATTTAGAGAAAAACTTTCCTTTTCTTTAAACTTTAGTAAAATTTTAATTTCTTTAACAATAAAAAATATTTTTTGTCGATTTTTTTAGATTATTTAAACTTGAAACATTTTTTCAAGAATTTATTATTTATTATTAAATTATATGACATTTAAATTATTAAAATTTCTAACATATGTAACCTGAAATCATAGTTTTTCTTCCCTAAAAAAATTCCTTTACAAAAATTGTAAATTAAATTTTTTTTTTATTTTTCTAAAGTTATGAACGTTCAAATGAGCGAAATATTTTTTTGTGTTCTAATATTTTTTTTAAATTACTAGTCTGAAATAAAAAATATGCAAATTGAACAGTTAAAATTTTTTTTTTTAATTTATAAAAATGCAATATTTTGTAATAAAATAAAAAAAAAATGTATTTAAAAAAATGTCGTTCATTTGAACGTTCAAAACTTTAGTGTCATTTTTTTAAGTTAGAATAATATTTATATTAATATTTTAGAAAAAATTTACAAAAAATTCTTTTACAAAAATTAAAAAAATATTTAGTTACTTTAAGATTTATTGAATATTTTAGTGAGAATTTTAATTTTTTAAATCTTAAATAACTTTTTTTATTGATTTCCTTGGAGAATTTAAACTTTACAAATTGCAAAAATTTAGGCTATTCTAAATTTAGTACCTAATAATTTTCATGATGTAAAGTTCGTAAGTTTCGTAAAGTTATATTCTTAATATAATATTAAAAAAGAAATCGAAACCATTAGGAAATGTAAATTCTAAATTTTGATATGAATTGAAATTCCACTTGACTCTCTACTGAAAAATTGACGAAAATTCCTGGTCGGTAAATTTATTTTACTTCCAGAGAAGAGTAAATTTAGAAAATAGAATAAAGATTAATGTTAATTAATTAATCTTCAATTTAATTAACCTGTATTCACATTGACTCTGAGTCTATTGTTCATCTCAACATTTCTACTCGTTAATTAATTTACATCATGAGTAAGAATTTGTCACTTTAAAGATGTACTTGAATTAGAGACTGAAAAGCAATTATCAATCTATCCAAGTGAGGTTAATCATTAATTAATTTAATGAAATTTGAAATTGACTGTAAATTGAGAAAATCAATAATATATTGTCTGTACCATAATCTCTCGGCAAGTGCTGAGGCCCTGGGCCAAAGTCGTGGTCCTAAGGACGCTTGTCCTACTTGCTCGCTCCAAATAGCAGCTTCTCCCCCGAGAATGAGATTCCATTGTTTTTGTGGATAATCCCGCCAGGGCCTGTGATTATAGACAGTTTGCCAAGTGCGATATTCTCCGCAAGCCGCTTCACCAGTTTCTCTCCATCTTCCAAAACCACAATCCAAATACCATCCATCCACGTGCGATAGAATTACTCGGAATCCATCTTCTAATAGATCCTGTGTTTCTTGCCAGCTACTCGCTCCCCACGATTGAATCACATGGACCTTGGGATCAAAGTACGCTGCGATGTGGGGCTTTTTCGTTAATGGCGAACTCCATACAATCACTGCTTGAGGAACCTTATCCTGATTCACCTTCAGTATCCTCAACATTAATTTCATCTCGAAATCTCCCCACAGTGCATAGAGATCGGTGATATTTTGTGCTTGCATCGCTGACGTTATGTTTGAATACTGGGCCCAACAATCGAGATTCACCTCATCGCCGCCAAGATGAATGATGTCGCGCACTTCAGTTAAATCGAGAAGTTCTTTATAGAGGCCCTGAATTATTCGGTAGGAATGCTCGTTGATTGGATTCAGTTGTCCGCAATTGGGCTCGCCGCAATATGACGGCCAGGGCATTTGATCTATGCAGAGGGACAATTCGCCTAATCCGTGTTCAGGACCTGAAAATGGGAAAATTTCAGTCAGTTGGAAAATTCAGTTTTCTTAGGAATCTTAGTTCTATTTTCCTTGTTTGGAATCGATGCAGAAAAATGAATAAAGCGTGAAAATAACAGAATTTAAAGAAGTGTTAATTAAGAGCAGCAATTTATTTTACAGGATTGTTACTTGACCGAATTTTTACTTGATAGAATATTATCGTTTGACAGAAATTGTCATTTTAATGAATTGCTATTTCAGCGAATTAAATGAATTATCATTTAACCGAATTACTATTACACCGATTTGTTATTACACTAAATTTTCATTTTACCGAATATTCATTTAACTGAATTGTCACATAACAGAATTGAGATTTGCCAAAAATATCATTTAACTGAATTGTTATTTACCCAAATAGTCATTTAATTGAATCGTCATTTGAGCAATAATTGTCAATTAGACAAATTGTTATTTTTCTGAATAGCCACTTAACGGATTTATTTTTTTTTCGAATAGCCACTTAACCAAATTATTATTTGTCCGAATTGACACTTAACCGAATTATTATTTGTCTAAATAGTCACTTGATGCGACAATTTTGTCAAATGACAAATTATGACTTGGAAATTTAGTAAAGTAAGAATTTTATTTAGTTTTCATTTTCAGAAAAATGATAATTTTGGTTATTCGTTCGAATAATAATTCAGTTACTTGACTATTCGGGCAAATGACAATTCGGTAAATTAAGAATTCGAAATTCTTAAAAATTCTCAAAAATTATAATCAAATTCTTTAAAACGATTCAATTGTTTTTAAAAAATATTCTAAATTCAATTACTTTTCAATATCTAGTATTTTCATAAAATTTCTCAAAAGAATTCAATTATTTAAAAAAAATTGATAAAATCCATCCAAAATTCAATTATTTTCATAAATAATAAAATTTTCACAAGAATTCAATTAAGTTAGACTAGCATTTTCAAAAAAAAAATTCGAAAAAATCAATTATTTAACAAAATTTTTATACAATTCTTCACAATAATTTAATTACTTCCACTAATAATAACATTTTTCATGAAAATTCAATTTTTTGAAAAAAATTTATGATAAAATTCTAAGCAAGAATTCAATTATTTTCATAAATAATAAAACTCATCAAAGAATTTCAATTATTTTTAATACAATTTTAAATTAATTATTAATCGAAAAATTCAATTATTTTCACAAATAAAGTTTTCCACAAAATTTCAATTATTTAAAATAAAATTTTCCCTAAATTATATTTCGAAAAAATTAATTATTTAAAACAATATGTTTATAAAATTCTTATAAAGAATTCAATTATTTTGAAAAATAACCAAATTTTTTACAGAAATTCAATTCTTTTTAAACATTTCAATAAAATTTTTCACATTAATTCAATTATTTTCATAGATAATAAAATTATTCTCAGGAATTCAATTATTTTCATAAATAATAAAATTCATTGCAGGATTTCAATTATTTTTAATTCAATTACTCAAAAAATTTAATTATTCTTAAAAATTTAATTTCCATTCCTCGAAAAAATCAGTTATTTAAAAGCACGTAGGTTTAAAATTCTTTTCGAACAATTCAATTATTTACAAAAATATTATAAAATTTTTTACAAGAATTCAATTATTTTCAAATATTTTAATAAAATTAAATTTTTATGAAATAATTCAATTATTCTTTTAGAGTTTAATCAAATTCTTCCCAAGAATTCAATTATTTACATAAATAATTCTTTGTAAAATTTAATAATTATTAAAAACTTTTCACAATTCAATGATTTTCAATATCTACTATTTTCATTAAATTTCCAAACAGAATTCAATTATTTAAAAAAAATTTGTAAAAATCTTCGTAAGAATTCAATTCTTTTCATGAATAATAAAAATTTCTCAGGAATTCAATTATTTAAATTAGAAATTGCATAAAATTAGTCGAAAGAAATCAATTATTTAAATTTTTTTATAAAATTCTTCGCGAGAATTAAATTATTTTTATAAATATTTGAATTCTTTCATAAATAATAAAATTAGTTGCAGGAATTCAATTTATTAAGAAAGAAGTATATATTTTTGATGAAAATTAGGAAAAAGTCAGTAAAATAAAAAATATGGAATGTAATTTTTGTCAGTTTTGTGAAGTGTCTAAAACGAGTTTTTTTGGTCGTCAAGTTTAATTTTTGATAGCTACTAATTAACTACTTTCTTTAATTTGAAAGCTACATTTTGCAACTTTTTTAAAATTAATTATCGAGTGCGAAGTTTGCTATTCGGTAAAAGGAACAATTGTTCCTTGTTAATTGGAATGGCAATTCGGTTAAGTGCCTATTAGCTTAGGGCAAATAAAAATTCAGTGAAACAGCATTTTCTTGAAATCATAATTCAATCAATTAACAATTCGGTCAAGTGACTATTTAGAAAAATAACAATTTGGTCAAATAGCAATTCAACTAATTGACTATTCGGAAAAATATCAATTTAGTAAAATTACAATTCATTCAAATGATAATTCGGTAAAGTGACTATTTAGGAAAGTAACATTTTGGTGAAGTGGGAATTCGTTTGAAATGCCAATTGCGTCAAATGGCAATTCGGTAAAGTGTCTATTTAAAAAAATAACATTTCGGTGGAGGAGGAATTCCTTTAAATTGACAATTCGGTAAATTAACTACATATTTGGAAAAAATAGTAACAGTTCAATGAAATAGCAATTCCTTGAAATAACAATTCAGACAAATTTTTATTTTGGATCATAAAAATTCCTTGAAATTAGAGTTCGTTGAAATGGAAATTCGGTCAAATGATAATTGGGTTAACTGACTTTTCGGTGAAATAAAAATTCGTTAAATGACTATTATTAAGTGACAATTGTGTCAATGAACAATTAGCTGAAATGACAATTGGGTCATTGGACAATTAGCTGTAATGACAATTGGGTCATTAGACAATTAGCTGAAAGGACAATTGGGTCAATAGACAATTAGCTTAAAGAACAATTGGGTCAATGGACAATTCGGTTAAGTGACTATTCGGCGAAATAAGAATTCAGTCAAACGACAATTCGGTTAGTTACTATTCACTGAAATAACAATTTACTAAATGTTAATTTAGCCAAATAAAAATTAGATTTTGTGGCTATTTCGAAAGATAATAATTCGGTCACATGAAAGTTTGGTTAAATGACAAATCGGTTAAGTGACAATTGGGTCAAAGGACAATTAGCTGAAATGATAATTGGCTCATTGGACAATTAGCTGAAAGGACAATTGGGTCAAAGGATAATCAGTTGAAATAGCAATTGGGTCAATGGACAATTAGCTAAAAGGACAATTGAGTCAATGAACAATTCGGTTAAGTGACTATTCGGTGAAAAAAGAATTCGTTAAATTGACATTTTGGTCAAATGGCAGTTCAGTTAAATTACAATTTGGGAAAATTACAATTCGGCGAAATAGAAATTCGCTAAAATGTCAATTGCCATTTGTCCCAATTGACATTTTACTTAGTGCAACCGCACAAAGTAAAATTGCGTCCAAATGAAATCTTGCCAATCGACAATATTCTTTTACGTGACAATTATGAATTTCAGTCAATTGACAATTTCTATACAAAATCTGATTATGAAATTTTTATGCATCCTCTAAATGAAGCGATGTTTAATTTTCTAGAATTAAACATTTTTCCTCCCCCCCCCGCCCGCCCTCGCCACTTTCCTGAAATCAATTAAAACTGAATGAATATTAATTGACAGTTTTGGAAGCAAATGAAAATATCGAATTCAAAGTGTGCAAGTTGCACATCAATATTCAGCGGGGGTAACATTTGTTGAATGCTACTCAGAACGGCTTTTATCAAGGATTATACTTCATCTACTAACCCCATTGCCAACCAGCGCCGGCATGAGCTGGGGAATCAATCTCGATGAGAATTCTGATCCCCCTGATCCTTGCATAATGCACGAGATCTCGAACGTCCTCGGGAGTGTAAACTTGCTCTCCACTGTAGGCGCCCCAACGCGCCATTTCGGGAAAGATGGCCGAGTCAAATGGAAAACTTTGCGAATCCGTCAAATGCCAATGAAATGTATTGAGTTTCGAGGCGGACATTCCATCAATGACGCGCTTTAATTCATCAATGGGAAAATATTGCCGACCAGTGTCAATGAGAAGGCCACGATAGGGGAATTTTGGTTTGTCTTCAATTGTCGCCTGGCTCAAAACACGTAGCATTCCCTGTTTCCCAGCCGTCTCATCCCACCATATCATTTGACTTAGAGTTTCTAAACCATGACGAACTCCATAGTAAGTTTTCGCTGTAATCTTCGCCTCCAGGAGTTTCCCTCTCAGGGATATTTTCAGTTTATAAGACTCATCCGTGTTTAGACTTAATTTTGCATCTTTGGATTCTCCTGGACTTAGGTAGATGATAAAGTTATCAATTGTTGATCTCGCCTTTGCGTTTGGTACTTTTATTAAGCTCCGCACATTTCCTGTGAAAAAAAATATATTCAAATTAGGAATAACAAAATTTTGGAAACATTCTGTTTTTAATTCATTATTATTAACCATTGTCAAATCATTTGTATAATTTCAGATACAAATTTTTTAACCTTTACTTATTAACTAATTAACTATTATTTACTGTTTTATTTATTTGGCATTTTAAATTCTTCGTAGGAATTCAATTTTTTTTTTACAAACACTATTCTTCACAGGTATAAATACTATTCTTTACAGGAATTCAATTATTTTTTTTTATAGAAAATGAAATTCTTCGCAATAATTCAATTATTTTTTTCTACACAATAAAATTCTTTCCAGGAATTCAAATATTTTTTTCTATACAATAAAATTCTTCGAAGGAATTCAATTATTATTTCAAAAGTTTAAAAAAAAATTTTTGTATTAGAATTTAATTTATTTTTAAAAAATTTAATAAAATTCTTCCCAAGAATTCAAATATTTTTTTCTATACAATAAAATTCTTCGAAGGAATTCAATTATTATTTCAAAAGTTTAAAAAAAAATTTTGTATTAGAATTTAATTTATTTTTAAAAAATTTAATAAAATTCTTCCCAAGAATTCAAATATTTTTTTCTATACAATAAAATTCTTTGAAGGAATTCAGTTATTATTTCAAAAGTTTAAAAAAAAATTTTTCATAAGAATTCAATTATTTTTAAAAAATTTAATAAAGTCCTTCCCAAGAATTCAAATATTTTTTATAAATAGTTGAATTCTCCGTAGGAATTGATTTTTTTTTTATAAATAAATTCAATTATTTTTTTATAGAAAAAAATTCTTCGCAAAAATTCAATTATTTTTTTCTATACAATAAAATTCTTCACAGGAATTCAATTATTATTTCAAAAGTTTAAAAAAACATTTTGTATAAGAAATCAAATTATTTTTAAAAAATTTAATAAGATTCTTCCCAAGAATTCAAATATTTTTTTCTATACAATAAAATTCTTCGAAGGAATTCAATTACTATTTCAAAAGTTTAAAAAAAATTTTGTATAAGAATTCAATTATTTTTAAAAAATTTAATAAAGTTCTTCCCAAGAATTCAAATATTTTTTATAAATAGTTGAATTCTCCGTAGGAATTGAATTCTTTTTTATAAATAAATTCAATTCTTCGTAGGAATTCAATTATTTTTTTATACAAAAAAATTCTTCGCAAAAATTCAATTATTTATTTCTATACAATAAAATTCTTCCCAGAAATTCAATTATTATTTCAAAAGTTTAAAAAAAAATTTTCTATTAGAATTTAAATTATTTTTTAAAAATTTAATAAAATTCTTCCCGAGAATTCAATTATTTATTTCTATACAATAAAATTCTTCGCAGCGATTCAATTATTATTTCAAAAGTTTTAAAACAATTTTGTATAAGAATAAAATTATTTTTTATAAATAGTTGAATTCTTCGTAGGAATTTAATTCTTTTTTTTTAATAAATTCAATTCTTCGTAGAAATTCAATTATTTCTTTATACAAAAAATTCTTGTCAAATATTCAATTATTTTTTTTATAAATACTATTCTTCACAGGTATAAATACTATTCTTTACAGGAATTCAATTATTTTTTTATAGAAAATGAAATTCTTCGCAATAATTCAATTATTTTTGTCTACACAATAAAATTCTTTACAGGAATTCAATTACTATTTCAAAAGTTTAAAAAAAAATTTTGTATTAGAATTTAATTTATTTTTTAAAAATTTAATAAAATTCTTCCCAAGAATTCAATTATTTATTTCTATACAATAAAATTCTTCGCAGAGATTCAATTATTATTTCAAAAGTTTTTAAAAACATTTTGTATAAGAAATCAAATTATTTTTTAAAAATTTAATAAAATTCTTCCCAAGAATTCAAATATTTTTTTTTATACAATAAAATTCTTCGAAGGAATTCAATTATTATTTCAAAAGTTTAAAAAAAAATTTTGTATAAGAATTCAATTATTTTTAAAAAATTTAATAAAGTCCTTCCCAAGAATTCAAATATTTTTTATAAATAGTTGAATTCTCCGTAGGAATTGAATTCTTTTTTATAAATAAATTCAATTCTTCGTAGGAATTCAATTATTTTTTTATACAAAAAAATTCTTGTCAGAAATTCAATTATACTTTTTTCTATACAATAAAATTCTTCGCAGCAATTCAATTATTTTCAACACAAATTTCATAAAATTTTTCAAAAGAATTCAATTATTAATTTAAAAGTTCTGATAAGACTTTTTATGAGAATTCAATTATTTTTAAATAATTCAATAAAAATCTTCATACGATTTGAATTTAAAAAAATAAATAATAATAATCTTGTCACAAATTCAATTAATTTCAATACTGTTTTAATAAAATTACTTGAAAAGATTGAATTATTTTAAACATTTTCAATAACATTTTTTTGGAAGAATTATTTAATTCTTCCAAAAAATTTATAAAATTATAAATATAATTTTATTTATAATCCAATTTAATATTCCAATAAACTTATAAAATCTTTAATAAAATTTTACGTTAGAATTCAATTATTTTTAGTAGTATATTCGAATATTTTGATAAATAATAAAATTTTTCTCAATAATTTAATTATTTTTTAAAAATAATATTCCTGTCAGGAATTTAATAATTTTTAACAATTTAATAAAATTTTTCGAATAAATTTAATTATTAATTTTGAAGTTTTGATAATTTTTTTTATAAGAATTCAATTATTTTTTTATAAATAATAAATTTCTTCCCATGAAATTAATTATCAATTCAAAGTTTTTGATAACATTTTTTGTAAGAATTCAATTATTTTAAAAATATATTAAACAAAAATCGATTGAAAATTGCAAAAATTTTCAGAAATAAATACTCTTGTTGTTCGATAATTTAATTTCAAAGTATATACAAAGTTTATTTTAAAATATAAAACTTTTGCTAAATTAACAACTGTCAATCGAAAATATACGAACGACGCGAATTGTGCGAACGCTACAAAAAATCATTAGTTTCATTGAACACAAATAACGTTTATAACGTCAAACCAGACGATTTTTCAAATTGTTAGTTCGAAAATCGTCAAGCTTGACATAAACTTTGTGATCAAATTGAATTTTTAAAATACTAAAAAGCAAAACAGCAAGCGCATACAGATTAAATTTTTTTCCCCTTTAATACATTAAAACTTAAAAGTCTATTAAAATTTTTAATTCCGCAAAAATAATCCCTAAACCATAGAAATTAATTTTATTTTTTAAATCAGATATTTAAAAAGTTCTTGAATTTGCATTTGATTTCTGACATAAGATTCATTGTATTTCTAAAGTAATTAACATTTATTTCATGAATTATATTTGAATTATATTTGCATTCATATTAAAAAAAAAAAAATTTTTAATTATTTTTTTCTAGTCGAAATTCTTTTTTCGTTTCAAAGGAAAATTTCTAAATTTTTCTACATTTTTTGGACTAAATTCATAATGAATAGAAATTAGAAATCAATAAAGTTATAAATAAAAATTCGAAATTAGAATTAAAAAATTTTGAGAGCATCAATAATTAATTTCGTTTACATTGCTAAATAAATAAGGGAATATACTATCAATGTAAAATAAATAAACAATACATATATATTTGTATTACAAACAAATATGATTTCTATCGGCACGTTTTTCCAAAACGCAGTATTTAATTATTATAACACAAGTATGATTATACTAACAATGAGAAAATTATTTGTATTAAAATTTGTAATTGATAATGTAATCGCTGAAATATTGATTAAATGAACATTATATTATAAAAGAAGACTTAAAATGTTTGCTCATTAGCTAGTGAAAATTGAATGAAATATTAAATTGCGGAATGATGATTTGGAAATTTATTATTTTATAATTATTATATAAGTTTATAAATATCAATAATTATTAATTACAATTCTATTATGATGATATAGATTCATATAAAAGTGATAATATAATATCGAGAAAATGATTGATGTAAATTTTCTAAAATTATGAATAAAAATTTGAGGTAGAGAAAAATAATCTACTTGAACTATTTTCTATTAAATGGGAATTCAAGTTTATTTTCATTAAAATTTTTATTTTTCGAATATAAATTAACCTGACTTTTTTTTTTTTGCTTTAGAAAAATGTCTACTTAATGGAATATTAGATCATCAATCTATTAGTTGACAGAGCTTTCACACCTATATGCGGAATTTCTATTTAACGAACTTCTTTTTAAAGTAACTCTATAATTAAATAAGTTAATTAAATTTTTATCTACTTTTATTAGATTTTATTTTGTCTTTATATATATATAAATGTCTTTTTGTATGTCTTTATATATATATATATATATATTATTTGTCTTTATTTTTATTGAATTTTATTTTATTTTGTCCTTATTTTTATTAAATTTTACTTTATTTTGTTTTTATTTTTATTAAATTTTATTTTTTATCAAATCCAAATTTTTATTTATACGAATTGTCATTTGATGACAATTTTACTTTATAAAAACATTCCAGAAATGTTAGGTTTTATTTTGTAAGAAGTAAAATATTTTATTTTTACTTTTACATTTTTTTTACTTTTCTTCGAAAATAAGAAAATAATAATTTTACTAATTTTCCAATTGTCGTTTAAATTTCTCTGCCGCTTATTTTATATATTATATTTTTTCATGCTTTGACAAATGCTAATTCTGGTAAATGAAAATTCGTCGTTCCCCGATCAATTGAGAATTCGTACTAAATAATTATTCGGACAAATGCAAATTCGATGAAATTGAAATTTTGCGGGATTCAAAATTTCGACCCTCTTAAAATTCTGCTAAATAGACCGTAGAAAAAAGTAATCCCCATTTTAGCCGATTGCTCTAATTTTAATGCACATTTTCCTCTCGTGTATGATATCAAAATAAAAATTTTTGTATGAGAGGATTAACGTCTCGCTTGAATTAGTGCAAATTATTTGACAATTAAAATTTAATGTAAATTCAATTATTTTCAACAATTTTGATGAAATTCTTTTTTAAAAAAATTATTATTTTCAAAATTTTCAATAAAATTCCTTCAAAAAATTCGATTATTTCCAAAAATTCAGATAAAATTCTTCGAAACAATTCAATTATTTTGATGAATTGAAAAATCCTCCTCAAAAATTCAATTATTTTCATAAATAATAAAATTCTTCAAAGGGAATTAAATTATTTTCATAAATAATAAATTATGTTTCGGAGGAATTCAATTCAATTGTTCTCAAAAGTTTTTTATAAAATTTTTTGTAGTAGGTAAATTTCAATTATTTTAAAAATTTTCAATTAAAATTAATTAAAAAAATTTTATTAGTTTCTACGAAATTTAATGGAATTTTTTAGAAAAATTTAATTATTTACAAGAACTCTAACAAAATTGTATATTTAAATTTTAAAAGAATTTAATTTTCTTTGAATAATTTTAAATAGGAAAATTATTAATTAGGCGGTACAATTAAAAATAAACACGATTATTTTAAGAACTTAAAAAAAAATCTTCATGAAATTCAATTACTTTTCAAAATTTCCAGTAAAAATTATTAAAAAAAAACTCCATTATTTTCGAAAAATTGAAATAAATTCTTCAAAACAATTCAATTATTTTGAAGAATTGTAATAAAAAGCTTTCCAAGAATTAAATTATTTTCAATTTTAATTACATTATTTTCTCAAAAGAATTAAATTATTTTTAATTTAATTTTAATAAAATTTCTCGACAAAATACAATTATTTTTAAAAATATTATTTAAAAATTCAATTATTTTCAAGAGTTTTAATAAGAATTCAATTATTCTCAACAACTCTGATAAAATTCTTCGAAACAATTCAATTATTTTTATAAATTGTAAAATTCTTGTTAAGAATTCAATTATTTTCGTAAATAATAAAATTCTTCTGAGAAATTCAATTATTTTCAACAATTTTGATGAAATTCTTTTTTAAAAAATTTATTTTCAAAATTTTCAATAAAATTTTTTTTAAAAAATTCAATTATTTTCAAAAATTTAGATAAAATTCTTAGAAACAATTCAATTATTTTTATGAATTGAAAAATCCTCCCCAAGAATTCAATTATTTCCATAAATAAAAAAATTTTTTCGCAAGAATTCAAATATTTTCATAAATATTAAAATTCTTTAAAGGAATTCAATTATTTTCATAAATAATAAAATGTTTCGGAGGAATTCAATTCAATAGTTCTCAAAAGCTTTTAATAAAATACTTTGTAGGTAAACTTCAATTATTTAAAAAAATTTTAATTAAAATTAATTAATTAATCAACAATTTTGATAAAATTCTTTGAAACAATTTTAATTAAATTTTCTCGAAAGAATTCAATTATTTAAAAAAATATTGATATAATTCTTGAAATGAATTTAATTATTTTCAAATTTTTTGATAAATGTACTTTGGCATTAATTCGTTAATTTTAAAATTGAAAACATTTAAAAAGAAAATTTATTTGAAAAGTTAGGAAACAATAAAGCAAACATTATTAATTTACATACTTAGTACACAGTTTTTTTGAAGGATATCAAATTGAGACAAAACTCGATCCGCAGAAAAAGTGTGCATATAAAAATTAGGTGTATAAAAATTTTTAATTATAAACCACAAAATTTTGTGACAATTTTCATAATTAGGAATTATGTATTCTTCAAAACGAAGCCGGTTTGTAATTTTTTTTTTTTATAAAACATCATATTTTGTGAGAACAAATTTTCTATCTCATTAAATATAAAAGTGCCAATTAGGAATTTTTTCCTCTCCAATTTTTCTTTTTTTTTTTTTTTGTTATAGTACTCCGATATAATAAAAGAAATGTTTTCACTTACCTAAAAATACTTCCCTAGCCTTCTCTAAAAGATTCGTGACTTCCTGATCGGGGGAGTCAATTAGAGAAAAATCAATCTGTTGAATATGAAAAGCAACATGATCCTTGCTGAGAAAAGTTTTGCCCGTAGGGCTAGGCCAAATTAAACGACTATTCCCACCACATGTGGCCGCACAGGTCGCCAATGTTGTTCTTGACGATCTCACAGCCCTTCTCTCGCATCTCTCTTCATTACACACCCACGACCATGGACTATGAAATGGTCTGTAACAGAAATTCCTCCTCACTAAAATGTACACAAAAAATATTATTTTTCACTCATATTTCAAAAATTCAAGTACTATTTCGGTTGTAATCGATCAAAAGCAATTTAAATAAATTTAAATTCAAGCCAAGGACGAAATACATCGATTTATTTTACAAATAGAATGTACGACTTCAATAATAATTAGCAATGGCAGTTAAGAGGGAACGTTTAATTTTTAATTATGCCACGTTTTTTTTCTTTTCTGGAAACAAAACGTGAAGATTAATAAGAGTAATATTGGAATTTTAAAAAGAAATTACCGAGTAAATTATGAATGTAAAATGGAATATAAATAGGGGAGAGAAAAATGAGAATTATCATTTTGACACACTTTTTTTTTCGAAAATAAGTACTTGTTGAAAAGTGTAAATTTCTGGGGCGCTTGAAAATACGGTGAGAATTATTAGAATATTTATTAGACAGAGTTTTATTAGATTTTCATGTAGGTGAATTTAAAAATTTCGATTTTAAATTAATGAGAATTTTTTTGGTTGGTAAAAATTTTACTTTACAGACAACGAAGAATTTTTTTTTAGGGTTGCCACCATTTAATTTTGTTTTTCCCTCACCCTAAAATAATATTTTGATTCACTCTAAAAATAATTAGATACTCAAAAAAATACCAAAGAATTTTTTCAACAATTTTTTAAATAATTGAATTCTTTTTTTTTTTTTTTTTATTTAATAATATTAAATATTAAATATTAAATATTATTATTTATTTTTTTAATAATTGAATTCTTTTCATGAATTTAAAAAAAAATTTAAGAATAATTACATTTTTCGAGCAATTCGATTAAAATTGTATTAAAAATAATTGAAATTCTGTTATGAGTTTTATTACTTATGAAAATAATTGAATTCCTAGAAAGAATTTTATAGAAATTATTCAAAACCTGGGAAAATTTTTATTATGTATGAAAATAATTGAATTATTGAGAAAAAATTTGTAAATAATTGAATTCCTGTAAAAATTTTATTATTTATTAAAATAATTAAATGTATGCTTAGAATTTTAATAAAACTTTATTTTATTAAATTTTTCTTTATTCGTATCTTTATTCAAAATATTAAAAATCATTGAATTGAGGAAAATTTTTGAAAATAATTAAATGTTTGCCAAGAATTTTATTAAAATTTTTAAAAATATTTGAATTCCTTGGAGAAATTTTCAACAAATTGCTCTACAAATAATTGAATTTTTTCTTAGAATTTTATTAAAATTTGTATAAATAATTGAACTTTTTCGAGAAAAACTTTATTAAAATTGATAAAAATAATTGAACCTTTTCTAGAAATGTTATTAAAATTGTATTAAAAATAATTCTATTCCTACGAAAAATTCAATTATTTTAAAAAAATAATTAAATTTCTGCGAAGAATATATTATTTAGAGAAAAAAGAATTGAATTTCTGTCAACAATTTTATTGTATACAAAAAATTAATTGAATTCGTACCAAATTTCAATTATTTATAAAAAATTAATTGAATTCCTACGAAATTTCAATTATTTATAAGAAATATTTGAATTCTTGCGTAGAATTTTATTATCTACAGAAAAATTGAATTTCTAAGAAAAATTCAATTATTTATAAAAAATACTTGACTTCCTATAAAGAATTTTATTATTTATAAAAAAAATTGAATTCTTTTGAAGAATTTTATTTATAAAAATAATTGAATTTTAGCCAAGAATTTTATTGTATAGAAAAAAATAATTGTATTCCTACAAAAAGTTCAATTATTTAAAAAAAAATTGAATTCCTAAAAAATTTCAATTATTTATAAGAAATATTTGAATTCTTGCGTAGAATTCTATTATCTACAGAAAAATTGAATTTCTAAAAAAAATTCAATTATTCATAAAAAATACTTCACTTCCTATGAAGAATTTTATTATTTATAAAAAAATTGAATTTAATTCAATTATTAAAAAAAAATAATTGAATACCTACGAAAAATTCAATTATTTTTAAAAAATAATTAAATTTCTGCGAAGAATATATTATTTAGGGAAAAAAGAATTGAATTTCTGTTAAGAATTTTATTGTATAAAAAAATTAATTGAATTCCTACAAAATTTCAATTATTTATAAAAATAATTTAATTCCTACGAAATTTCAATTATATTAATAGTAAATATTTGAATTTCTGCGTAGAATTTTATTATCTAAAGAAATTGAATTCCTAAGAAAAATTCAATTATTTATAAAAAAATACTTGACTTCCTATGAAGAATTTTATTATTTATAAAAAATAATTGAATTCCTACGAAAAATTTATTTATTTTAAAAAAATAATTTAATTCCTGCGAAGAACATATTATTTAGAAAAAAAGAATTGAATTTCTGTCAAGAATTTTATTGTATAGAAAATAATAATTGTATTCCTAGATTCCTACGAAAAATTCAATTATTTTAAAAAAATAATTGAACATTTCCTGATCTGTGGCAACCCGGTTTTTTATTTAAAAGAAATCTAATCTAATCGAATTTTAGTTTAGCATAAATCTACCATGTTGCTAACAATATTACTCATTTTTAACTAATTCAAAGACAGATTTTACCACATTTTCCCAAAGAAAATTCTTATTTGAAAAGTATAAAAATTTTTTAATCGATTCTTGTTGTCAGCTAGAAGTAAAGTTTGAATAAAAAATTTACAAATATTACAGAAAATAGAAAATATTCTACGTGTAATTCTGTAAATATATTGATTTAGAAGGATATTTTAAACTATATTTTCTAAATTGTAATTCTTTGAAATGAAAATTGCTTTTTTCTGTTTGTGTAGCGTGGCCATTTGTTGCTGTTATTAGTCATGAGAAATAACAGTATTTTTTTTCGATTGTGAGGGCAATAATGTTTTTAAATCCTTTAGCAATGTGTCAACAGTTATACGACCTCCAGTTACATAAACCAAATGTAATGAAAAGATGACTGGCAAGAAAATGATTTAAAAAATATAATATAATATCGAATGATAAAGGAAGAAGTAGACAAAAAGAAATAGAGATAAGAATTTCAATTAATTAACAACAATAATTATTCCATTTTCCCATGAGAAATAATGAATCCTTTATATTTTTGTCGCATAGTGAAAAAAACGGTGTAAAGTCGTTATATAGAAATTTTATTTTACTAACTATTTATTACCGCATTATCCTTTTTTCTAAGAATAGGAAAATTATTCCTTTGGCACAATGTTTTTTACAATTACTTTTTATTATTTTGTATTATTTTGTATTTTTTGTATTTATTTTTTTTTTATTTTGTTAATTAAAGTTTTTTTAATTGGCTTACTGTTATTGAGTGACTTTACCCCGTGTAAATATTTTTAAACAAAAAAATATTTAGTTACAAAAATTACGTAGAATTGCAATAATTGAGAGTCTCTGAAAATATGAAAAAAAAGCTAATGAATGCGAAAGCTTATTTCTTGTGACTTTTTTTTTTTTGTTTTAACTTTAATTAGAAATTTTCTGTAAGTTATGTAAAAAAAGCATTTATGTTGAGTCACTAATGAGTATGGCGCTATTTTCTAGCAAAAGAGAGTTTAAAATATAACTTTTCGCAGTAGATGTGTTTTACATAAGTTTTACCCAGAAATTTCAGAAACATCAAAAAGTTGTTCATCAGATTTATTGCTCCAATTCTTGCCAATCACAAAAGAAACAAATCGACTGTGTAGTGTCTTCCAGCTGAAAAATTTTTTCAAAAATAAAAGAATTGATTTTTTTTTCTTAAATGAAATAAAAAATGCAGAGAAATTTCTTTATGATCTCAAAACATACAATTTTGGGTAATTTTGATTAATTAGATAATTAGATTAATTAGAAAAAAACATGCACTGAAATTTTTTTTTCTATTTTCGCAAAAAAATATTTATTTTTATCAAGTACAGGGTTGCCACAAAAATTTAATTTTTTCCCCTGTTTTTCCCTGATTTCCAGAATTTTTCCTGACTGATTTTAACTTTTTTCCTGGCCCTAAAGAATACTCTGATTCACTCTAAAAATTATTAGAAACTCAAAAAAATGTTCTATTACATTTATTTATGAATTTCCTTAATTGTAGAATTATTCAAAAACACCAATACCTTCTTTTTTAAATAAATATTTAATTATTATTATTTTTCCCTAAGAATTATGATTTTCAAAAATTTCAAATTCAAACATTTTGAAATTCAATAACTGATAAAAATATTATTGTAAAACATGAAGAAATGGATCAAAAATCAATAATTATTATTATAATAATAATAATCAATAATCGATTTCTTCATTTTTTATAATAATTAAAGATAAACGAGTGATAAAATAATTATTTATTTATATTATTAGAATATTGTTACTGCAACTCCTTCAAAATTATTTTCATCATTTCAATTCAATTATTATTTTCTACAATTTTTAAATAAAATTTTTCTTTAAATCAATTATTTTTATAAATTTTTAATAAAGTTCTGTTAAGAATTTTCAAATTCATTTCTTTACAATTCAATTTTACGTGAAATTTTAATTATTTGGAAATTCATCAATTAAATATACATTTGAAAATAAAAACTTGAAATAATTTTTAAAAATTTCGATTAAAAGCTTTTTGAAAAAAATTAGTTCCTTACAATTTTTAATTAAATGTATGAAAAAAATTATTTTGAAAAAAATTAGTTCCTTACAATTTTTAATTAAATGTATGAAAAATTCAAATTTTCAAAGATTTTAATTTGAAACTTTTACAAAATTCAATTATTTCTAAAAATTGCAATTATTAGTAACTTCTTCAAAATTCAATTATTATCTAAAACTTTTACTGAAATTAATTTTTAAATCAATTTTTAATTAGAAAATTCTACGAGAATTCAATTATTTAAATAAAAACAGATAATTTCTGGAATAATTGAATATTTCTTAAAATTGAAATCTTAGACATAATTTTACCAAAAAATTTTTTAAAAAATTGCATTCTTTCGACGAATTTTAATAACATTTTTAAGAATAATTACATTTTTCAAGAAATTAAATTAAAATTGTATTAAAAGGTAATTGAAATTATATTAAAATTGCTTTTAAATAATTTAATTCTTTGGGGAAATTTTATAAAAATAATAGAAATAAAAATTATTAAATTAAGAAAAATTTTTGAAAATAATTGTTGCAAAGAATTTTAGTAAAATTTTTCAAAATAATTGAATTTTTTACTTTTGAAAATAATTGATTTCTTGTGATGAATATTGTTATTTATGATAAATAAATCACTGAAAAGAATTTTATAATTTTTTTAAAATAGTAGAATATTCAAAATCATTGAATTAAGAAAAGTTTTTGAAATTAATTGATTTTTGCAATGAATTTTATTAAAATTTCTAAAAATAATTGAATTTTGTCGAAAAATTTTGCTATTCATTTATAAAGATAATTGAAATGTTGACGACAATTTTTTATGATTTTTTGAAAGTATTTGAATTTCTGCGAAAAATTTTAATAATTTTAAAAATAATTGAATTCTTGTGATGAATATTGTTATTTATGAAAATAATTGAATTTTATAATGAATTTTATTAAAATTGAGAATAAAATTGAAAACTTAAAAAAAATTTTTTAAAATAATTAAATTTCTAGGAAGAATTTTAATATTTATTAAGATTCGAAGAATTTATTAAAATTTTAGAAAAAAAATTGAATTCTTTTTCGTGAAATTTTATTAAAATTGTACTTAAAACAATTGAATTTTTTCAAAGAATTTATTAAAATTTTAGGAAAAAATTTAATTCTTTTGTGGAATTTTTTTGGAAATAATTGAATTTTGTGTCAAAAAATATTATTAAAAATTTTGAAAAAAATTGAATTTTATAATGAAATTTTATTAAAATTTTATTAATAATAATTAAATTTTTGTAAAGATTTTATTATTTAAAAAAATAAAAAAAAAATTGTTTCGAAAAATATTATTAAAAATTAAAAAAAATTGAATTCTATATAATAAAATTTTATTAAAATTGCATTAAAAATAATTGAATTTTTTCGAAGAATTTATTAAAATTTTAGTGAAAAATTGAATTCTTTCGTGGAATTTTTTTGAAAATAATTGAATTTTTGTAAAGATTTGATTATTTAAAAAAAATAATTGAATTCTTGTGATGAATATTGTTATTTATGAAAATAATGGAATTTTATAATGAATTTTTTTTTAATTAGAGAGTAAACTTGAGAACTTTTTAAAATTTTTTTAAAATAATTGAATTTCTGGAAAGAATTTTAATATTTATTAAGATTGGGTTAAAATAAATTATTGTCAGAGATAGAAAATATTTAATGTTTTTTTAGAATTCGTGGTAATTTTATAATTTATGAGATATACACAAAAATTGAGAATATTGTTATAAATTCTAAACATTTAATTTTTTCCAGTACTTTTAATAAATTTCCCTGACTTTCCCCTGAATTCCCTGACCTATGGCAACCCTGCAAATAATCGATTATTTGAATCAAATAAATTTTTTTCATTGTAATTACTACAATTTTTTTATACTCAATTTTTATTAATTAATAAATTTTTTTTCTATAAATTAATAAACAAAAATTATTAACAATAATAAAAGTTAATAGTGATGAAAATAAAATAATGTTGTGACGACAACTTTTGATATTATAATAAAAATAAATTTTTTAAAATAAATGTAAATTTTTTTCTGTAAATTAATAAAGAAAAATTAATTATAAGAAATAAAATTCTTAACAGTAATAAAAGTTGATAGTGATGAAAATAAAATAATGTTGCGACGACACCTTTTGATATTATAATGAAAAAGTTTTTTTTTCTCTTCTTCTTCTTTTTTTTTGTTATTATGAGAGAGTAATATTTTTTGACAAGGGGAAAAAATAATTGGAAAGATATAAATGAAACTAAAATGTCAAATTCAATGTCTTACGTAAAATGTTTTATATAGCGCGTTTTCTCGCTTGTGGATAAATTGAATATTAACAATGCAACATTGTTGTCAGGTGCAATAGACGTAGTAGACGTAGGATGAAATGGCAATGAATTATCATTATATAACTAGTTTTTGCTTACCTTCGAGCAGTAAAAGGTTGAAGAGAAGAAAGAGGTGGTGCGTTGGCAAACATAGCAATGAGAAGCAACCCAGTGATCAGGACAAGAATGAAGAGGATTCGCCTCATCCACCCGCTGGGCACGCCACCCACCATTCTCGCGAACCTTTAAAAAAAATTTATTTTTTCATTTTTTTCCTTTTTATTACTGAAATTCATCGTTAAAATTAGAAAAATTAATCTTATTACTGTAATTATACAGTTTTTAAACAAAAATTTATTTTATCACAATCAACATTATATTTATTTATTTTAATTTTTAATAAAAAATATAAATTATCCATAAAAAAAATTTTAAATATATTTTTTAATTTATTATGAATAATTTTTTTTTTTATTAACACAACAATTTGCTAACGAATCAATCTATTAGCGAATCAAATTATTAAATCAATCAATTTCTAAGTGTTTTTTGTAAATATATTTTTTACGAACATTTATTTTATTATAATATAATTATTTTTTATTTCTTTATCAATATTTTATAATATTTTTATTGACGAATCAATTGATAATAAGTCACTTTATTAACAATAAATTGCTGAGTGTTTTTGTCAAATTCACTCTTAAAGACACTTTATTTTATTATAATAAAAATTATTTTTCTTTTTTTTCTTTTGATGAATCAATTTAAGACACTTTATTTTATTATAATAAAAATTATTTTTCTTTTCATTATTTCTTTATAAAAAAAACAATTTTAACAAATCAATTTATTGACAGCCGAATTGGTTATTTTCGCTAAGTATTTTTTGAAAATGAATTATTTAAGAAACTTTTTTTATTAATAAAAATCACTTCTTTTTTTTTATTTTCTTATTAACATTTTTTTTTAATTAACAAATCAACTTATTAACAATCAAATTGCTATTTGTTGAACAAAGTTAAGAATACACTAAATTAATTAATAAAAGAGTTAATAAAAATATTTTCAAAAATTACTGACTGCAATGAAAATCAGAAAACAATTTATAAAATTCAAGACTTTTGCAGTCGAAAATTTCGAAATTTTTAATAATAATAAAATTCTATTTTTGTCATTTCCTTTAGTTTGTATTTTAATAAAAAAAATTATTTGTTACATTATAAAAATTAATTGCAAAATGTTTAATTTACAATATTTTCTATTATTCAACATTTTTTGAATCTATTATTGAATTATTAAATTGTTGAATTATTTAAACAAAACAAAATTACGTTAATTTGAATGTTTAAAAATTCTCAAAGTTCTAGTGAATCAAATATTTCTTCAGTATAAATATTTTCATAAATTAGTCACTAAAATAAAAATCAAAAATATAAATTAAACATTTTGAAACTTTAGGAATTATTTTTTAATACGTGACTCAATATTTTTATAATAAAATTTAAATTTGAAAAAGAAATAATTTAATTTCGTTCATTTGAACGTTCAGAATTTTAGGGATATTAATTTTATTTCTACTAGGGTCATTCCACGGTGTGATTTTCATTAAAAAATTTTTTTTTCGAATTGTATGTAAAAAATCAAAAAACATGTATTTTTTATTTTTTTATTCGATGAAAATCGTGGAATTTGTGATTTTTTTAAGTTCAACTTATTCAGAAGCCAAAAAGTTTTAAAACACGTTTTTCTCTAATATTTCTAAAGAAAAAATGTACTCTATGAAATCTATTCGTTTTTTCTTCAAGTTTTTAGATATTTAATAAAAAATGACGTTTCTGCAACGAAAGTATCAAGAACATTGAAATTAATTCTTAAAAGTGACTTTTCTCAAAACCGAAGTGATCGATTTCGGAATTTTTTTTAGGTAACTATTAATTTAGGAATTTTTTCCCCTTTTTTTTTGAAAATCAATAACTTCGGTTTTGAGAAACGTCACATTTTCGAATTAATTTTAATTTTTCCGATACCTTCGTTGCAGATACGTCATTTTTTATTTAATATCTTAAAACTTTAAGAATAAACGAATAAATTTTATAAAGTAAATTTTTTCTTATCTCCTATTAGTATTAGAGAAAAACGTGTTCGAAAAGTCCTCAACTTCTAGAGAAGTTTAATTTTAAAAAATCACAATTTTCATGGAATAAAAAAATAAAAAATACATGTTTTTTGATTTTTTACATACAATTTGAAAACATTTATTCCGAACGAAAACAAATTTTTAATGAAAATTTCACCTTGAATGCCTCATAAATTTTTGAACGTTCAATCCCAATGGGAAATTTACAACTGGCGTAGTACTGCGCCAGCACTGGCAGCACTGGCGGCAAGGCTGAGAGCCAGCACTGGCATGGCACTGGGATGATAACGCCGTCCGGCGCTGCCGAAGTACTGTCTGTCAGTGCTGCCAGACAGCGCTGGCGCAGCACTGGACCAGTGCTGGCTGAGAATATTGCCGCAATAAATGCCGTATTGTTATTAATTAATCGTAAATTCATAATTATAAATAATTTAACAACAAAATGGTAAATAATATTAATAAATAGTTATTATTCATAAAATATTTCTCTTCTTAAAGAAATTGTATTAAAGAAGGAGACTAACAATGAATATAGTAAATGAAGTAGAAAAAAATTGTTTATAACATTTAAAAATTAAATAATAAACAATTACAGTAAGTGTACATTAGATTTTCATATTTTAGTACCTAACGATTGGAATCTAGAAATATCGCAAACCTATGAAAATAAACAAAATTGCTGACGAGGGGAATCGAACCTACGACCTACGGACTAACAGACTAACGCTCTAACCACTATGCTAACGACACATGTGTACAAAAAAGTATTAATATCTCAGTATCATTCAGACATACAATTATTGAGTCAAAGATGAGAAAAAAATAAGGATACGTTAGAAATAATAAATTGAAGTAAAATAAGTTAAACTAAATTTTTAATAATTAAATTAAATTACTTTACTTATTGCATTTAACATTTTACGTAATTCTTAAATTACGTGGTAATTTTTTAATACTTTTTTATTCATAGTAAGAAGTATAATAGTATTTTAATAGGAACTAAATTATTATTGAGATTAAAGTTTAAATTTTGTTTATAATTTTAATTTGTTTAAATAATTTATTATTTACAAAATTAGACAATTATGTTAAATTGTTATTATTAAATGTAATAAGAATAAAAAATGAACAACTGAAAAGTAAAATATTAATTTTTTTCAATAAATTTACATTTATAAACATTTATAAACTTTTTTTATAATTTTTTTCAAGTTTATGTCAAAAAAGCAATGTTGGCAAAGAGCGTCGTGAAGAATTTTTCTATACTCAGCCAGCACTTGCCGCCGTGGCTTGTCCAAGCTTTGGCGGAACAAAAATTCTGTACTGCGCCAGCACTAATTGTCGAGGCTCGGCTAGACTACGCCGAACAATCGTCTGAGTACTAAGCCAGTGGTGAACATCGGCACTACACTGGCATTTCCCATTGGGATTGAACGAAATACTTTTTTATATTTTTAAAAAATATTTAACGGAAATGAAAAATATTGTAATAAAACATTTATTTAGTTGAAAATTATTTTTAGTAATTCTGTAAAATATTTCTTATAACTGAATAAAATCTATAAAATTTCATCATAAAAAACAAAATTTTATAACAAAATTCAAAATAGAAAATGTAAAAAAAAGTAAAAAAAAAATTGAACGTTCGTAACTTTAGAGACTCTATTTCATTTATTATTTGTAAACAAAACAACTTTTGTACTAAAATTTTAGTAAAAAACGACTGAAATTAGTAGAAAATTTTTCACAAATTAGTGGACAATTTTTACACAAATTAGTATTGAAGTTTCAATTTATCACTATTAGTTAATTAATTTAGCAGTAAAGAGTAAAAAAAAATTATGCTAATTTTTCTAAAGGTGAAATACACACTGAAAATCGTTTTTATTTTCATACACTTGAATGTCTGTTAATTTTATTGAATATTTTTTGTCGTCTAAAAAATTCATAATGGTTATCTACAACGTATAAAGCTAAAACTGTTCGCGCCGGTTCATTAAATATTAGATACCGTTTCTATAAAAAGAGCAATGGTAGGGTCGAGAGCGTACAAAGAGTGAGTAGAGTATTTACACTAAATTGCATAATGTCCTTCTTACGAAATTTACCTTTATCGCTTCTCTACAGACGTTCTTTTTTTGCAAAAAAAAAAAAAAATTGACTTAATTAAAAATTCTAATTAAAAACCCTCCTTCTTTATATTTTCGTTCACTCTATAAAAATGTATCATTAGTGCTTATAATTTATCATACTAGAAATTAACTTTTTTTTTAAATATAAATATTAACACAAAAAAAAAATTTTTATTTTACATATTAATTTAAAAAAAAGCAAATTTATTTTTTTTTACATAGAAAAAAATTGGTAAATAATACATCTCTTTTTTTGACAATTTATAGAAAGAAAATATAAAAAATACACTTTTTTTCGAAATCAATAAATTTTCCATTTATACCAATTTTTCTTTTTGAAAGAATTTCTTCAAATAATGGTTGATTGAACGCAACTTTCTAAAAATGCCTTTTGCAGATAAAAGTTTCGAGTAATTTACGTGGAAAAATATTTTTTTTTCTTTATGTTTATTTGTAAAGTATATATATAAATGTTGTAAGTTTTACTAAAAAAAATTTCTTTTTTCAACTGAAAAAAATACTTGTTATAATATTTCTTTTTATATAGAGAATTTTTTTTCTGTATGTCAAGAACTTTATACCGTTGCTTCTCATTCATAAGTGTACAATAAAAGATCGATATACGAATTTCTAGAAGTCAATTTCCGGTCCAACGAAATGATTTTTCTTCCTTTTTGTTCAACTATTGAAGGAATGATAGATTGCTTTTTTTATTTAAACAAATATTTTCCATTTCCTCTAAACATACATATGCATTCATATTGTGCAATGAAAAAAATTTGTTATTGGTTTCATATGTTGTATTATTTACTATCAAATAATTATTTTTATGAATAATTATTTAAATAATTATTTAAATAATTACTTAAATAATTATTTAATTAATAGGTTCCTGAAGTTCTGAACTAGATTCTTTATTTTATTTCTTTTTAAAATTAAAATTTTATTTGCAATAATATTCACGTTTTCAA